AATTCCCTGACTTTTCCAGGTTTTTTCAAGATTTATATATAATTCCCAGACATTTCCAAGTGTTCCAGGTTTTCAGGTTGCGTGGCAACCCTGATTTTAATATAAAACATTTTTAAATTCACATTAAAGTTTAAAACTTTTTATAAGGCAGTTTTAGTACAGTATTCCTTGTACTCGGCATTTACTCACTTCAAATTTTAACGTAATTGTACGTACATCGGTATATGGTTAAGCACCTATTTCTACTTAGATGAAATTCTTTTCCAAATACCGCAGTTTTCTTTCATATTTATGTGTAACACAAAAGCGTATAAATGAAACATAAAGCAAAATATATGTGACACTCTTGGTAGTCACATTTCCGTGTATTTGGAAATGGAAAGCAGTGCTGCTGCATTTTCTTTATGAAATTTCACCATTGCTCGAATTGATATCTTTTATTGCACTGCATTTCATTCAAGCGGTAATGAAACCACGCCTCGAACTTATATTTGTACTTCCAAAGGAGAAAACATTTGATATATATTTTTAAATTAGAAGTTTTATATGTATACCCCTTAGTGCCAAGAAAATATAACCAATGTCAGTTATAAGTTTGCTTTTAAAACTTTATCTTCATTGCTTTGTAGAGGGTACAATAAATTAAAGATTGATATAAAGTAGTTTTCTTTACATGTCACTAAGTTTGACAGTGAGTCATAATAAAAATTTTATTATGATGTAGAAAATTACCATATTCCTTAATTTTCATTAGATGAAATATATTATTGGCTCCTCTAGACAGATATCCAAAACTATCGACCATGACCTGGGGCTTTAGATACGTCATAGCACGTCTCTAGGGTACAACTATGCCTTTGATGTTATGTACGTATTCTGATCCGACTATGCCAGTAACTAATAGGTGAAGACTAATACTTGCACGTTTGAATTATCAGCGCATTACGACAGTACGTACGTTTATCCAGAAACTAGAATTTCGAAACAGCGGACACCCAATGAGATCCAAGTCAATATTTAGTTGAATATGTACAAGCACCTATCTTCTTGTTCATGAATACGAATGTCAGTATAGGAACATACTCATTGTCAGTGGGACATATCGTAGAATTGTAATTACGGTTTGAGATTATCCACTCTTGTGTGTGACACGGTTACTTTATAGATGCATCTCAAAACTGGTAGCATTTTATACATCTAAAGGGAATATTAAGGTAATAAAATTTCTCCCCTCATTTTAACTTATGATTAATACGAAAGTGAAATCATTCTATATGAATCATATAGAATCATTCTATATAAATTATAATGAATATTTTATAGAATTTTACTAGAACGATTCTATAGAATTTCTATATAAATTCTACTAAATTTTAGTGATTTTTAATTGGAAATAATATAAATTACGTGAAATAATTTTTTTAACATTATATTAGTGTATGGTTACTAGATAACTCTAACTATAGGTCCGTAAATTTGCTTCAAATACGTAAAATTCAGTTTTTTTTAAAAAAAAAAGGTCCGTAAAGTCCGTAATTATTGATTAAAAAAGAACGAGAATTTCGTAAATTGTATACAATATAATTTATAGAATTTTAGAGAAATTACAAATGATTGCACAAATTCAATTATTTTCAAAAGTAATAAAATTCTACGCAGAAATTCAATTATATGTTCAAAATCTTTTTTAAATTCTCGTCAAAATTTCAATTATCTTTATAAATAATAAAATTCTTCTCCAAAATTCATGTACATTCAAAAATTTTAATAAAATTCTTATAAAAATTTTAATTATTTTAAAAAATTTTTCTCAATTTATAATGATTTTCAATACATCTATTGTTTTATAAAAATTTTTCAAAAGAATTTAATTATTTAAAAAAATTTTAATAAAATTCTACGCAAACATTTAATTATTTTCATAAAATAATAAAAATTTTCAATTATTTACAAATTTTTTATAAATTTCTTTGCAAAATTCAATAGTTTTCAAGAGTAATAAAAAAATTCGCAGAAATTTAAGTATATTTAAAAATAGTAAAATTCTTCTTAGGAATTCCATTATTTTCAGAAATAATATAACTCAACGCAGAATTTCAATTATTTTTTAATACAATTTTAATCGAATTTCTTGCAAAATGTAATTATTCTTAAAAATTTTATTAAAAATCGTCGAAAGAATTCAATTTATTAAAAAATACCTATGATGATAAAATTTTTTATGAAAATTGAATTTTAAGAAACATTCAATTGTTCAATAAATTATTTATTTTTGTATTTAAATACAAAAAATTTTAAAAAAATTTTTTTAATTTTGACCTTTTTGCGCCTCCGGTACATATATGTAACACTTACAAAATTTAATAAAACTCTTAAATTCAAAATTACATAGTACCTAATATTATTAATTATTATAAACAAAAGATAGAATATTGTTAAAAAATAGAAAAATTTGCTTAATTTTGCTTTAATCTTCTTACTTAAGGGTTTTCGGGGTCACTGATTACGAATCTAAAGTCAGATTAAAAAAATTTTCAAAATTGCTCATATTCGCTTGAAACTTTTTACTCGGGATTTTTCAGGATTGCCATTTTAAATTTCCAAAATCAGACTTTAGATTCGTAACCAACTGCCCTGAAAAGCCCCAAGTAACAAATTTTATGCAAATTTGAGAAATTTTGAAAAAATGTCAGCCATGTTGGATCCGCCATTTTGAATTTTTCAAATCTGACTTAAGATTCGTAACCAGGGACCCCAAAAACCCTCCGAGTAATAAGTTTTAATAAAATCCACTGGCTGTGTTTCCCGGGGGCACGAAAGGGTTAAGAAACATTCAATTATTCAATAAATTATTTATTTTTGTACACTGAAAAAAAAGTGCTGTTGAATCAAATAGCTCCATGCTATTGAATTTCCCGTCATTGATTTAATGACACATTTTTTAATCGAAAAGTATATTGCTTAAAACGAAAAAATGAAACTGTTTAAATTAAAAGTACGGTACTGTAGAATTAATGATATTGTGCAAATTGTTTCTATAGTTCATCTATATATAGAAACAGAATAATTTATTGCTTCTTTGACATTATTCATTTAAAGCATCTAATAGATAAATTTGAAGAAAATGCGTGTAAATTTAAATCAAATGAAAAATTGTTTGCTCCAAAGAAGCGCGCTCTGAAAACGAAAGCATATGCTTTCGTTTCAATGAGTGGTGCTATTGCGGACTGCCTATAGCATATGCTATAAAAATAAGAACACTATGTATTTGAGACATTGACAGGTACTAAATTTATTGAAATACTAACCCACATATATTTATATGTTTATTAAATCTGTCGTTTTTGAGATTCCAATATAAAAAAGTATTATTTAAATTCTTTTAATTAATTAATGACTTGTTAAATATAAATTCCCTATATAAATTTCCTTATATACGCGAAAAATCTCGAGCACGGTATTTAACCACAAAGTAAGTGCCCAACGTTGAGAAGCGGATGTATTACATTGCAGCGCGGCGGTTCTCGTCTATCACGGAAGTTAAGCGTCGTTGGTCGCGGTTACTAAATGGATGGGTGACTGCTTGGGAATAGCCGTATTTTTCTGACTAAAAAAGATAAGTGTGTTTGAATGTGTATGTGTGTGTGTTTAGCCGTTGGAAAAAATGAAAAAAATAATAAAAATGTATATGTTAGTGTGAAAAATTGAAAAAAAGATGTGTATAAAAAGTGTTGTGTTAAAGGTGTGAGAATTAATTATAGTATATAAAAAACATGTGAACAAAAATTCCCTTTTTTCAATTTATCGTTGGTATATATTTAACCACATAAAAGAATTGAATTAACAGTATGGTGTTATTCAATCGATAGCAACAACTAAAAGAATTAAGAGTACAAATTCTTGAATCATAAAAATGATGCTTTTAAATTTAAAAGTTATAGTCATTGACTCAAAAGCATATACTGTTAAATTAAAAAATTTTGTTTATTGATTCAAAAGGATTCACCTTCGAATTAACATAGTATACTGTCAATTTGAGAAATATGCTTTTCTTTCAAAGAAAGTGATACTATCGAATCATTAGAATCGGTGCTTTCAAAACAACAGCATATACGTTAGGCAGCCCGTTATGACACTATTCAATGAATCAAACCCATATGTCATTGATTCAACAGCATTTTTTTCTCCGTGTATTTAAATACCTAATTGAATTTTAAAATTAATTTTTTTTAAAAGTTTAATTGATTTTATTTATATTTGAAGTTTTTATTTTTTAATATATATTTAATTGAAGCATTTACGAATAATTGAAATTTGTAAAATTGAAAATTGTCGAAAAACTTTTTCGAAAATTAATTGATTTAAAAAAAAAATTTTAGTGAAAAATTCTTAAAAATAATAATTGAATTGAAATGATGAAAATAATTTTGAAGAAGAACAATATTCTTATAATATAAAATAATGATTTTATCAATTTGACATCTTTAATTATTATAAAACATGAAGAAATCAATCACTCCGAGTCGAAGACTCGGAGTGATCGATATCTTCATGTTTTATAGTTATGAAAAAATTTAATTTAATTATATTTAAATGATATAAACAATTTTTGCCTGAAATTTGTCATAGAAATCAAATGTAAAATTTAATTACACAATAATATAAAGTTGAAAAATATTATTTCACGAATTTAAATTCTTTTTAATTAAAAATCACTCAAATTTAGTAAAATTCGTGTATAAATTTTTTAGAATGATTCTAATGAAATTCTATAGAACTTTTTTAGCTGGGGAAAGAGCTTCATAAAATTGACTATTTTAGTATATTTTTCATTTCTAAAATCTTAAGATAAGTCAGGAAAAAGTACTAACCTTTGTTGATTTTGTTGTTCCTTATATTTATAATAAAAAAAATGTCATAAATAGATGTGCGAATTGTGTCTTAAAGTTGCATTAAGAACAATTTAAATATTTTTTGAAAAATATATTTATTCAACAAATTTACATTACGCGAATGCATTTTTGACATAGAACATGGCTCATCAGGATTACAATATATAAACGTTGGTTTTTATTTCTTTTACGTAAAGAATAGTCAACAATCATAATTTACTGTAAAAAGTATAAATATAATATATTATATTGCTACTATTATTAAGGGCATATCAAAGTCGTTGCGATTTTCATACTTTAAAATACGAAAATATTTTCATATTTTCACGAAAAAAGTTTTAATTGCACTACGACTTCGAATTGCTCTTAATAGTATTTTTAAACTAAAAATCAAAAATATATGTCAATTCTGAAAAATATTCATAGATACTCTATCATGGGGTTAATACAGGTGTACTTTTTTAAAATATTGGTTATTGCTTTCAGAAGAATCATAAAAAATTAAATAAATAAACATCTTTGAACTAGAAAGTCATAGAAGCAATATTTGTTAAAGAACTGTTCAGAAAATATTTTATTTCAAGAATGAGTTAAAGAAGCACATATATGTGACCACGTCTGAGAAAAGGAACTTTATGACAAAAAAAATCGATTTTTAGACTTAGCCATTTTTTACACTTTAAGGTCCTTAAAATGAAATGCAATTAGTCCCGGGTTAAAAAAATTTTTTGGTCATAAGGTCCTTTTTCTCAGACGCGGTCAAATATATATATGTACTTCCTTCTCTAACTCAATCTTATGATTGCGTTCATATTTACGTCTTTAATAAAAAACGCATCCTGGACAGTGCTTTATAAAATGAATAAAGATAAAAAAGGTTAAGTAATATGTACACCTTTATTATAAAATTTGTTGCACAAAAATTTGTAAGTGCCTTTTGAATAAAAAAGTTAGCTTTTTAAAAAAAAACAGAAATACATATTTAACTTAATAAATATATCAGGTAAAAACAAAAGATATAAATAACTTACTTCCTGAAAAATTATTTAAAGTGTTGATAATGTCAATGTGCATTATCGATAGGTTTTCCTTGTCAATTCTGAAGTTAACAGAACTTCTGACTTTAACAATATGAAAGATTTCTAAAATATTTAGTCTATGAAGAAATATTTAGTGTAAAGAATTTTTACTTTACTTTGGTCAAAGTTATTTAAATTTAATCAAAGAAAAGCAAAAAATCTAAAAATCAAGTAGCATCTCTTGTTTATTTACAAATATCTGAATAATTATATGTCCATAAACTCTTTTACCTAGAGATTTTTATCATTTTTAAACTAGACACTTTTACAATTATTGCATTGAATTTTATATATGACATTATCCTGTTAAAACTTTTTAATCCTATCTTAATGCGATAGTAGTAAAGTATTTTAAATCATTTAGTGGTAAGAAATATGATAAGAGTTGCCTACATGAATTAGTTGTAAGTTACAGTATATCAGGAATATAAGGCAGAATCAGTGACATCAGGGGATCAAAAAATTTAACATTATTCATGTTATCAGTTATTTACATTACATTCATTAAAAATAGCTAATGATTGTATTACTTACATTGTAAATAAATAATAATGTATAGAAATTAAAAAAAAACGATTCAACACAAAATTGGAATTTTGCACTTTGATTATATACTAGCCATATGCAAGCCAATCGGACTTTATTATTAAATTGTAAGAATTTAGATTTCTTAAGCCTTTCTAAATTTCAATCAACTTGTATTTTTAAAATATGTACTTTTTGATTCCTTTCAATAAGTATTTGTAATTATACTTTTCACCTTTAATTAACCATTCTTTACGCCACTAATTCATAATTTTTTGTGTGCAATTCAAATTAATGAATTTTCAGTCTATGATTGTAAACATCGAAACTTGTGGCTTGCAATAGAAATTTTTTTAAGTAATCGTGTTATATGCAAATGTATATCGTTATTTGTGAAAAATTAAATATGTGAAAAACACGTATATATATATATATGTATATTAGAGAAAAACGATGTTAATATTGTACCAGTCTTTCAATTAGATCAATTCTTTTCAAAATAATGTAACTATATTATAATTATCTAATATAATAAATAAAATTCACATATCAACTTTTAACTCTAATACGTTATTTTTTTAAATTAGCTTTAAGTAAAATAATTTTATCTACTTCTGACTAATAAAATAATTTCTAAAACTGAAAGTTTTAAAAAATAATATTCTGTTCTTGATAACAATATGACAAATTCTCAAAAATGTTGCAACTAGTTTTTCACTATTGTAATAAATTTATTAATATTTTCTGAGAGGATGCCACATGGCAACTGGACGTCTTAAAGCTGCTAACATTTGCCGCCAGTGTGCCAATGCTCTTCCTGCTGTTGTTGACCCTACGATAACATGACCCACAGAAAACGTGCCATTTGTGCTTTGGTCTCCTGTTACTTCTGCTACGGTCAGCCTTAACTGAACTGCCTAAACAATTTTTAATGCATTTGATTAATTGACTTATTTTTTTTAATTCTTTAAAAAAAAGAATTAACAAGTATTAAGTCTCATTCTCTAAGTTCTTAAAAAACCTTTTCATGAATTAACCTTGCGCACTAAAGACGCATGCATATGGGGCATTCTTTCTTAACTTTACCACCATGCTGCCCATCTTCAGTTTGAACGAAAATCATTGAAATACCACTTAAAATTTTCAGAAGAATGTCAACTTTTGAATGGTGAGTGGCAAAATTGTCCATTTTAAACGGTTCACTCTGAATCTGTCAATAAACGGAAAAAAGTCAAAAAAATAATTTGTTATTTAACTATAATGTTTGTTTAATTGGCCATAATATTTTTTTATAATCACTTTAGAGTCCCCTCTTCATGTCTACATTGTCATATGAGGCTAAATTAAATTTGAGGTTATAATATGGCCGTCAAAAGTGACTTAAATTAACTAATTGCGATGTTTTTTCTGTGCATCATTATTTCCAATAGCAAATAAACTTTCAAGGGTTTCTGGTCTTACCCATTACGTATATAACGCTATATGTTCAAAATTCAAAATGGCGGATGCAATATGGCGGACATGGATTTTGAAAAATAATTGTATTTGGTTGAAATTTATTAATCGGGGGTTTTCGAGATCGCTGATTACGATCCTGAAGTTTGTTTTCAAAAATTCAAAATGGCGGATCCAATATGGCGGAGGATAAATTGAAAATTCATTAGATTCGTCTAAAAATTGTTACTCGAGGGTTTTTGGGGTCGCTTATTACGAATCCGATGTCAGTTTTCAAAAATTCAAAATGGCGGATCCAATACGACTGATATTTTTTATTATTCAGCAGATTTAACTAAAAATTTTGATTTTGACAAGCTAATGAAATTTTTTTTCTAACTTTGTGCTTGGATTTTAATTTAAACTGGGATTTTACCAACTACTTTTTCAAATCTTTATATGAAAGAACTGAAGAAGTACTGGCTTACGAAAATCTTTTAATAACCAGTTTTTTGTTGACTGGTATGAAGCAGTGAATAATAAAAGCTGAATAATAAAAAATATCAGTCGTATTGTATCTGTTGTTTCGAATTTTAAAAAACTAGCACTATATTCGTAATCAGCCACTTGAAAAATCCCCGTAAATTAAATTCCAAGCAATTCAAACCGTTTTTAAAAATTTATGTCCGCCGTATTAGATCCACCATTTTGAATTTTTGAAAACTGACATCGGATTCGTAATAATCGTCCCCAAAAACCCTCGAGTAACAATTTTTAGACGAATCTAATGAATTTTCAATTTATCCTCCGCCATATTGGATCCGCCATTTTGAATTTTTGAAAACAAACTTCAGGATCGTAATCAGCGATCTCGAAAACCCCCGATTAATAAATTTCAACCAAATACAATTATTTTTCAAAATCCATGTCCGCCATATTGCATCCGCCATTTTGAATTTTGAACATATAGCGTTATATACGTAATGGGTAAGACCAGAAACCCTTGAAAGTTTATTTGCTATTGGAAATAATGATGCACAGAAAAAACATCGCAATTAGTTAATTTAAGTCACTTTTGACGGCCATATTATAATCTCAAATTTAATTTAGCCTCATATGACAATGTAGACATGAAGAGGGGACTCTAAAGTGATTATAAAAAAATATTATGGCCAATTAAACAAACATTATAGTTAAATAACAAATTATTTTTTTGACTTTTTTCCGTTTATTGACAGATTCAGAGTGAACCGTTTAAAATGGAGAATTTTGCCACTCACCATTCAAAAGTTGACATTCTTCTGAAAATTTTAAGTGGTATTTCAATGATTTTCGATCAAACTGAAGATAGGCAGCTTGGTGGTAAAGTTGAGAAAGAATGCCCATATGCTGTAACGCGGCATTTTGTTGGCCGCGTACAAATTAACTTTTTTTGTCAATAATAAACTGTAAATTTCTATATTAATCACGCCAAAACGGGAATCACCGATTATTTTTTCCTATCGAGAAATACTTCTTTTATTTATCCACTTTTGTAAATTTTCTTTTATTAAATTATTTTATTGAATCTTCCCAGTGAGAAATTGCCAATAGACTTTAATCGGTCCAATATCGGTCCAATATTGGTTGCCGTGCTGGGCGCCGATTGACTCCCAATATTGGACCAATATGGGCTGATGCTTGGGATGTAACGGCATCGCCAATCATCGGTTGTCAATATTGGTCCAATATTGGCCGAATATTGGCAACCAAGAGAAAAAAATTTTTTTAAATAAATTTTTTTTAATTAAATGATAATAATAAAAAATTAATGTTTATAATTTTTGTTTAATATATTTATTTGTTTAATTATTTATTTTTAATAATTCATGTAAATAATAAATAATTTATTATTTATAAATTATAATTATTTAAAAATGCAGCAGCTATTAGAAAATAGCATTCTGCAAAAAAATTCTATCATTGAAAAATCAATGATAGGCGAGAGAAATCCGCGTCTTTAAATAGATTCGCAGATGATAGACAAGAGATATCCGCGTCATTAAACGGATTCGCAGATATACTCTGGTCTCGCGACGAATCTCTCGATACTTATATACACTGGAGTCGCCGTGTCAGTTGCGAGAACGGTTACAGCGTCCCTCTTGCGGCAGAGATAAGAATTGTCACGTAAACTGCTAAATCGCTTTACCGACCGCCTTATTATACCCGCAGTTTACGTGACAATTCTTATCTCCGCCGAAAGAGGGACGCTGTAACCGTTCTCGCAACTGACACGGCGACTCCAGTATATATAAGTATCGAGAGATTCGTCGCGAGACCAGAGTATATCTGCGAATCCGTTTAATGACGCGGATATCTCTTGTCTATCATCTGCGAATCTATTTAAAGACGCGGATTTCTCTCGCCTATCATTGATTTTTCAATGATAGAATTTTTTTGCAGAATGCTATTTTCTAATAGCTGCTGCATTTTTAAATAATTATAATTTATAAATAATAAGTTATTTATTATTTACATGAATTATTAAAAATAAATAATTAAACAAATAAATATATTAAACAAAAATTATAAACATTAATTTTTTATTATTATTATTTAATTAAACAAAATTTATTTAAAAAAATTTTTTTCTCTTGGTTGCCAATATTCGGCCAATATTGGACCAATATTGACAACCGATGATTGGCGATGCCGTTACATCCCAAGCATCAGCCCATATTGGTCCAATATTGGGAGCCTTTATTGGACCGATGATCGGTCTCTTGGCTCCCAATATTGGACCGATATTGGACCGGTGAGAAATTTCTCACTGGGTTGTAATTTTTGCGAACCGTCAGATCGCTGGTCAAAGCTACTAATTAATTATAAGAAAAACTGATACTTCGATTTATCATTTCATGTAAAAATTAACACCGCGAGTTCCTGATTTCCTAACTTCCGACCCTATTGAAAATCCCCATATGGGAAACCACATGGGAAACCACATGGGATCCTATGTCAAAAACCATGTAAAACCCTACTTCCATGAAGGAAACCACGTGGTTTACCATGTGGTTTCCCATGTCAAACCATATGGGAAATTGAGACAGGATTTTAGTTAGGAATAGACATGGGAAATTTGAACAGTTCATCTATGCATAAAACCATATCAAATCCCACATGTTTTTCCCAGTCAAATCCTAAACCGAATCCCATGTGAAAAACAGTATCATTTATTTATAATTATTTTCCCAAGTCAATCCCCAAGTGAAGAACAGTATCATTTATTTATAATGATTTTCCCATGTCAAATCCTAAACCAAATCCCATGTGAAAAACATTATCCGCCTTATTGAATATCCCTACATGGGAATCCACTTGGAATTTTACAAGGGATTTCACATAGGATTTTATATGGGAATTGACATAGGATTTCATGCAAGATTTCACCTAGGATTTAATGAGATATCACATAGTATTTTATTAAAGATCCAATGAAGAAATTTTCAAAGGATTAAAAATTATTTAATAAAAAATTAAATAATAAATCGTATTAGTGTTACAAGTCATCAAAAAAGTAAAAAAACGATCATTTGAAACACGTCCTCTCTGCTACAGGTTCTCAGCTTTTATATACTTCCAGAATCGTCTCAACAGCGAGAGAAGTCACTTTCGCCACCTAGCGGTGAAAGTATAGGAGCGACAGTAATCTTTAACATTACTAAGGAAACCATGTGGAATACCACGTAGGATTCCATGTGGTTTCCTACGTGGGGATTTACATGGGATTTTACTTAGGAATCTCATTAAATCCTAGGTGAAATCTTGCATGAAATCCTATGTCAATTCCCATATAAAATCCTATGTGAAATCCCTTGTAAAATTCCAAGTGGATTCCCATGTAGGGATATTCAATAAGGCAGATAATGTTTTTCACATGGGATTTGGTTTAGGATTTGACATGGGAAAATCATTATAAATAAATGATACTGTTTTTCACTTGGGGATTGACTTGGGAAAATAATTATAAATAAATGATACTGTTTTTCACATGGGATTCGGTTTAGGATTTGACTGGGAAAAACATGTGGGATTTGATATGGTTTTATGCATAGATGAACTGTTCAAATTCCCCATGTCTATTCCTAACTAAAATCCTGTCTCAATTTCCCATATGGTTTGACATGGGAAACCACATGGTAAACCACGTGGTTTCCTTCATGGAAGTAGGGTTTTACATGGTTTTTGACATAGGATCCCATGTGGTTTCCCATGTGGTTTCCCATATGGGGATTTTCAATAGGGGAATCACTGCCGAGATATTACTGCGTATTTGTCCAACAAGGGATGTGCTTCCTTGTATTTATTACTGGAAATTAATACCGGTCATACTAAGTGACAGGAATACGAATATCCATCGACGAGGACATCAACTATCAAAACACTCGCCGCAGCCATCTTGCGGACCAGACGTCGTCAGCGCTCTTTGCGGAGAATAAAGAAACTTTAATCTGTGAACTCTTTTGGCGGTCGGTAAATTAACTACTTATTTGACCATCGCGCATTGATACCATCGGAAAATCTTTGTAACGAGTGCGCGTGAGACTCACCACGAAGCCGAGATGCGCGTCTGCTTCGGCGTCCCCGTCGGCCATTTAATCATTCTCAATTTGGCGTTACTTAAAGTGACAGGTTATAACAATTTGATAAAGTTTAATTCTTTAAAAACAAAAGTAATTGTGCTTCTTCTGCCGAGATGAGTCGGGGAACGACGCGGGGACGTCGGCGTATCTCCGGTGAGTCTCATAATATTTGAATGTGTTGTCTCCTAACGATTATTGATCAAAATAAAATGGGTTTCATTTGGCTTTGTTTTACGATGAATTGTATACTTTGCACAGGTCCCTCAAGGACCTGTAATTCTCTTGATTATTATTAAAGACAAAATTTAAACTAAATGTTGATTTCTCTTACCCCGCGCTCTCCTTGAAAAGATTGAGCTAGCGTAATTTTAATTATTTAATCGGTTTGAATATTTTTCCATAAAATATCTCTGGCTTTCGGCCAATAAATTCTTTCTACAAAAATAACGTGTGTTTTGCGTAATTTATTGATTTTAAATTAGATAAAATTAAATTCTTGAATAAAATAATTTCATGTTGGTTAGTAAAATTAATAAATTCTCAAATATTAACAATTAACAAAAATAAATAAAACACCCATTATAATGCTTAACATATGATGGTCACGCACGTAAAGTTAGCTTCATGTGCTTCATATAAGGAATGCACAATGATTGCAATTTTGCAAACATTTTGTTATCTGTATATTATTAGCAATTAATTTGTGTTTTACGTTTGTGAATTATTATAAGAGTATCAGTTCGACTTATGAAGAATTAAGCACAGTAATTTGTTGATTTCTATGGACATGATGTATACACTTACCTGTAAAGCATGTGCTGGAACGCTGAAAATAATAGCCTCATTGAAAATAGGGCTTTTCTCTCCTTTTTTGATTGATGTTCTTTTTTTGTGTACTTTTTTTCCTTCTTGCAATAAATATACCTATAAAAATTTATTTTTTGAATATATTTTTTAATATGATTCTATCACTCTATTTTTATATGAATAATAACAAATTTATAAAAGCAAGAGCAACAGAGAAAGATAAGTAATTCCAATCTTAACTCAGAATGATCATTTTCTTCAATGGTTTATTATATGAATGATTTGTTTTTTAAATATATTTATTATTTTAGTATTACAATAATTATTTCTTACCTTTACAAAAAAGTCACCGGGTATTACATCACCAGATTTTTTCACGTCAAAACTCCTTGTACCTCGAAGATTTCTGGCTTTCACAACGACAAGTGTTAATCGTTCAGCAGTTGGAAGGTAGCTTAATGAGAACATAAGTTCTCCTAATTGAGGGACAGGTAATGCAGGACTTATAAGAGGCAACCACGTAGTAGCTGGTGGTCTAGGACACGGATCTAATCTTAAAGTTGCTTCTCCTAAAAGGTATGCTTCACCTGCAAGTCTCATTTCTAATGTAAAAATCTGAAAATAAGAAACACTTTACAACGAGTTGTGAAGAGATCAAATTACTCAGAATTTCTACAGCATATGTACAAAATTTTCCATAACAGAATATTGCATTTAAAGTCAACAAGTTTTTCAATTAACAGAGGAAGTAGTTTCACATACCTCTATCAGAAGGGTTCTTCTCACAGGCCCACCTTCTAAAGAAAATATAAACTTCTCTTGGTAACTAGGTGATGAAGAACTTCGGTAGAGTCTTGTTTGACAATGTGTTTGTCTATTCGGTAATAAACATACCCTAAAAAATTATTTTCATTCGATCAGTACTTTTCGAGATACAAGTAAAACAGGACTGTCACCGATAAAAAACTAAAATTAGTTTTGTTACTTGTATTCCAATACAAGTAACGAAACTAATTTTAGTTTTGTGTGAATATTTAAACCAAAGCAAATTTAATTTCCATGACTGTTTCTTAATTTACTCTCAATTATTTTCTTACCGAGCAAACGTATCCTGCGCAGGTTGTGCTTCAGCTGTGACTAAGTCTCTCGCTTCTAAAACACTTACAATCAGATCACCTTCTCCTTCACCACGACCACTCCATCTTTCATGTTCCAATCCAACACAAACGTGTCCAACAACTGGGGCTTCATTTAAATCTCCTAAAGTTACACTCGTATCAGAACATACACTTTCGAAACTAACTGCTCGTTGCAGAGTGGCTGGATCAGGAGGAGGTTCTGGTTCAGGTAAGGAACTACGTCGAATGCCAAGTCCCAATTCCATAAACTCGCCTACATTATACCCCAAATATGATTCGTCTAGACTCTGTCAAAAATTAATTTAATCGAATTTATAAAACAATTATTTATTTAACTTTTTCTGAAATGCTTTGCGTTAGGTAAATATGTTTTAAGATTAAAATGTAATATACCTGAGACAATCGACGTTTCATTTGCACTTCTTCCAAAGCTGCATAAAGATCATGACTACTTTTTCTTCTGAAAAATAAATTATATGATTATGTTCTATTAATACTCTTTAAAAAAATGATACAGAAAGATTGAAAATATTAATGTTTTCCAAGTTCAAACATACACTTCTTAAATGTTAACAATCACATTGTAAGCAAATAATTTATTCCCCTATTGGACTCCGGACCTTTCACTTTGGCCGGCCCAAAAACAATTCGAAGAAGATCTACTGCATATTCTGTTTCCGATAGACGTCATATTTTCTTCGACCTCACACTGAAGCTTGTTGGGTCTACGACTCTAAGAATAATTTTAAAAGGTAAGTTACTAATACCTTTAAATTATCTCCCTATTTAAATTCTCGATTGATTCCACAAAGTTCTAATTTTGTTTCAGTATCCCTGAAGACATTTGGATCTACTCTTTCTCTCTGATTCTAATTGTAAAGGATTCAAATAAACTTTAATAATTTAACTTCAATTTAACAGTTACTCTTTCTTGAAAACTGTCCCTTAATATCAGAGCCTTCCGCTTTGTGAATAAATCAGGTTTAAATCACCGATGCCGGGCAATTTAAATATACAAAAAATGTTAGTTAAGTTTAGTTTTACTCTAAGACATAACAACTGAATAACGAAACCGTAATGCATCTGGAATGTCAATGCCAACAAAAATTAAACAGATTTTAATTGTAGTTGAGAAACTTTCAAGATTAAATGTAGAACTTACGCGATAGTTCGCGCAAATTATATAACAAGAAAAATGAGATAGGAACATTGGAAAGAAAATTAGAGTTAAATCCTACGGAAGAATAAGATAACGAACTTGAAAATGCATCCAATAATGAAAGTTAATGCAGTGATAATAAAACGCGAAACGACGTTCAAACTTCAACTGATAGAATAAATAATAGAACATAAAAATCATGGTTCAGAAGGAATTGCTGCAAAAGATATAATTAGAACCATTAAGATAATAACAGGACCAGATGACTGTGGAGAACAAGAATTTACAACAAGCGTTAAAAGAGCAAGATATTATTTCAATAAACGAGATTTATTGTTAGATTTTATTATTTCTGAAAAAAGAAATGGAAATACTGAAAGAAAAATTAAATACTTATAATAGCTGTGTGGAACTTTTCGATGCTTTAAGAAGTTAGAGCATTGTACAGATAAAAAATTTGAACTTATATTAACAGTTTTTCAATAAAGGATAATGGGCAAAAAAGCAAGTGGAAGGCGTCATAACTAATAGTTTTTGATAACAAAATGTTTTTCTTCTTAATGAAAGCTTTAAACATGTAAGTTTAGATAATAAATAATATTTTTTTAAAATTGATCATTTATCGGAAAAAATTCTTGAAAAAGGCAACAACTGGTGTATTCCCATTAAGTGTAATATGTGTCATTTATCTTTTAGTCGTCGAGTTAAACCCCGTGCCTTCGTTGCAGAAGGTAGTCGGAAAATTAAATTATTCAATTAAATTTGATGCAATTACATCCTGGAAAAATTGTCTCATAATGCTGTTTCGGCGTACTGTTTAAACATTCATAGATAAAAAGAAGAAATTAATTTCCTTAAAAACATTTTCTCAGAAAGTGCAATGGACATTTTTTTAGTTTATGTAATAATATTGACGTGATGGAACAAATTTTTCTAACAATCCCTGCTTCAACGCATCAAAATACGTAGGAAAATACATACATCTGAACTACCAACCAGGATACTTCTTTTTGTGTGACTGTGATATTATCGATCTGTTCTCTCTCTCTCCCTCTCTTTCACTATGTGTTATTGACCTGTCCCATCCTCTATTTGTAAGCATAAATGTAGGTACGCATCAATTTTTCAAATTCTTTTTATATACAATCATTTTCATTAACAATGGATTTCATAAACAATAAAAATGCATCTTTAAGAAAAAATAAAGTGACAAATTACAATTTTATCATTTACAAAAAGACATAATTGATTATTGTTTCTTTAAATTATTAAAAATTATCCCGACTTCAGTGGTTTGTCTCACATTTTAAAATCTTAAAATATTCTATCCATTCCGATTGTTAAAAATTTTAAATCGCTTATAAAATTAGGTAATGACAAAGCAGATAAATTTTCTGAAACTAATGTAGTTTTTAAGTTTAATTGTAAGAATTGAAAAGCTTGATCTATTGGTGAAACGAACCGCACATTAAAAACACGAATTGAAGAACACAAAAATAATAAATCTGACACATCTGTAGTGAGGGCACCTCAGTTTAAGTTTGGTCATGAGTTTGATTGGTTAAATATCTCCATTCTTGATCGTGAACCTGATTATAAAAAACGCTGTTTTTTAAAATGCTACATATAAATATTAACTACTATTAATAAGAAAAATTATATTCTGTATTTAAATCGTATTTATTTTCCTATAACTAAAAAATTAAACTCATGATCAGTCTCAGTTAACCTGAAGAGGATGACAAGCCCATGTCATCGAAGCATCGCATCGTCTATATTTAATAAATGAAACAATGACATGAATTGTTGTTATTTTATCTACCATCCGTTGGATTAAATTTTTCAATTTTACTAATAAATTTTAATCAGATTCGGGCAGTTTTAAAAAAGTTTGTCATCTTACGTAAAATTAGGAAATTTTTTTGGCTGTCAAGCGTTATTTTAAATTCAAAATTGTAAGAGTTTGAAATTCATGTTGAGAAACGATTCCCGGTCATTTACCCGAATCAATTTTATCAAATAACAAATTTACTATGAATGTCAAATTTCGCGAAAATTTTTTTATCGAATGCTTTTATACCGAAGGAACTTTCCCCGAATCAATTTTCCCGAAAAATTTGTTACCGAATTATATTATACCGAAAATATTTTTACCGTATGCTTTTTTACTGAAATAAATATCGTTACTGAATTGAAAATTTTTCAATTGCTATATGCATTTTTTGAAATAAAATTAAGAATTATACGTTTATAAAACGGCAGAAATTATTAGAAAAAAACAATTGGGCATAACTTTAAATTTAAAAATTCAAAATTTCGGTAATAGGTACATTTAATAAAATTTTTTCGGGATTAATAGCATTCGGTTAAAAAGCATTCGGTTTAATGGCATTTCGGTAAAATTGATTCGGGAAAGTAACCGGGAACGTTGAGAAGCAGCAAATTTCGTCGTTAAAGGGTTAAATCATTTAGAATTTAGAAATTTTATTTAATAATTGATAATCAATGATCTCAAGAACATTACATCTCAAACAAAGAATTATCCAGGTTCGAATATTTAGAATTATCCATGAAATATTGAATTTCAATTTTTACACTTCTTTCAAAAAATGAACCAAAAAAATTCTACATCACTAACCCATCCCCTCAAATAAATTAACAACATTTATTTTTGTTATATTTTAGAACAATATAAAATTGCAAGAAATAACATTTAGTGCCAATATTAATCATAAAATTGCAAATTTCAATATTTAAGATAATAAATAAATTTTTGCTTAAAATCAATTAAGAGTGGATAAAATTATATACTTCCCATCTCTGAACAAAGGAATCTTGAATTTCATAGACCCATGATTTGGTGTGATAATGTGTATCGTCACGATATCTGTTGTGATATCGTCAAACCAGCTTAACAAAACCGCGCGGTAAAGTAGAAACTCAGCTACGAAGTAATATACTAACACCAACAATTGTAACGGGAACAATTTTTAACAACTCTAAAAGTTTTACAATGTGAATTATAGAAAATAAATATTCAATATAATAAAGGTGTAAAGCAATATTTTTAAAAATAGTTTAAATTTAAAAAAGACGTAATGGATCAAAAATTGATCAATACACGTTTTCGAGGCGTCTAAGAATAGATGCAATATTTCAGATGAAAATTATTCGTATTCGTTCAGAATTTGTATTAAATTTCGATTGAAATTCATATCGCGTTTTGAAACGTTTATTCGTATATAAAATTTGTAAGAATTCTGTTCGAAAATACAGAAATTTTCAAAAACTGACCAAGTCAAAATTTAGACCCTCTCTTTTTAAACCTCTTATTATTTGCATCTTCTATAGGTCAATTAAAATATAACTCTGTAAAAGAAATTCCAATTTTAGTTTTCGAAAAATTTTAAATGTGATTTTTGGGATTTTTACCCCCACTTTTCTTAAAATTCTGACGTGATAGCAGGTTTTCGTTGCCACATTCGGATTCAGCGTCTTTACCTATATAATTATGCTAAATACCGGAACATAAAATTCGATTCAGTTTAAGAGATACAGCTGTGAGAAGAAGTTTACTTTAATTAAAAAATGGCTAAAAATCATGTTATAGAAATATTCATGTTTCGATAAAATTTGAATCCAAGCTAATCTAGCAAAACCCAAATCGGTTTTTGATAATTTTGATAAGTACTTTTAGAAACTGATGTCAAAACTTAGTACACATTTGATGACCTCAGAAATGTTGCACTGTGTATTTTGAATCAAATATCTAGTTTAAATTTGTAAAAATTGAACATATGGTGCCATCAAGCGATATATTTCGTACTTAACTTTATATTCCGTGAGTAAAATTAGTCACCCTTTGTTTTAATGAAGTGACAAAAATAACTTGGTCGAAGTAACGCTTTACTGTCTTTCTCTATTCTTAACAAATAATATAGGTTGTTCTCTTTTCAGGTGACGCTATTGCTATTTTCTTTTTCCAATGAAACTAATATAAGTTTGTCTTTATCCAGGTAACGCTATTTACTTCTTACCCTATCCAACAAATTCATTATAAGAATTTTTTACTTTACCTAATTTGCTCTACTACTATACTCGTTTCATAGTAAGGATTTTAAAATAAATAGGAAAAATTACTAAATTATTAGTACCTTTTACCTGAAAGGCCCTATTTTAGTTTTAAATATAATTATTACTATAGAGTTTTAGTGTAAAGTGACTACGAATTATTATTACTGTTGCAAAGTTTTAAAAATATATCTTAATTTCTGTCTTTACCTTGATAGTTCATTTGTTTGTAGTTCAATAAATTCCTGCACACCATTTAACTTTTCCATGCTTTTTCTCCGTTGTTCAAAACTATTAAAAATATCCTAAAAATTAAATGAGAATAGTTTTAAACATATACATTTTATATTAAAATAAATACATTCATTTCTACGTTCATATTTGTAATTATACTCTTACTAAAGGATGTTTTATTATATCGAAATATTTTAATAGCACAATTATTATTTATAAAGTTTTTTAATTTAACTCTACTAATGTTACAATACCACTTTCAAAAGGTTAAAACGTTTAATCATATATAATGATGGGAGATGATATTTTAAAAATCAAATGTTTCATTCAAGATATTTGTTAAAGAAAACAAATTTGCAAAGGTTACCAAATCTCTTAAAAACTTTTACTCGAGATTTGTTGGGGTCACCAACCGATTGTGAAACAGATATTTTTGTAAAATCAAACTTCTGGATCCAAAGTGGCAATCAAATGTTAAGCTGAGGTCATGAATAACACTCTTAAGGGGGTTTTGGATTACTTATTAATAATATGTCTACATCTGTATAAGAATGTCCCACTTTAGAACTATTGGACTTATCTACATTAACATATTTTTGATATTTCAGATACATTAAGAGGTCATAGAACGCTCTAGATGAAAAATTTTCAAAAATATAGAGATTTGAAATTATTAATACCAAAAACCTAATTTATAGAAAAAAAGTGTTTAAAATAAACATTTACAATTAATTTTCAAGTTAATTACAAATTGAAAATAAGATTATAAGTCCTTTTCATCAAAACAAATTTATCATAAACACATAAGTTAACTTGGCACACTTTACAGTTTGGTTTTCAACAATAAAAGAAACTCTAAAAAACTGAACCAATTTTAGATAAGAAAATTTTCATTATATTCTAAAATAAAATCTAATAATATTAATTGTCAGTAATAATATAATTTTTAGGTCAAAATTTAAATTGCGATTTAAAACACCCTTTAGTAAAAATTTTATTATATAATATATAAACCTCTGATGTTCTCGTAAAACTTGGATCTGTTAGGTAGGAATGTTGTTCTTGATTCAAGTCTCTATGAAACAGTGGAGATGACGAAGGATCTTGTAAGCTGTTGTAAACCTACAAAATTAAATTATGTATCATTTGACATTACAACAGTGTAACATTACACAATGTGTGGAGGGAGTGTGTATGGACTCCCCATTAACGCCCCAACCCTTTTAATTACTTAAATCCTTAACCTCAATTGTGATTCTCTAACCATTCCTTCTTACGATTTTGTCCTAACCTTTCACTACCATATTCCCAACAGTCTTACTATCAAACTATCCTTCTTCATTTTTCTCCCATTCACCCCATCATTCATTACAACCTCAAACACTTGTCCATAACATTCTTTCACACACCATTTTACCCCATCCAATCACACACATTCCCTATCCATTCTCACCTCACTTCCATTCCTTCTTTCGATCCATGCCTTCTCTCCCAGTAACCATCTTATTCTTCTCTCTCTCTCCACGTTCTATCCTCATCTATTCTCTCAACACATCCTTTCAACCTCATAACTTCCTCTTTCTCCTCCTCACTTTCCAGTTCTACTAACCATATATTCGGAATCCCATTCGCATCCATACTCATCGCTTTCATTTGTCTAATATTAACTTTCACCCCTGTAGTATAGTAATACAGTTTTACATATAAAATATTTACTACCAAGAATAAGTAATCTGTACATAGGTCAAGGCCATACTGATCTCATTTTCATATAAAACCCACCCAAAAAATACCAAGAGACCTCTATATTTAAAAGTCAGTATTAATGTCCAATTTATCACAATCCCTATCGTTTCAGCCAGTCTCCCCACCTCCTTTTTTCCCACAGTTAATCCTGCATTCATACCTCTTATCACTATATTCCTTTTTCTTTTATCCTTTTCCATACATTCCACTCTTCTTTCCAACTCATTCACTTTCTGTTCAAAATATTTACTTTTACTCCCCTTACTACTCATTTTTACATTTATTGAGTGATAAGTTAGATTTCTGGAATGGCTGAGTCTGACTTAAGTAGTGTTCGCGAGAGTGAGAAAAAGACCCGAATACTTAAAAGAGGAATAGGAAAGAATGGAAAGATTATGACGTGTGAAGATTGCATGGATTTGATGGAGTTAGTGGAAATGTTAAATGATCCAATGGAAGAGCGTTTCGTGAGAGTGAAAAAGAATGTTGTAACTGTTTGCGAAGCAGGTGATGAGAGGGGTAAAGAGATTGATGAATTAGATGAAGAAATGAAAAGGATGCAGGAAAAGGTGGACGAGTGAGTTAGAAGCTATGAGAGAAAGAGTGGATGAATTGGAAAAAATATAATAGATAAGAAGGAAGAGGATAGAAAAATGGAGGTTATTGTAAGACAGGAGGTAAAAATCAATAGTGAGAGGAGTGACAGTGAATAATATGTAAATATATATTAAAGACTTTCTATTGTTTAAGATTACCTCTTCTGCGGTTCTTTGAGCTGTTAAATTAAGTTCAAGACTGTAGAGGTCAGACCCTTGCTTTAAATTATCACTACTATTTGTATCACTTTGTCTATCAATTAACACGTTTTGCATGTTTCCCAAAGAACAAAGGGTTTCATCATTTACAGCTTGGTCATGGCCTCCAAATGTAAATGGAAAATTTTGCACTTGTTGTGATGTAGATAAAACGGACCTGAAATGTAAAAAATGTTTATGTCCACTTTCAGGAACAGGATCTTGTACATGAATTTGTAAATATGAACCAGGTATTAATTAACTTACTTGTAGAACTCAGAAGCGTCAATGTAACTTTGCGAAGTAACCGATCTCAAAGCATTGAATATTCTTTCTCCAGTGGTTGGACTTCTCTTTCTTAGTCTTGATTCAGAATCTGATGGGTCAGGTGGAGCAGGTGGTGGCGGCGGCACTGGACTAGAAGCGCTATCTGCGACCTCATTTGGTGAAGGCATCGAGTCAATATGTAAGAAAAGTTCATTGTGATCATGATGAAAAAGATCATTTTGTGATATTTCGTAAGTAGATCGATCAGGTAGACTTTGAATGTACTGAGACACTCGTTGTAAACCTTGTAGCTTCGAAGGACTACTATGTAGACTATAATTTTCCATCGAATTCTTTTCTGCACTTTTACTATTTCGAAAGGGAATCATTTCAATGTTTTGCAAGTTGTTCACTTTGGGAATCATATTATCGGATAGGTCCTGAGCATTCTGTAACATCCTTGAAACATTTTGTGACCTGTACATCGATTCCATTATTAGCTGTGTCTTATTATTAGGACAATTTTCTAACCCATAATCACTGCTTAACACTCTAGAATTATTTTTAATATGTTGCCGAACTGTATTATTTCTTTGTACTATATCGTAACTACCATACGGTTGTGGTCCTCGACAAAAATGATCATGATCATCATATTCCAAATTCAATTCGTGCTCTGTAATTGGTGCACCTTGAACACTGTATCTAATCTTTGTGGGTTCATCAACGTGGTTATATTGTCTGTAGGTACTATTTCCAATAGTTGATAGGTCCTTCTCCCGGTCTTTATGAACTCCAATGTTATACCTGTAACAGTAGTTGAAAATCAACCATTTTCCGCCCTAGATGAAGAAGTAGAATTTTCTTGTATAAAGTTAAATTTTGTATTTTATTCATACGCTTTTATAAAAAAAATAAAATTACCTGCGATCAAAATTCGGTGGCCTCATATCAGGCTGATTTTGAACTGCATACATATCAGGTTTGAAAGGAGAGTAACTTTCAAATTTCGATCTCATTTGTTCTTCGTAACCATTAACGTCTTGACTTTGGAAGAGAAAAACGGAAGGCTCTGTAGGATGTGAGGGAGGCATGTTTGATAGAAATGGAGGTGGAGTTAATGGACAATGACTTGAATCCTGAAGTCTGAAACAATCTATTGCATTTGGTGCATGAAGAGGGGAAGGTCTGGGACGAGAAATTGGTCTTGATTGAGGAGCTGGTCTCAATGGTTGCGGAGGTATCGTATTTCCTGTTCCCAAAGGTGGATGAAGATCTCTATCGACTGCTTCAAAACTGCAAAAAAATAGTTATTTGATATTATTAACTAAATGATCATGGAAAGGTGGAAAATTGAATAAAAGTCCAATGTGTATCGTCAGTAAAGCGACGTTTCGTCTGTCAAAAACTTGGAGTCCTTGATAAAAATTATCACCCGAATCAATTGACCTTGACCGACACTGTTTTAGCTAAGGCTTATAGACTGCCAAAAATACATAAAGAAAATGTCCCACTCCACCCTATTATTTTCTTCATAAATAGTTTTTCTCATTTTCTTGCTAAAATACTGTATAATTCTTTAAAAAATTGAATTATTTTATCTCGGTCACACATTAACAATAGTTAATCTGGAAACTGAATGTTTAAAAGAATTAAGAGAAAAGTATAATTGTGTCCCCATGTTCTATTTTAGGTATGTGGATGACACATCCTTATCTGTTAAAAAAGAATATGTTAATTTGATCATTGATATCTTTAACTCTTATAGTCAAAATCTTCAATTTAGAAAAAGAAAAAAAAGACTTCATGGGATTTTAATTTTATTTCAGTTGGAAGGAAATTGTATTCTTATATCAGTAAATTTTAATTTTATTTCACAGGAAGGATGTTTGGCGTATCTGACGTGCATTAAGTACGTCTGATATCTCGAAATGGCACCTCAGACGTGCAAAATGAAATGTACTGTTGTTGACACTGTCCTCGGCGCATCTAATGTCCCGGAATTTTTTCCGTGTATTTATTATTTTTAAAAGAATTTTTAATTCTTAAATATTGGTCTTATTAATACTGTAACTTTCTAAGTTTGATTAAAGAAGTTTGACTGCTAATACACGGAGAAAATTTCTTTAATAATGATTACAATAGTCTATATTACAGCTCGGATATGTGACCACTTTTTGTAATGATTGCGAAAACTATGTAATTTATTAAGAATTTAGTAGGAGCGATTACTATAGTTACTTTAATGAATCCAAACACTGTATTAATCGTGTTGAAATTTATTTTTTTGAATCATTAATAGTTTAGATGTACAGGTTCAGAAAGGGTACTGTAGGCATTCACGCAGAGGCTTGTTATATGTAATTACAATAGTCTACGTTAAAAGGAAATCTTGGATTCTGTTCACATTTGTAGCGGTCTAAGGAAATCAGTGATACAGACTGTAGTAGCCTTTACAACAGGACTATTGTAAAATAAGGTGACCGCGGCTGCCTTGCCTTCTTATTTAACTATAGTTCTTCGTTAAGACTACTATTGCTATATTTCTGATTACAAATGACTGTTGTAAAGTAAAAAAAGAAAATTTTCAACTAAAATAATTTTTTTTTGTAATTAATGACTTGCGTAAAGTACGTAAGTTACCTAATTAGTGCAATTTACAATAATTCGTCCATTACGTAACCTAAGTCATTTACGAAATTGCAACTTACGTTATTTACGTAACTTATATTTTTACGTAATTTACGTAAGTTAACTTATTTATTTATATAACTTACTTTTGTTATTTACGTAACTTGCGTAAGTTGTGTAAATTATATAACAATTTATACAGGCAAGAAATCTTGTACCTTCGGTGCGTGTGTTAGAAAAAAAAAATTTTCACTATGGAAATGTAATAAAAAATAGACCTTACAATATTAAAGACTAACAATGAACAATAATTGTATTAATTATTGAGAACGAAGTGATTTTTTTACATTTAAAGTGTATAAGTCTTTCTCGCAAGCGGTGAACTTTCTTAGCAGTTAGTATATAAGGAAGTTTAAGTCATGTATAAATATGTGTAAATAGCGATCGTTATTATGTTATGCGTTTAGTATTTAAGTTAGATTTATGTACTTAGGGTTTAGTGAAATTGTCTAGTTTAATAATATAATTAATCTTGAAGTGGGTAGTCTTGGAAGAGTGAAATTGATGTGCAATACATGATTTAGAAGTCATGAATTACAAAAAAATTTTATTTTAGTCGAAAATTTTCTTTTTTAACTTTACAACAGTCATTTGTAATCAGAAATATAGCAATAGTACACTGAAAAAAAAAATACATGAGACATTTTCAACTACATCCCCTTAGTAGAGTAAAAAGTAATAAAACGAACTACTTTTTTAATTAGTCTGGCTACTTTTGATACTTATTTTAACTGTTTTATGTAGTTAAAAATTATTAATTAAATTAATGTAATTTTATAGTTAACTTTGTAACTGCAGGTATGTTACAGAAATGACTACAGAAAGTAGTAGATTCTACTACTTAAAGTAGTTCGATAGACTAATTTTGTAGTAGTTTTTACTTCTTCTAGGAGTTGAATTATTTTCCATGTAATTTATGTTATAGATTTTTATAGAAGATTATCAACTGTGAAAAGTTGTAAATGCAACTACTTTAAGTAGTAAAATTAACTACAGTTATCAGTTGAACTGTGTCAGGAATGCCTTTAAGTATTAAGCAACTCATCGAAGCGGGCGAGCGTGGTTAGGTGGTTGGGTTATCGGTTTACGAATGTTAGGGTCGAGCGTTCAACTCCCGACGTTTAGAGATTTTTCTCCGTTAGGTATATAGACATTAAATAAATAAGGTATAGGTAAACAAAAGTGGGTAGGGGGAAATATAAAAAAATACAACTCGATAATATTTATAATAAATTATAAATAATTTTATTTTACCATTTTCAGTAGTTACTTTATTACTGAGTTATCTTAGTAACTTTAACTACATATCAGCAGTTAATTCTACTGCAAAACTGTCATTGGTTCCTATTTAACTAACGAAAGTAGTTAATGCAACTGTATTATCACTTCATTCAACTACATATCTGATAATTAATGTAAGTTCAAAATTATCTTTGGGGACTTATTGAACTAAGGAAAGTAGTTAAAAAGTAGTCAAATCTACTAAGAATTTTTTTCAGTGTAGTCTTTACGAAGAACTATAGTAAAATAAGAAGGCATGGCAGCCGCGGTCACCTTATTTTACAATAGTCCTGTTGTAAAGACTACTACAGATTGTATCACTGATTCCCTTAGATTGCTGCAAATGTGGATAGAATCCAAGATTTCCTTTTAACGTAGACTATTGTAATCAGTCACATAGACTTTGTGCTAACTCATATTTAGTTCGTATTTATTTTAAATAAGTACGTTCGACTTACAGAATTGTTACAACGAAGCTACTTTAGGCATTACGAAAAGTGGTCACATATCCGAGCAGTACTGTTCGACTATTGTAATCATTAACAGAAAATTTTTCTCCGTGTAGGTACGTCCTATTAGCTTCCAAAATTATAACAAACATTTATTTTAAAAATTACCGTGTAAACGATCCTTGAGCATCAAGTGTGAGGTCACTATCACTGTGCAATAAATATTGCGATGTACTTCCATTTTTGCGGTATATACCTGGCACAGCTTGAGCAGTGGGATGCTGCGCTTTTACTAAGCCAACCTTATAAAACACAATAATTTTTATTTATATACAGTTAATAGATTTTTTTCTCTAAGCTTACAGGAAAATATGTAATGGTAAATGCATTTTCATTAAACCGTTACAGATTTTCATTTCGTACATATGCTAATTTTTTTAAGGTACTTAAATATAATAAATATTGCAATATTACCTTTTCTTCCCGTGGAGCCCACAACCATGATAATCTTTGCCTCCATTCTTCACAAATACTCCAAATGCTTCTAATTCCACATTGCCAACTAATGAAGTATCTATTTATGTCAAGTGTCCTGCTGGAGTTAAGAAAAAAGTTTTTAAGTACGAACATATTGAGTTATTCATCTAAATGTATTCACAGGTAAGCTTCATAAAAATTTATGCAAAACTGCGTACTATCTATATAGCACTCCAAACACATGAGATGAAGGTAACTAGTTTAAGGTCTCGTTTAAATGCTAAAGAGCTTACATATAATTATACACAACAATCATTTTTATATGTAAATAAAGAAATATAGCTAATTTTCTAATGAGATGATTTTATATTTCCTTTTTTATAGCTGTAAGTTGGACTCTATAAATAGCTCTCTAAAAATTATAAATATAAAATTCTTTTCGATCATACAAAACCTTCGACCAAACAGAACAAACCGTAAAAAAAGTTTTATTCCTTAAAAAAATGTGCAGTAAACAAATAAGAACAAGATGGTAGTCCACCTTTATAAAAACCTTATAGACAATCTGATGGGCACGTTTCTTAAAAATTCGAACTAATTTCAAAAAATTAATTTCAAGGGAATAGAGACGTAATGACCGACTATTGAGTTATCTTTAAACTTACTGCTTTTACATTCATTTTTATAAAACCTAATCATCTCAGGAGCTTGGTATATGAGTCTTTAGGAATTTTTAAATAAAAAATGAACCCTGTTACATTTTTATTACAAAACATCAAAAACTTACTTTTTACAGAGCACAAGCGCTACACCGGCAATAAGAATAATAGCTAAACCAGCTCCTAAACTTGTAAGAACCCAGCCCATTATTTTCGAATTTTGATTCCGTTGAGAAATATAAAATTATTTGTTAATTCTGAAACAAAACATTAAAATATGTGGGTCAGTTGAAAGAATTAAAATTCTAAGGATTATGAAGGAACGCATTAGTTCTTGATTGAAAAGAATACAAACAGGGGCGGATCCAGAAAATAATTTCTAGTTGGGCGGTTGTATTAATCTTATCTTCCCTCCTAGAATTAATATTGAACACCTTATGGAATATCTACATTACTTACGAAAAACTCTTGTGGGGCGATCGCCCCGATTGCTCCCAACATAGATCCTCGCCCCTGGATCAAAATTAATTTTATGTTTTCATACATTAAGATTAATAATAATAGTTCCTTTAAGATTTTTAGCAGTTAATTACGAATTTAAAGTCAGATTTCAAAAGTTCAAAATGGTGGATCCAATATGGCGGACGAGATTTATCAAAATTGATCTGATTTATTTGAAAGTAGTTGTTTAGGGGTTTTTGAGATCGCCGAACCGAAATTTAACGATGGACTGACATTAAAAAATTGTTAAACCTTTTCTGTTACTATATTATAACTATTTTGGTCCTACATAGAAAACAAGACACTCTTCAAATAATCTTAGTTCTAACACATCATTTATTACCTCTTATCTTTATTAACTGTGTTGTCGATTACATATTGCCTTTGTTGGTTGGATTATTACATCTCATCTTTAGTAATTCGATTATTACATTTTTTTGTTGACTGGCTTATAGAATCTTATATTTGTTGATTGGGTTATCTTACTTTTGTTGTTTGGATTATAACAACATAACTATAATTCGTTATTGGAAATGGTCAACTTTGACATCCTATACATTTCGTAGACGAGGCATATGCTGACTTTGAAATATTGCAGGAATTATTGTGTTATATGAATGCAATTAATGCACTTAAAAATGCAGAGAGATTTTCTAAATATTTCCATTAGACAGCATACGCAACTGATTTCTCGTACGAATATCATGCGAATATCCATTCTAATTTACGAACGAAAAAACGTTTCAGGATACGAAATCCGATACACATTTCGTGCAAAATCCGCATGAATTCTGATTGAAATTCCGAGCGAAAATCGTACGAGTTATTACCACCTGGGCTAATTATACCATTTGTCTCTTTACAAATTAAATTTGTTTTTAATTCTGTACGGCTCTAATGTGTGGGTGTTATTTTCGTTTTTATTTTACTTTCTGACGAATTTTTTTGATGCGAAAATTTATTTTCTTTTATGTCAAACTATTATTAATTTGACTTCCTGAAGAGGAATCTTTGTCTAAACATCTTCGTTTATTTCGTTTCTTATTAAAAAGTATTTAATTACCTTTTTAAAAAATTAATTCATATAAATACATAGGTGGAGTTCAGAAGTATTTAGAGACCAAGCTATACCCCCGTCTGTCCATTTTTAATATAAACGAAAAAAATCAAAACAGGGTTTAAATTAATGCTTGTACGTCGCGCTTTAAAGCAGTCGTGGAGCATAAAAAAATTCATATTCGTAATCAGCGACCGAAGAAACCCCTAAGTAGTAAATATTATAAGCAAAATACTTTAAATATTAAATTTATATCCCAAAAATCTCTGAGTAACAACTTTCAAGCATCTACGATTTTTGAAAAATTGATCCGCCATTCTGTATTTTGCAAAACTGACTTATTTTTTTAAATTGCTCAATTCCACTTGAAATTTTGAAAATCTAACTTCATATTCGTAATCAACGACCCCAAAAACCCCTAAATAACAAGTTTCAAGCGATTTCAAATAATTATTTAAAAAATGTCCGCCATATTGGAGCCGCTATTTTGAATTTTAAAAATGTGACTTTATATTTGTAATCAGCGACCCAAAAAACCTCCGAGTAACAAGTTTCAAGTGAATTTGATCAATTTTAAAAAATAAGTCCGCCATATTGGATCCGCCATTTTGAATTTTGAAAATATGAAAAATCCGACCTCAGATTCTTAATCAGAGACCCTGAAAACCCCCTAAAGAGTACTTGGTTATTAAATTCCTTGACTAGAAAAATGTATGCTTCAAAGTATTAAACCACTTCAGAAAATACAAAAATAAAAAATTTTAATTTTGAAACACTTTTTTAAAAATATATGTACGAATATTTTCATGATTTTTATATTGCATACAATTTTGAACAGAGCTTTGATTCGTTTGACGTGGTACGCCTTATATATAGAAATTTTTTTTTTAATTTTTTAAATTTTTCCGAAAAGAGTGATTTCTTCTGTTATTAAAATTTTGTTTAATCCTAAAATTTAGAAATTTAGAATATCCGAAATTTTCTTTGGTCATGTTTTGAATCGTTGATGATTATTAATATTAATTATGTTAAAATTTTTAAGATTTATTTAAGCAATCCTACAGATAGATGTTTTATTTTATTTATATGGGATCACTTTTATATTTTGAGTAAATGCTACACAAATGCAGATAAAAAATCGAATAATATGCCTACATATATACAATTATTAATTTGAATTTACTATATTGCTATAATTATTCAATATTCTGTTTACTAATTACAAATGTATCAACATTATTGATTTTGTTAATATTAATAAGTATGATCTGTGTCAAACAATAGTATTATACTACTTTTAAAATTTTGCATTAAATATTAAGTGTGAAGAAATAAAGAAAATAGAAATGACAATTATTGATGACTAAAGTAGAGTAACAATGTTGTTAGTCAATTACTTTATTCAGCTTATATATAAAAACATAAAAAGTAGTTCAAGAACATTATACAACTTAAATCTCATTTAAATGCGTGAATAAATAAAAAAATATATTTAGTTGAAGATGTAAATGCATATGATGCATGAGAAAACAATCCGATATTTAAACAAAAGTCTATAACAATTCTGACAATGCGGCATTATCTGACCTGTTCAGCTGGCACAGAGAATCATTGAGCACGTTTTTCGTAATTATCGATCCCACCCGTGCTTTCTCGAGCCTAATCAGTTGGTCGACTTTCCAGGTTCATCGCAATTTCTCTACATTTTAATGGACTAACAAAATACTTTTAAACGCAAAGCGATGAAATAATTATTAGCAAAATCATCATTTTAATCGAACTGTCTTAAAATACTGACAATAATGACAAAAACAAAATATGTTATATATATGTATATAGATATGTTGGGGTATGTAACTCTACCTGATAGAATTCCTTAAAGTAATAAGTCCAGGTGGACAGTCAATGAAAGTTATCTCAAACACTCTTCCCTTATCTTCTCACTAAATCGCGAGACTAAAAGCGAAAATAGCTTTACGGTTAAAGTCATTGTTTTTAAAACTCCGATTCCCGCAAGGAAAATGCTCGCGAGAGCTTCAGTGACCCTCGCTCTTTACACAACTGAGCCTGGACTAGGGGGTGGTTCTGACTCCGACAGGTGGCGCTAAAAGCTCCGAACACCCCGTATATCTATAATATGTACTCTAATTATGTTTATATAGGGTAAGGCGCCAAACGTGTAACGAAAAACGATAGTGAATCTTGACCTCATATCATTTTTTATTATAACGAGCTTCCTGTATTGCATAAATCAGACCTCACCCTCATCTATACTAAAAGTTACTATATATTTACTACATTTTTGCGCTTTGCTACTATTTCGATACATTTTTAAGTTTTGTGCCCTATAAACCTACTTAATTTTTTTTCGAGAATTTACAATACTTTAAATTCGATAATCGCTGAAATTAAAATTTTATTCTCAATAATCATAAATATCAAAGTTTTTAATTCTTATTACTGAATTTAACTTTTTCGATAAAATTATATCTAACCTATAATCAAATTTTATAAACTTTTCAAATTTTAAACTAATGAAAATTTACATATTGATAAAAAACTTCAGTAAGCTAAAGTTACAATACAGGAATATGTAGGGGAGAGGGCCCCAAGGTGGTCAGGGCCCTAAGGTGGTCACCCTAAGAAAATTTTTGTATATTAGTTAGTATCTTCAAATGTTTTTTGTTATTGTTATTATTTGAGAAGACAAAAGTTTAAGTAAAGTTTTCAGGTAAATAGTCGTATGAGTCTCTTTGTAACGTGAACGTCGTAAAATTTCTGTTTTTAAATGATCGAGAAATTTTTTTCTCAGGGTGTTAAAATCATCGAAATTAACCATTTTAAATTAGTAAAAATCGTTAAAATTATCTTTATATATCGTACAATAATATTCCAAATGAATATAATTAATATTGTGCTTTAAAAAATTTTTTCATTAACGTTTAAAAAATTGTGTCTTGGCCCTAAGGTGGACACTCTTTTGGCCACAAGGTGGTCACTTTTGATTTTTTATGAAAATGTGTTTATACGCCAGATTTATCAAGATTTATCACTGTGAATGTGAATTTTATCAATTTTTAAGTTTTATGATGAATAATAATGAAATAGAATTATTTTCAAAATTTTACCTGTCTAATACATACACAAAAAGTATCATTTTTGACGAAAGGACAAAGTGCAAAAAAAATATTATGTAATATGTTTCTGTGATCCTGAAAAACAATTAATATTAAATAAACAACTTAATAGTACGTTTTTTACATTTTTTTAAAACTTTTTTAGCGAATTTTTGTATGGTGACCACCTTGGGGCCACTTTTTTAAAAGTCGAATTTTCAACTTTTTTTAAAAAGTGCCATAACTTTTTTTTTATTAATGAAATGAAAAAAACTTTATGATAGGAAGTTAGGTGATAAGATAAAGTTTCAAACGCCGTATTATTGTCCTTTATATATAATTCCATTTGAAATCTACAGTCGTTCAAAAGATGGGTGACCACCTTAGGGCCCTCTCCCCTATTATAAAATAGTTAAAAATCTAGTCAGAGAGAACTAATTTAATTTTTTTGTTTTAAAGTAAGAGTATAATATAGAAAGTTTAGAGTCCACAAAAAAAAAAAAATAAAAAGAGTCCACAAAAAGTAAGAGTACTTTAAAGTTAATTTGTTCTACCAAAAATGTTTTAGAACCTTTTTTGAAAAATAATTTATCCTTTCATCTATTATAATTAAAAAAAGTACTGCGATTGAATTCCTGCAAATTTAATTCAAAAAACCCTAAGTAACAAATTTGAAGTGAATCCGATAAATTTTTTTTTAAAATCATCCGCCATATTGGATCCACCATTTTGAATTTTCAAAAACTATTATTGGAATCGTGATCAGCGACCCCAAAAGCTTCCGTAGGCACAGCAGAAGTGAAAATAATTCATATCTCTATTTTTTGTGTTAAAAAATATTTTTAAGACAGAAATGTGCTATGCTTTATTTTTCAATTTTTTTTCATATATAAAACAATAGCTCCAAAGTCAGGGTAAATTTTTCGTCCTGTCGGTCGTTAGTGGATTAAACTTTCAAAAATCTAAAATTTTGAAAAAAGCCTTTTGAAAATTGTGTTAAAAAATAATGTACAAGTAATTTTGAAAGTCTCAATTTGTAAAGCATTAAAAAACGCCTTGATTGACCTATTTTTGGTGCAACCTAATTTGATCAGAAATTACGAAATTATAGGTATTTTAAAAGGCAAAAATGATCGAAAATATCATTTTTGAATTTTTTTATTTAAAAACTTTTCCAAAACTATTAAACTATTATATTATTATAAACATCTTATAGAATAATTTAAAATACATTGATTGAATAACCAAGATTTAATCATTTCTTAACACATTTTATTAAAAGTTCTTCTTTTTAAAAGCACAATTTTTAAGAATTGAGTCAACTAACTTTTTTATTTACAACTCTTTTTCCAAAAATGATTATTTTAAAAATTGTTGTGAAAAGACTGAAAAATACGAGAAATTAATTATAGTCACGAAAAAAACATATGGGCTATTCCATATTTTTTTGGATTTGTGAATGTAAATCTATTTTCAGTAGCTTATAAGTCTAAAAATATTAAGTTTAGAAAAAAGTTGACAATAAAAAAATTTAGTTTTCTTTTGACTTTGAAGAAATGTAAAAAAAATGTTTCAATTTTTTATTTAAAAAAAATGTTTTTATAAACAAATTAATTTTTTTTTTAACTTTGTGCCCGATTTTTTTTATTTTTAATTTATTTATACCTTATAATATAGAGAAACAAAAATAAAAAATACGTATTTAATTTTTTTCTATAAAGAAAGAGAAACACTATAAATTACATATATAGAATAGCCCATATGTTTTTTTGCAGAAACCATCCCGGTAAGAAGGGTGGAATAGAGAATAATTAAATTTCCTGAAAATTTGCTTGAAAACGAGAATTTTGAATTATTCTGAATAGAATAATAAACCATAAAATAAAAAAATAGAAAATGCGTTTTAGAAAAACTGTCCTCCAATCGATAAATATATATGTGGGAGAGATGACCAATAGGTACTTATAATTTTTGGAATTTTTAATCATTAACATTACTTTTCTCTTTTTTCTGGTCGCATTTTGACATAAATAAAATAAAAGTTATTATACTGACTCAATAAAATATGAAATTAATAATTATGTTAAAAAATAACAATATAGCAATGAGAAATCTGAAGTTTTCAAATTATTTTAGACCCATGCAAGAAAAAAATAAAAAAAGATTGAACTTACATTTTCATTTTTTTTTCAACTATTTGTTGTTTACATTTATTATTAGTAACTAAAGGTTGAAGAATAATCCATAATAATAATAAGTGATATTCTTTTTTACAAATTCTGTAAAATATTTCATTTAGCCATTTACTTTGGACTTACCCTAACTTTTAATGTATGTTTCTAAAATCATACTTAGTGCAGCTTTAGGTATTAGCTTTTATTTGGCTAAAATAAGACATGGTTAAAAATAATTCAAAACTCTCTTACTACAATTGTATCTTTGTTAAATCTAAAGCTTAATTTAGAAAAAACTGAACGCTTTTCGTATACTCTCCCTACTCAATAAACATTACTATAATTGTATCTTTGATCAATCTGGTACTTTTCATACTCTCTCTATCCAAGAAACATAACATAAGAGTATCTTTTTCTTGCCTTTTAATCGATTTTATAATAAGGATTACCTAAGGTAAAAGCACCAATACTTGGAAACTTTTAAGATAGAAGCAAATTTAGCAACGATTTTTAAAAAAATAGTATAGTTTTACTTGCCAAACTTTTTATATTTCGTTTGTATTATGTCCAGGTACTGGTGCTTTTACCTTATACACAATTATAGAAGTATTAAAAGATTATTAACAATTGAAAACAGTGATATCGGACTGGCTTTAAATCCGAACTATTAAATCAACATCGAAATAAATTATATTTTATTTTTTAACTAAAATTTATTGGGATTTAATTATTGTAATATCTCCTCCACGTGGCATATAGAAAAGTGCGACGTACAGAAATTATCCAACTATTTACTATTCGAATCTATAATATGATTTGAAGTGAAGAAAATCAAACGCTTACATTGCCATACAATTAGGATGGACGATTAGAATAGTTTTCCCTCTTTCATTAACTCCTCCTAAGACAATTTGTCAATACAAGGCGAAGTCATGCTATATTTAATTTCATACAACACCAGTGCATCGGGTTAATTTACAAATCGAAATTTTAGTTTGAGGAAAAAATTTGCTTCTTATCTTTGCTGTAATTACTTCAAGTATAAAAGCCATGGTAGCCAGGGAGTATCCAATTGTTCCTACATAAAACAGGGCAACAAAAATTTGTTCCTTCGAAATCATTTGCAATTCCGACTTATTATTTGTTTGGGGTAAATTGACATTCGTTCTGTAAATCTCTCTCGATAATCCAAATTCTAAAACGTTTAAGATTCTTTTAATAAAATCGTCAAGATATGGTGTAAAAGACTCTGTGAGAAATGGTTGGTAAGAATGCGAAACAGTTTCTTCCAATATTTTAACATTTGTTCTGCCGTTTTTTGACAAATAATTTTTAACATGATGTGGAGAATTATTTATAAGACAGGAAATATTCTTGTAATCAATATACTTTAGCAAACAATCTCCTTCTAATATACTATTTTCATCATATGTCCCATCTTCTTCAATTATACTATATTCTTCAAACGTCATATCGTCATCAATAATACTATCTTCTTCAAATATTCTAACTTTTTCAGATATACGTTTCAATTTTTGTCCTTTTTTTGCTAATTGTCTTCCAATATTTTCTATTTTTCCATTGTTAGCGAGTTCAGATTCTCCATAATATGATAAGGCAAAATGTACGTCAGCAGTCATAAGTGGTGTTAAATTCGAATTGAGAAGATCTGTGAGAGTTGAAATTTCTGGCGATGGTCGAAAACTGATGTCGAGGATTATCGAATAAAAATAACCAGTAAATACAATGCATGTAATAATCAATGATCCAAAAACTGTTCTTTCTGCTAAATTCCGAGGTTCGCGATTCGCAGACATTCCCATTATAATTTGGCTAATGTTTAAAGTTTGCCATGTACTGTTGTTGAATTTTATCAAAAATGCTACTAATCGGATGACAGAAATCGTACAAACTGTCACAATGATCATGTACCAAAATTCTGTTGAAACAATTATTTCCTTTGAATTTTTTGACATTTGTGGAATAACAGCTTTAACAGGATACATTGGTTGAAGTAGTATATTAATCAAACCCACATCCCCATTCCGAACATAAAATTCATAATTTATATTCTCATTAGGGTACAAATCTTTTGCTTCGTATTCGAAATGTGATAGTTTTGACCATATGTGATTATATACATAAAAAATCATTTCAGAATTCAGTAGTACAAGAGGTAGTGTTTCCAGTTCAATATAAATTTGTCGAGTCAAAATTCGTAAAAAATTTATAGCCATAAAGTATTCGTACACATATGAATTATTAGTAGATAAAATATGCTTCGAAAACCACTGACTTTTTGGTGATAATTCTGCAGAATCAAACTCTGGGATATATAATCCTGCATACCAATATTCTGGGAAACTTAAAGTCTTTTCAATAATAAGAATTAATTTGTTATGGTTTTGTTCAATTTTTAGAGTCCGTTCATTCATATTTATCAAAACACTAAATTCCATGAAATTGTAATCTCTAACAAATGACAATATTCCGCTGATATTTATATGAAATATAGGATAAGACGGCACTATTAAACATTTTGGTTTTGATGGCCCCTTTAATAAATCATTTCTGTCGTCAGTAAAAAATTCCTTGAATTTATCGAATGTTGTGTTCTTTGTCCACTGCAAAACGAACAGTCCAGTAATTTTAGGTCGCAATAGTGTCTGTAAACGTTGTTTAGTAAGAGTAGAATTTATATCACTGTACTTGACCGTAAACGATGGAAAATGCGAATTCACTGCTGACATGAGAGAATCCATCAATGGGTCCGAATGGACTAATTCATCGTCAAGAAGGTACACTATCTGACGCAATCTTGAATCACTTTTCAAATACTTTATCAATCCATCATAGTAATTACTTGCCGAAGACACTACCAGAATTTCTTTCCACAAAATTAAGCTGACAAAAAATAAGTCTTTAAATTTCATGGTTGCACAACCACTGCTTTTGATCGACAGAAATCGAATGACAACTACGAGGAGTTGCAATAAAATTATTTAGACCTTTTATTAAAATAACTTCCTTCTTTTGATGGAGGTTTATAAAATAGAATGGTTCTTGATAAGTAATCAAATAAATTATTTTTATTCCACTTAACTTTTCATTTCTTTTATTAAAATAAAAAGCACTTTAAATTTTATTTCTACGATTAAGAATAATAATGAATAAGGATGATTCTCCGCGTAGCGCTCAATTTGGATATTACTAATATTAAAATTGTTTTCAAATTAAGAAACATATAAGTTTTTAAATTAATTTCTTTCTTAGTAATTCACTTAGATGAGTTAACTAATGCTTTTTACTAATGTTAAGTGATGTTTCAATTTTATTTTTTATATAAATTATTCAGTTTTACAAAATGATGATTAGACCGTGACACGAAAACGAGGGACTAGAAATAACAACAAAAATATTGAAAAATAAAATTTTTTCCCAAGTGTTTTATTTTTTTCAATTCTACTAACGCAGACATCGCAATACGAAACTTTCAATATTCATTATATTGATTACTATATCATACTACAAATTACAATTTTTTATATGAAATGTTAAGGGGACTGATCCACACTTTTTTCCTCTCTTCTTCTTGTCGTTAATAAAAATTTTAATTGTTGCACAATTGACAAGTTTTAAATAGTTTGAAATATTTTATTTCTGAATATACTTTATAATTCTTAAAGAATAATTTGCCATAATAGGTACTTAAAATTGTAAATACAAAAAATTTAACTAAATATCAAAAAGTATCACAGAAGTCTCATCTAAGTCAGTGTAACATAGTTTCTGGGTTTTCAAATACTTTTCTGAACTTGAAATTATTTTTACTAAGTCATTATATATAATAATATACTTATTGTATATTAATATACTTTTTGCTAATATACTTCTTATATATTAGCCATAAAAGCTGTGTTGCTATTCGAATATTACCAGCAAATATTCAAATTCATGAGAAAGTAGGACATTAGTAAAAAAGGCAGGACAGATGTTAAAAAATAAGGACATAAGGACTTTATATTTATGTAAATATTTTAACAGATTTAATACAGTAAAACATTTATCTACAATGTGCTGATTCTTAGAAAAATATCATTCTCTTTGAGCAATACATAAAATTTCTTTTTATTTTTGAGTAAATAAACTATCGGTAACTATAATATCTTTGAATTTCTTTCCACCTGCAGACTTGACAGATAAATAAATACTAATACCATTCTCCTGCCATTTGGATTTTAGCAGCACCGAACATCCTTTACCTGTTAATTTACAAATTATATTTTAGTTTTACAGTTTCTATGACCTCAGAATAGAAAGAAAAAACTCATGAAAACAAAATAATTTCAATTCTTTATTTTTAACTCTAGAAATATGATTCAACAGTTTACATGAGTCCTTTCCCTTCAAAAAAATATAAATTAATAATATTGAATATTTTTAATTATTATCAAATAATTAATTATAATAAATAAAAAGAAGTACTTACTCACTAGACCTCGTTCATGAGCTGAAGCTAATTGATTTATGACTCTTCTCTCAACTTCGTATTTAATAGAGCGAGCGCCATAATGTGGATCATATCCATCAGCCAAGGCGGACGAAACTTCTCTGTCCCATTTCAATTCTATTCCATGTCTTTCTTTAGCACGTATCGACCAAGATTCAAGTTCTCGTGAAACTAATTGAATAAGCTCTGCTCGAGAAAATGGTAAAAAATAAACTATTTCATTGATTCTTCCTAAAAATTCATCCCTTCGAAAGTGAGACTTCAAAATCGGTCGAACCTAGAAAACAAAATAAATTACAGTAAAATCGTCAAAATAAAATATATATATATATATATATATATATAACTTACCACTTCATCTTTAAAGTTTCGTGAGATTTCAATGTGTTCTAATTCTTCGTCTTTATTTTCTTTTTTTTCTAGTCGTTGCGAAATTATACGTTCAGCTTCCTCCCTTAATTGCATACCATGTTCAGCTATTTCTTCACTGGCTAAATTGGATGTCATAATAAATATCGCGCTTTTACAGTCAATGGTTTTACCTTTTCCATCAGTCAATCTACCCTAATAAATATTCCAAAGATAATTTCAAATTAAAAGACCATAATTACAAAAATAATTAATTTAATTAATAATTAATTACAAAAATACACTATAGTATATTATAGAAAATACAATACCTCATCAAAAAGTTGTAAAAGGACAGTTAATACGTCTGGGTGCGCTTTGTCTACTTCATCAAACAATACAACAGCATTAGGAAATTTTTTCAACTGTTTAGTTAACTGACCACCATCATCATGACCTACATATCTGTTAAAATTTTTCAATCATTATTTTGTATAAATTAATTATTGTTGATATTATTTCTTCATCATTTGATAGATATTTAATTAAAATCAACTCTAGTTGATTTTAATTCTATCAAATGATAATGATAATCTATCTAAATTATTATCTATTATCTATCAAATGATTATATAAAATCAATTTTTATTTTTACCCAGGAGGAGCTCCAATAAGTTTTGCAACTTCATGTTTTTCTTGATACTCGGACATATCAAGTCTTATGAAGCTTTCGCGTTTATTTTTATGAATATAGGCAGCCAATTGTTTGGCCAATTCCGTTTTTCCAATTCCTGAGGAACCAAGAAATAAGAAGACTAATGGATGATTTTCATCTATCCAACCATTTTCCTTCCTTCGTATAGCTGAAATTTACATCTTATAAATCTTTCTACAAAAGGTGAAACTTTCATACACATAAAAGATTTTTGATTCTCTCGATTTTAAAAGAGAAATCTTCTTAAATGAACATTTTTTTTCTTTGAGAACGAATAAATCGCAAAAAATAAAACTTACTGGAAGCTACAATAGAAATTGCACCCTCTTGACCGACAATGTACTGCTTTAGTCTTTGCTCCAAAGGAAATCTGCGCCTTTCTTCCGCTTCCTAAGTAAAGTTATCACAATATTAAAAGATCCTTTTTAAGTAAAACTTTAATTTATAAATACAACATTAAACTGTAGCAATAACGCATAATTACCCTTTCTTTCATTGCTTCAGCATATTTAAGATTATATTTTACAAGCAATTCCTTAATCTCTCCTTCTCTCGCGTAGTCAACAGCACGATAACCTTGTTCATTTTCAAGTGCAGGATTTGCTCCTGCATCCAACAAGGCTTGAACACTTTCCTTAGAGTTTGATAATGTTGCATAGTGCAAAGCTGTAAAGCCTCTAAAACTGGCTCTGTTATTCAAATGATCAGAAAACTCCTCTTCACGTTTCACAGCAACTAAATAAAAAAATTTGCACATGTTCATATAGGTATTGAAATAGAAGACATTTGTGTACAAATACACAAATTAGCTTTAATTGATGGTATCTATAACCGGAATCTAAATGGACTTACCTTAAATATAGAACTTAATTTAATATTTTAATACTTACCTTTTGTATATTTCATTTTTTTATTTTAAGCACCTTCTGTTTATTTTAGAGACACGTTGCTTGATGCTTAACATTTACTTTTATTTTTGACGTTTACTCGGTGTTAATACACATTATCAACAGTGATGCTAAATCAGTTTTAATGTGAAGTGAGAACCTAGTAAACGCCAAAAACAACCTATGGTATTATTCTTATAAAAATTATTGAAGTAATTTACCATCAGTTGGATGCAATCCTTTCTCCACAGCTGTTTTATAAATACTACTAAATTCGTCCCCTAAATTTACATCAACTCCTTTAGATATTAAGAATTTAATGACTTCAGCTTGACCATTTATAGCAGCTACATGTAAAGCATTCCATCCTAGGGGATGCCTCAAATTCACATCAACACCATCGGATAAAGCCTGAAATTTATTTCACATGAATCATTTCTGAGAAAAAAGATTCAATGCAGTTCATGGACTTTGAACTAAAAAAGTTATTCAGTGCCATACGGTTGAAAATTCGCAAATCTGTTTTTCAGGTCAAGTGGGACGAATTTTGAATGTAGCTAATTCTAGTTGGGGCGCTTTTGTTTCAAACCACCATAAACTCATGGATTTGACTTAAAATATTAATTTATGACATAAATGATAGTTTTTATTTTAAACTATATACACAGATGCTTCCTCAAACCCTGCGAATGGAATGGCTACAGCGGCTTTCTTTGACGAAATATCCAACTACACCCAATGTACTCCTCTCCAACCGCACATTACGGTTTTAACGACTGAACTCTACGCCATCTACTCAGCGATCACATACGCAATAGAACACGATAAAACACGTACACTTATAGTCACAGACTCGTTGTCCTCCGTCTAAAGACTCAAGAATTGTCTACTACATTAAGACAATCCATATTTCATATATAAAATTCTAGAATTACTATACACAAATTCCGATCCTGGCACCCCACCTTACTTTAAATTTCTCTGGATCCCATCACATAATGGCATTCTGGGTAACAAATACATTGTTGTAATTTGCTACGAAATCAATATCTCAAATAACAACAATAGAATGTATTTTTAACTCCCTCGCGATGACTTGAGAATGAGTGTCTTTGCTTTGGACAGGAAAGCTTGGCTTTCTCATCTCTGGCCTTACTCAGAGCGAGACCTAACGGAGCACAGATACTTCTCAAGAGTATCCCCTAAAGCGGCCAGGCCCTGGTTTCTGGATCTCAACCACCCGAGGAGTTGGATAAACATCGTCACTCGACTAAGAACAGGCCACACTCTAACGAGTGAAAATTTTTTGAGAATTAATTGAATTGGAGCGGCACGCTGCGATTGTGGCGAAGAACGTCGTTCCCTTACTCACTTATTAAATGATTGTCCAAGTTTCGCACCAGCAAGACATGATTTTTTAAGATTCTGGCACAACAAATTTCCCAATTCAGTCCCCAACACGGCAGGCATTGACGAGTTAGTATTCTCGCCCAATGAGCAAGTGGTCAGAGAGTTAGGAAAATTTTTTACATTCAATCACCATTTTATCTAATTTACAGTCTAGACAATTGTCCAATCCTCCCATCAACTTACTGGAACCAGTTTTACGTATAAATATGGTTCCCACCGCTTGCTGGCTGGAGAGATCCATCTACATAATTATATTCTACTCACGGGATTTCACCTAACAACAGTTAATTTTAATACATTTCTTGTTCTTCTCATGTTATTAGTTTTGACACTCGGCAAGGCCACAAGTTATATAAGAAGAAGATATAGAATTAGCCTATAAAATTAACATTAAAAAGAAACAATTTAAATATTCATTTGTCACAGAATTCCAAAAGAGAATTATTATAAATATCAAAAGAGAATTATTATAAAAAAATTATAAATCAAAAGAGAATTATTATAAAATTGAAATTTAACTGAATTAAAATAAACTATTCGTTTCGGAGGTTGGCGACGAAAGAACAACGAAAGAATAAATAAGACACGAATCTTCATTTTTCTATGTCTTCAACAAACTCAAAACATCAAAAAATAGACAGGAACGTAGTAACATGAATTTAGGCCCTAATTCTTGAATTCTTTTTACAAATTGTAAATTTGTATAATCCAGATGTTGTTTGATAATAAATAATTTACTAGACTCTCCTCATTATCTTCTAATTTTAATGTAAAAATCTCATTACAAAAACACAACGGGAGTAAATCCAACAATTGCATTTATCCCTTAGAATCAGGTTCATATGGCGATTTTAATGGGCCACCGGCATAGCAGCTTTACGTATTAGGAGACAGAAGGCTCAGTAAATTCTACCAAGGTTGTAAAATAATTTCATAAAATGTGGGAAATCCAATGCAGAAAGACATAAATACAACACTCCATTGAATCATCTCCAAAATAATAAGAATCCAAAAATGTGATTCACTTATTTTCTACAATTTTCAACTAAACTTCATCTCTAAATCAATTATTTTAAATAATTTTCAGAAAGTTCTTCTAGAATTAAATTATTTAAATACAAAAAACTCAATTTTTTAATAATTTGTAACTATCCATGATTTTTTCTTAATATTAAGGTATAATAAATATTTTCAAAAGATTTTAATAAAAAAATTCTTACAATTAATTTTGAAAAATATTTTTAAAAAACATTTTTTAAATAACAGTTTTTTAATTATATACAATTGAAAAATGTCCAGACAATTGAAATTTAGTAAAATCTTTTAAAAATAATTGAATTTTTGAAAAATATAAATAAAAATAATAAAATTTTCAAAGAATTTTCATTATAAATATAACCATGATTTCTCTGAAATTTTAATAAGTCAAAAAAGTATATTTTTATAAATTTTTGTCTACTTTGTTCGAAGATAATTGAATGTTTAAAAATTATGATACATAAAACAATTCTAAGAATTAGTTTTTAAAAATATTTTGATATAATTTTTCGAAAATATTTGAATTTCTTAAAAAAAAATTTGTATAATTTAAAACTAATCAATTTTTAATGCATTTTAATAAAAAATTTTAAACATGATTTTTTTCCAAAATGTTAAAAAAAATTCAAAAATTTATTGAATTATAAAAATATATAAATTAGGGGAGACTGGGGCGAAAAGTTAAATTTTGCATAAATGATTTTTTTTTGACAATATAATCCGCTTAGATGCAAATATTTGTATATCAATATTGTAGGGCAATTTGTCCCCTACAACTTTCAATAAAAAAGTTCCTGATATTTTCGCAAAAAATACATGTTTTGTCCTTTTTTGAAAATTTTGTTTTTTTTAACTTTTCGCCCCACCCTGGGGCGAAAAGTTAAATTCTATTTTTAGCCTACTAAAACTATTTTCTGATAGGTGATAAGTAGTAGATAAGTTAAAGTATACGTAAACAAGTAATTTAGTAAATAAAAGATCTTTGTTTATTTGACAAAAGCTTTAGAATAGTTGTAAAGTTAAAAAATTGAAATTTCAAAAAAAAAAAAATTTTTTGGTTTATTTCATGTGAACGGTCTTGTTTTTTGACAGAGTACTTGCCCAATGTTAAATAAATAATTTTTAAATAAATAAACCCAAAAAAACGAAAAATAAAAAAAAATTTTTTAATAACATGTAAAAATACATTTAACTTTTCGCCCCACCCATTATTTAACTTTTCGCCCCAGGGTGCGTTTTTGGCTTTAAAAACAAATATAAAAAATCTGACTAAAGATATTTAGCAAATACCTTCAGGTATCTCTTCAGGGGACCTAAATAATGAAGTAAAAAAATCGCGGTGAGGATAAATGCAAAAAATATACTTAAAAGTTGATATTTTCTTTTTCGAAAAAATTTTCAAAAGTAGGTTGAAAAAAAACATTCAATATAGACACCACAAAAATTAACAGAATTGCACATAACTCCGCACATGTATTTAGGGTGATAACACCCTTCTATACTTAAAATTGCAATGCTCTAACTATTCCCGTTCGAAAGATAATGAATTTTAACGGTTTTGTCAGTTTAACTTTTCGCCCCAGTCTCCCCTATATTAAATTTATTTTTTGCATGTATTTGAATTTTCGGAAATATGTAATTGAAAATACTAAAAATGTTGAATGTTAAAAAATTAGAAGTTAATTTTCGTTAATTTTCATTTTTAAATTTACATTGAAAGATTTTTCATTCATATTTTTGATAATTCAATTATTTTCAATATTTTCAATTATTCAAAAAGATTTTTATTATAAATATATTTGAAAAATTAAATTATCTTAAAAAATGATTCTAAAATAATTTTTGAAATATTTGTTTGTAGTTATTTTTCGAACTATAAATATCGAAATAAGTTGCACTTTTTTTACTAAAAATTGTGGCACTGTCTTTACTGACATCTGGGCAACTTATTTATTTTAAAAAATATTTATTATAAAATTATAAATACTCAAAATTGGCAGCAAAAATTGACGACCCATAAACAACAAAAATTTAGATTGGTTAAATTTTCACAAAATTCATCCCACAAGCTCTTAGAGATCTCGAAATATTTATGAAAATTCATACGCACACATGGAATGGCATTTATCAAAAATGTGATTTTTAAATTCTTAAAGAAATGTAAAGAACGTAAAGAAATGTGAATAAATCGAAGTGGAAAATTTTCAGTAAAAAAATAATAAAATAAAAAGATTTATAGATTCTAAAATGAGGAAAATATTAATAACCATTCGTATTATTAAATACCCTTTTAAGATCTTGAATGTGTCCATACTGTGCTGCTCTGAAGAATCGTCTCTCTACAAAAGTAAAATAGACAGTTAAAATGACGTTTTTAAATATATCAAGAAAATTAGAAAATATTTACCTTTGTTAACATTAGAACCATCACCTAAAAGTATTGCTGCACTGAGGCCGCTAAAAATGTACACTAATTTTTTCGAACTTCTGTTATATGAATACGAGTATTCCTCTCTATTATATTTATAGTCGTTTATTCGCAAAGACGATATCAGTCGAGAAAAATAATTTTTTGAAAGAAAAGGTATACTGTCAACAGTTTTATATAAAGGAAAAATATTTTTTTCACGAACAAGCGTATATGTTTTATTTAATACTTTAGGCTCAAGACACCTTTCTGACTTTAAAATATTTAAAAATAGTTTTAAACTTTTCTTTTTATTGCTATTAATGCAAGTTTTCAAACATTCAAGATACATTTTTAGGTTATTTCAAAACAAACAATGTGACAGACAGTATTAATTCATTAGGTTAGAAAATTGCTATATTTACTGAATGATTTAAACTTTTATCCCAATAACAAATAAATATATTTCCACACTAGAAACAAACGCATCATTTCTTGAATTATTTGAATGGGGGCATTTAAATAACAATTTCATCATCTGTCAATAACAATACATAACACGTGAAAAACAACACAGGGATGAGAACAGATGAGAAACTTATTAGATGTAACAGGGATGGAACACTCTGCATCCATAGAAGTATCTAGTGGAAAAAAATCTAGTAATATTCACGGAAGCCCTATTAGGGTCTGTCCACAAAGAATGTATAGAACGTGACGACAACTTCACTCATATTTTTTATCCTTTTAAAGAAAAAAATAAAGTGGTGAAAGCATCTTAAAGCGGAAAGGAGGCTTTCCGCTTTAAGGCGCTTTCACAACTTTATTTTCGAAATGATTTTCGTACGTACGATTTAACGAACGAAAAGAAAATCATTGTAGAATGCCTTAAAAGAAGAAATCTTGTCGTATTTCAGATGCTCTTCTATATTATAATGCCATCTGGTGTAATTTTCAATAGTGTTTACATTTATAAACATGATGATAAACATTTTTCAACTCCAAAAGCAAAAGTTATGTGTAAAAGAAGAGTATCGTCTTTTTAAAAATTGTTTCTTTATTCACATTTGTAATTAGTAATCAATTGTAAGAAATTATTATTGAAAGACCTCATGGCAGATAATGAAATTGCCAAATCAAATGGGTAAATTTTTGCAATTCTTTATAAGCATTACATTTACATCTTATATCTATAATTTGTCTATTTATAAATAATCAGTATTTCACATCATTGTTCACTTGTCAAGCTATTACGTAGTGAAAATTTTAATAATTGCATTCTGAGAAATTTATTAATCCAGTGAATCATACAAGTACATTTTTTTTATCATACACCGAGAATCTTCTAAACGTCTATGGTAAATTATTATCAAACGTTATGAAACATTCCACTAATATTTATTCTCTAATCTCTTGTAACAAAAATTCATTTATAAGAATAATTTTTATGAAATATGTATTACATAAAGTTAAATATTGCTTATTACAATGTATAATTATATAAATATAATTTGTTGTGAGTAGAAAATAATCGCGTAAAATTAGCATGTAACTCAGGGTCAACTACTTAGGAATCGTTTTTTACAATATTTGATTTTAATGCTCCTTGAATAAATTATATAAATAACTATGTGAAATCGAAGTTAAATAAGTTTCCAAAAATAAATTATATTTTTATATTTATGAATAATGAGAAAAATAGGAACTTATTGTCTTTAATTAGATTAACTTCTTCAAATGTATTGAATCAATTTATTTTGAAATAATTGCAGTTGGCTTTGGGGATGGTTCAATGGATTTAGTTGGTCTGGTTCTTCTGCAACCATGTTGAGAACAGTTGAGAAGAAAATTTTATCTTGTAAGTTTATTTGTCATACATTTCAGTTGCATTGTTCAATTTGTCGCTCAACTATGTTGTAATCATCTACTGACAATAATATTTTTTGCCATGCAGTATAATAGCCTTGTTCAAGTTTCCGTGAATTGCATTACCTAATATGCCTGCTGATTAAAAAAATATATATCTACATAGATAACACGTATTTAATAATTATACTTTAGATAAATTAAAATTGTCATATAAAAGCTTTTAACAATATCAAACTAAATATTTTTTTACTATTAGATACACGTGTCAAAGCGCGCGTGCACATTCTTAGTCACTTATTGAAGCTCGAATACAATAGAATCATAGAGTTGCTACAAAAATTTAATTTTGTTTTTCCCTGATTTCCAGACAAAGTTTTCATTTTTCCCTGACCCTGAAGAATATTCTGATTCACTCTAAAAATGATTAGATACTCAAAAAAAAATTTCTATTACATTTATTTACTAATTTCTTTAATTGGAAAATTATTAGAAAACAAAAATAACTTTTTTCTAAATTAATATTTAATTCTTAATTTGTAAGAATTAAAGATGACCGAGTGATAAAATCATTATTTCATATTATTTTCATAATTTCAATTCAATTTTTTTTCCTACCATTTTTAACAAAAATTCTTCTCTAAATCAATTATTTTTAATAATTTTCAAAAAAGTTCTTTGAGAATTTTCAAATCCATTTCTTTTCTATACAATTTAATTTTTTCGAAATATCATCGATTATTCAGAAATTCTTTAATTATATAGTAGAAAATAAAAACTTGATATAATTTTAAAAAAAATTCAATTATTATAAACTTTTTCAAAAAAAATAATTCCACAGAATTGTTGGTTAAAAATATGAAAATTCAGATTTTCAAAAATTTTAATTTAAAACCTTTTCAATATTCAATTATTATCTAAAATTTTAACTGAAATTAATTTTTAAATCAATTTTTATTAGGAAATTCTATGAGAATTCAATTATTTAAATGCAAATAAAATGCAAATAAATAATTTATTGAATAATTGAATGTTTCTTAAAATTGAATTCTTATAAAGAATGAAATCAAATTTTCTTAAAATAATTGTTTTTTTTCGGAAATTTTAATAAGATTTTTAAGAATAGTTGCATTTTTTCGGAAAAAATGTTAAGAAAATCGTATTTTAAGTAATAAAAATTGTATAAAAATAATTTAAGTTATCTAAAGTATTTTATTATTTATTAAAATAATTGAAGCGCAAAGAATTTTATTATTAATGAGAATAATTGAATTTCTCTAAATTTTTTTTAATTAAAATTTTTAAAAATTAATTGAATTCTTTCAAGAAATTTTAAATTGCATTAAAAATAATTGAATTTTTTATCTTATATTATTTTATTAAAATTATATTTAAAATAATTGAAATTATCTAAAGTATTTTATTGCGAAGAAATTTATAAAAAATTTGTAAATAATTGAATTCCTGTGAAATTTTTATTATTTATGACAATAATTAAATGTTCGTATTTTTAGTATTTTAAACTAAAATTTTGCTATAAATGCATTATTTTATATAATAATTAAGTAAATATATTAAAAAATTTAACTAATTTCAGAAGAATTTGAATTTAAAATTTTTCAAAAATCTGAGTTCTTTAAAATTTCTAATTAAATTCATTTAAAATTGAAATTTTGTAAAATTGTTCATCAAAGAATTTGTAATTAATAATTTTATAATAGTTCTTAAAGAATTAAGTTATTAAAAAAAAATTTTTTTTTAATTTTTATGAATAAAATCAGATTTATGTCAGTTTAAACATAGCATTACAAAACATTATGCAATTTTTTTACCTTCTTTTTAACAATATTTAACATTTTGTTAAATAATTTTCAAATTTTTTTTTTAGAAATAAATAAAAGAAAATATATAATCTCGATTTGTCAGACAATGTTTTTACCTTCTTTTTAACAATATTTAACATTTAATTTTGTTAAATAATTTTCAAATTTTTTTAGAAATAAATAAAAGAAAATATAATTTCGATTTTTTCAAACTGCATGATTCTGATTTGTCAGTTACAATTTTTGTTTACAAAATTCTAAATTCTAAATTTATTCTGATGTAAGAAAATTTAATTTTGAAGTAACATTTTAAATAAATTAAAAGTATCATTTGAATACAAATTACAATTTTCAGTCTGTAAAAAATTAATTTAGATAACATAATCTAATTTAAGAAACTTGTTTCATGTCAGAAGTACTAAATTCCAGAAAAATGGCACTTTTATTTTCCTATTTAAATAACTCCAGAATTTTTATTTAAAAAATTATGAAACTTTGTAGAGTTATTTTTTATTGTAATATTTACCAATATGGAAATTATAGAGAAATTTTTTTTCTATATATACATTTAAGAAATTCAAAATTGATATGAAACTTTGGTAAATTTTTGCTTTTTGCAAGTGTAAAAAATTCATAAAATTGTAGATTATTTAAAAAAATATGAAAAAGTACTGAGTATATATATATAGTATTATTTCAAATGAAATGGACCGATTTTTGTGAAAATAGCAAATTAAATATTAATTATCAAAAATTAGGGTCAAATTTTAAAATATTAAAAAATAAAATTCACCATTGAATAGAGAAAAAAAGAAACTTTCAGAAACATATTGGATAGAATTTTTCTCATTACATGTATGTACAGAAAAAATTAAAAAAGTATACGGTGTTTAACAAACATAAAATTGACCCCTCTCTACCCCCTCCAAATTTTCGAAAAAATCAAAAATGTTTTTTCGGTACTTATTTTTTTGTATTCGCATACTTTTCTGAAAAATAATTAAATTACCATTTGACGTGAATATTATTATCCATTTTGGCACCATACAAGAGGGTAAAGTATATTCAGTGCATGGAACAAGTAAAAGATGCAATACTCAATGGCCCTAATCTACCAGTTTATTGTTAAGAGTTTAATTTGCAACATCATTAAAAACTCATTAAATCACAATTAAAAAGTAATAATTTTTTCTTTCTCATTTATGACTGTATACAGAATTTCAATCATTTTCCTAGAATTCTGATATTTCTTTCTAACATCAATAGACTAAAAGATTTCACAGTCTTTTTGCAAATTGAATGAAATTTTTTAAAAGAAATTATCAGACTTTTGAAAGTAACCTTTAGACAGCAAAATCTCAAAGTGTATAGAAATTCTAAGTTTCAAATATATCCGAGGTATTTTATAAATTAGAAGGAACGGAATTTTTACTTAACAAGTCTTTTCATTCTCTAATACCTAGAATTCTTTTTTTTTTTTGTAGATGAGGAACATTAATTTTTGCATAAATTCTGAGTATAATAGAAAAAGATTGCAAATTTTCAATTTATAATAATTTATGCACTTCTCTACCATTTACAGGCTTCGCACTCGATAATTACTTTTAAAATAGTAGCAAAAAGTAGCTTTAAAACTGAGAAAAAAGTAGTTATCGAAAAATTAAATTTGACTAAAAAAAATTTGTTTCAGTCGATTCACAAAAATTTGATTTAGTATTTCCCTGGCTTTTTTCCTGATTTCTATTAAAAATATTTACTTTCTTTTCTTATCCTGCTAAAAAACTTTAATTATTAATATTTCTAAACTTCAACTATTTAACAAATTTTTTAATAGAATTCTTCAAAAAATTCGATTATATTTAAAAATAATTTTTAAAAGTGAGAAAATAAAATTCTTTACAATATAAAATTTATTTCAATTAAACTTTACAAAATCTTCAAAATTGCAAATTTAATTTAATATTCTTAAATTATTTACAAGAATTTAACTAACTTCAAAAAATGTTAACTAAAATTTTTCAAAAGCCAAATTTTTATCAAAACTTCTAAATTAAATCATTCAAAAATTGAAAAAATTTTGTCTATTTATATTTAAACATTTATTTTTCTACAGGAGTTAATATTTTAAATAATTTAAATAATTATAATAACCAAATTTAATTATTTTTTGGGGATTTTTAAATAAAATAATTCAAAACTTTATAATTCTTTTGAAAACTGATAAATCATTAATTTTTTATGATAAATATTTAAATATTATTACAGTTTTACAACAATTAAAATTTTCAAAGACCAGTCAATTTAAAATTCTTTTAAAATTTAATTATTTCGAAAAATTTATATTTTAACGCTTTTAATATTTAATTGTTATCTACAATTTTATTTGAAATTAATTTTTTAATTAATTCTTGTTTTAAAAGTTCTACGAGAATTCAATTATTTAAATACAAAAATAAATAATGGATTGAATAATTGATTATTTCTTAAAATTGAACTTTTATAATTGTATATATTTTACTCAAATTTAAAAAAAAATTGAATTCTTTCAAAGAATTTGAATAAAATAATATTATTAAATTCAAATATTTGAATTTCAATATTTAAAGCCTTTTCAAAATTCATAATATAAATTATAAAGCTTAAAATGAAATTCATTTTTTAATCAATTTTTATTAGAAAATTATATGAGAATTCAATTATTTAAATACAAAAATAAATAATATTTTGAATAATTAAAAGTTTCTTAAAACTGAAATCTTATGAAGAATTTGATCACCAAATTTTTAAATAATTAATAAAATATCAAAATTTGAAAAAAGAAATAATTGCATCTTTTCCAAGAATTTGAATAAAACTTTTAAGAATAATTCCATTCTTTGACGAATATATTAAAATTTTTTTTTTAAATTTTATGAAAATTGAATTTTAAATGTAATTGTAAATCTGTAAAAATTTTATTATTTATGAAAATAATTGAAGTTTTTGGAAATAATTTTATTAACATTTTTTTTAAATAATGAAATTTGGTGAAATTTTATTAAAATTGAAGATAATAAAAATAATTGAATTTCAGCGAAGAATTTTATAATTTGGAAAAATAATTGAATTTTTGCGAGAAAAATGTTCTTAAAATTTATGAAAATAATTGAATTGTTTTAAAGAACTTTATTTAAAATTTTTAGAATGCTTCTATGAATTCTACTAAAATTTTTGAGAATACTTTTTTTATTTCAATTATTAGCGGATTTAAACTTTAAAAAAAAAGAAAAAAGTAGTTTTTAGTGTCAGAAATCTGAAAAAAGGATCCAAATAGTACCAGAAAGTGTAAAAAAAAGTAGTAAATATCAGTTTTTAGTAGATGAGTGCGAAAATCTGCATTTATGATTTTATTCGTTTTCAAAATATGCAATGTGTTACTAAAATCTATTAAAATTGCTTAAAAGCTTTTTATTTCTAAATATAAAAAATATGTTAGTTAAATTCTAAAGAAATAATACAAATTATCCCCTTTATTATCTAAACTGAACTTTGTGATTGAATTTAGGTCTGAAAACAGCATATCGTGGTTGGTACGTCGATATTGGTCCAGTTGTGGGACCGGCAGATAAAATATGGACGATTTCACTAAATGAAGAGTCACCGAAAACCCCAATAGTATTATTACACGGTTTAGGAGCAGGAGTTGCACTTTGGTGTCTCAATCTCGACACTTTTGCCACTCACAGGCCCGTTTATGCCATTGATGTATTAGGTAAACATTTTATAACTACTGCTTTTGAATGATGCTTTTAAATCATTAATCGTTACTATTATATGGGGCATTTCAGGTCTGCCCGACAACACGAATCGTTTTCAAAACGCTTAACAGAAAACAAATAACGGCGCTTTTACATTTTTATCATAAATCAGAAGGTATTATTTAACAGCGAAATTTCAACAATTTTTTAGTCATTGGCTTTAATTTTCAATTTCAAAAAGATTAATTTCACAAAATAAAAAATATAGCTTTCTTAAACTGTAAAATTTTTCATATTAAAAAATTCTTTACATGAAAAAGAGTTCATGACTACTGAATATAATTCAGGGTGACCGTTGGACCGGGAAAACCGGGAAACAGGGAAATTTTTTTCTTGACCAGTAATTTTGAAATTTTTTATGAATAAGTAGTTTTTTTTTAATAAAAACACTGGTTATTTTGTGTGTAAAAAATAGAAAACGTTTTATTTTGTAAACAATATTTAAAATACATATTAATAAAATTCTTCGCACGGGATTCAATTATTTTTAATACAATTTTAATGAAACTTCTCAAAGAATTAAATTATTTTTAATTAATTTTAATAAAATGTATAAGAATTTAATTATTTACAATACAATTTTATTTGAATTCCTATACAAAGAATTTTATTATTTCATAAAATTCAGAGCAAAAATTAAATTATTTCATATTCAAAATTATAAAAAATTACAAAAGTTACAAAAAGTAATATAAAAATTAATAAATAATGTTTTAAAAACCCTTATTTTTCATAAATTTTAAATTCGTTTTTCTTCAATAATTTTTAAGTAACTATTTATATATTTTAGAATGTTGATTTAGTATTATACTAATATTATTAATATAGAATGAACTTCAAAAAGTTTTAAATTAAAGTTTTAGAAAACTGAAATTTAAAACAATTTTAATTAAAAATATTCTGAATAAGTATATTTGATTTCCATTTTTTTAAGGAACTTTCTAAAAAATATAAAAAATAATTCAATTTTTTAAACAAATTTTTGATAAAATTCTAAGAAAGAATTCAATTATTTTCATAAATAATAAAACTCATAGAAGAATTTCAATTATTTTTAGTACTATTTTAAATTAATTAATCGAAAAATTAAATTATTTTCACAAATAAAGTTTTCCACAAGAATTCAATTAAAATAAAATTTCCATCCTAATGTTTATTATATTTAGAAAAAATTAATTATTTAAAACAATGTTTATAAAATTCTTATAATTCAATTATTTTAAAAAATAACAACAAAATTATTTTCAAAAATTCAATTATTAGCATAAATAAAAATATTCATTACAAGAATTCAATTATTTTTAAAAGTAATAAAATGCTTTTTAGGAATTCAATTATTTACAAAAATATTAGAATTTTTCACAGGATTTCAATTGTTTTCAAATATTTTAATAAAATTATTCGAAAGAATTAAATTATTTTAAATACAGTTTTAATTAAATTTTGTTTAAATAATTCAATTATTCTTTTAGATTTTAATAAAATTCTGTCCAAGAATTCAATTATTTACATAAATAATTCATCGAAAGAATTCAATTATTAAAGATAAATAACAAAATTATTATAGGAAATTCAATTATTTTGAGGCATTTTAATAAAATTCTTTGCAAAATTGCATTATTTTCACAAATAACATTATTCAACACAAGAATTCAATTATTATTAAAATTAATAAATTTCTTTTTAAAAATTCAATTATTTTAAGAAATTCCAATAAAATCGTTCACAAGAATTCAGTTATTTCCATTAATAATAAAACTCTTCTCAGGAATTCAATTATTTTTGAAAATTTTAACAAAATTCTTATCAACTATTCAATTATTTTGTTAAATAATAAAATTTATCACAGGATTTCAATTATTTAATTAATAAAATTTTACAGGAATAGCTCGAAAAATGTAATTATTCTTAAAAATTTAATTGAGGCCTTGGATCCAATAACTCGCCCGACGCTCGAAGGCACGCTCTAATACCAGTCGGGTAGCAGTGAGTGGCCCAGAGGCGCTCACTGCTCACTGACTGGCAGTTGCGCGTTCCTCCGAGCGTCGGGCGAGTTATTGGATCCAAGGCCTCAATTTCAATGCCTCGAAAAAATCAATTATTTAAAAAAATGTTTTTTTTTAATTATTTAGAAGAATTCAATTTTTACAAAAGTAGGTATTAGAATTTTTTACAGGAATTCAATTATTTTCAATTATTTTCATAAAATTATTCAAAAGAAGTCAATTATTTTAAATACAATTTTATTTAAACTTTTTTGAAAAAATTCAATTATTTTTTTAGATTTTAATAAAATTCTTCTGAAGAATTCAATTATTAAAGATAAATAACAAAATTATTCCCGAAAATTCAATTATTTTGAGCCATTTTAATAAAATACTTTGCAAAATTCAATTATTTTCATAAAAATCAATATTCATCATAAGGATTTAATTATTATTAAAAGTAATAAATTTCTTTTTAAAAATTCAATTATTTTTAAAAATTCCAATAAAATCGTTCGCATAAATTCAATTATTTTCATAAATAATAAAATGCTTTTAGGAATTCAATTATTTTCAAAAATATTTAATAAAATACCACACAGGCATTCAATTATTGTCAAAAATTTTAATAGTATTCTTTGTAAAATATAATTATTTTTAAAAACTTTTCGGAATTCAATGATTTTCAATATCTACTATTTTCATAAAATTTTCAAACAGAAATGAATTATTTAAAAAAAATTTTGTAAAAATCTTCGTAAGAATTCATTTTTTTTCATGAATAATAAAAAATTCTCAGGAATTCAATTATTTAAATTAGAATTCACATACAATTAATCGAAAGAAATCAATTATTTACAAATTTCATAAAATTCTTGGCAAGAATTAAATTATTTTTATAAATATTTAAATTCATTGATGAATAATAAAATTCGTTGGAAGAATTCAAGTTATTAGCAGGATACGAAAGAAGTAAATATTTTTGATGAAAATTAGGAAAAAATCATGAAAATAAAATACAGAATGTAATTTTTTTCAGTTTTGTGAAGTGTCTAAAACGAGTTTATTTGGTCGTCAAGTTTAATTTTTCGATAGCTTCTTTTTTACTACTTTTTTTTAGTTTGAAAGCTACTTTTTGCCACTTTGTGAAAATTAATTATCGAGTGCGAAGTCATTTGTTAGGCAAAAAGCGGTCACCCTGAGAATATAAATTTAAAAATGTAAAATATGGTTGGCGGCTAAATGTAAAATGTCCCATATTAAAGGAAAGTTAAATTTTTTTTTGTTTCACTATCAGTATTTGGTGATAAAGAGATATAATATTACAGGATTCGGTAGAAGTAGTCGACCAGTTTTTAGCAATCAAGCCCATGAAGTGGAGGAACAGTTGATTCGTTCGGTAGAAGAATGGAGACGAGAAATGCAATTGGATGAATTTGTACTACTAGGACATTCAATGGGAGGCTTCCTCGCAGCTTCCTATGCTCTTCAGTATCCTCAAAGAGTGAAGCATCTGATTCTTGCCGATCCTTGGGGATTTCCAGAAAAGCCCGAAGATTTAGGAAATAGGGCACACGTGCCACTGTGGATTAAAGCAATAGCTTATGTTGTGCAGCCTCTGAATCCTCTTTGGGCCGTGCGAGTAGCTGGTCCTTTTGGTAAACTTACATCTTTTTAAAATAGTAAATTGATATTAAATAAGCGAACTTGTATTTTATAAAAACAAAACTAAATTTTTTCCTTTAAGATCATAATTTTGAATACAATGTTTCAGGTCAGTGGCTTATCGAAACAACTAGACCGGATATAGTTAAAAAATTCGCACCACTTTTGAAGGAGGATATAAGTGTCATTTCGCAGTATATTCATCAATGCAATGCACAAAGTCCCACGTAAGGGAATTTTTATTTCTTTTTTCTTGATAATTGATAATTGAGTTCAGAAACTTTATGTTTTTTTAATATTCAATTTATTTAAAATCTAGTGGAGAAAGTGCTTTTCATGCAATGATGCATGGATTCGGTTGGGCGAAAAATCCAATTATTAAACGTATGGATAAATTAGACGCTGAAATTCCAATGACACTTATTTATGGCAGCAGATCTTGGGTTGACAATTCCTCAGGAGAAACAATTAAGCAAAGTCGAGAACAGTCTTATGTCAATGTTCAGGTAATTATTATCATGAATTTATATCAAAATAATAGTGAAATTGCAATTTCAGGGTTGCCAGAAAAATTTAATTTCGTTTTTCCCTGATTTCCAGACAAAATTTGGACTTTTTCCTTGACCTTAAAGAATATTCTGATTCACTCTAAAAATAATTAGATACTCAAAAAAAAGTTCTATTACATTTATTTTCGAATTTCTTTAATTGTAAAATTATTCGAAAACATCAATAACTTCTATTTTTAAATAAATATTTAATCTTTATATTTTTCCATAGGAATTAAAATTATCAAAAATTTTAAATTCAAACCTTTTTGAAATTAAACAACTTATAAGAATATTTATTATAAAACATGAAGAAATTGATAACTCCGAGTCTTCGATTCAAAGTTATCAATTTCTTCGTGTTTTATAATAAGTAAAGATGACCGAGTGATAAAATCATTATTTTATATTATAAAAAAATGTTGTTACTGTATGCTCTTCAAAATTATTTTCATTATTTCAATTCAATTATTATTTTCTAGAATTTTTATCTAAAATTTTTCTTTAAATCAATTATTTTTAATAATTTTTGAAAAAGTTCTTTGAGTATTTTTAAATCCATTTATTTACAAATCAATTTTACAAAATTTCTATTATTCGAAAATTCTTCAATTAAATATATTTTAGAAAATAAAAACATATCAAATAATTTCAAAAGAATTAAAATTAAAATTTTTCAAAAAAATTAGTTCTACAGAATTGTTAGTTAAAAGCATAGAAAATTCGGATTTTGAAAGATTTTAATTAGAAACCTTTTAAAAATTCAATTATTTCTAAAAATTGCAATTATTAGTAACTTCTCCAAAATTCAATTATTATTTAAAATTTTAACTAAAAATCATTTTTAAATCAATTTTTATTAGGAAATTCTTCGAGAATTCAATTATATTTAAATACAAAAATGAATAATTTATTCAATAATTATTCTTAAAAATTAAATTCTCATGAAAAATTTTGTTATAATTATGAAAATAATTGAATTATTGCAAAGAAATTTATAAAAAATTTGTATATAGATAATTGAATTCCAGTGAAATGTTTATAATTTATGAAAATAATTAAATGTTTTTTTAAAAAATTAAATTTTTATGGGAAAATTTACTAAAATTTTAGATATTAAAAATCATTAAATTGAGGAAAATTTTTGAGAATAATTGAAATTTTATATAAAAAATTTTTTTAAGTAATTGAATTTTGTCGAAGAATTTAAATAAAATTTTTAATATTAATTGCATTTTTTGAAAAATTTTATAAAGAACTTATGAAAATAATTGAATTTTTGTGACGAATTTGAAAAAAATATTTTTTAAATACTTGAATTCTTTTGTTAAATTTGATTTAAATAATAAATATTAAAAATTATTGAATTTCGAAAAATTTTTGAAATTAATTGAATTTCTACGAAAAATTTCTTTAAAATTTTTTGTAAATAATTAAATTTGTTACGAAGAATTTCATTCAGATTTTTGAAAATAATTGAACTCTTTTGAAGATTTTTATAAAACTTGGATAATTGCATTTTCGTGGAATTTATTCAAAATTTTACTAAAAATAATTGAAGTCCTGCAATGAGTTTTATAATAGTTATAAAAATAATTGAATTTTTGCAACGAATTGTATTAAAACTTTCAAAAGTAATTGTATTCTTGGAAAAAATTTTATTATTTATGAATATAATTGAATTATTGCGAAAAAATTTATTTAAAAAATGGTAAATATTTGAATTCTTTTGAAATTTTTATTATTTATGAAAATAATTAAATGTTTGCGTAGAATTTTATTAAAATTTTCTTTTAAATAATTGAATTCTTTTGGGACAATTTATTAAAATATAGTAGATATTGAAAATCATTAAATTGTGGAAAAATTTTGAAAATAATTAAATTTCGGAGAATAATTTTATTTTTAAAGATAAAATTGACATCTTGATGAGAATTTTTTTAAATTCTGGAACATAATTGAATTTCTGTGAAGAATTTTATTATTTTTGAAAATAATTCAGAATTGAAATTTTATAAAATTTCAAATGGATACCTTCTGAAGTTGATCTATTTATGAAAATTGTAAACGCTACTCTTTTAAAATTCAATCAATTTTGAATTATTTAAGTAAAATTATTCATTAAATAATTTGAAGTAATAATTTTGTAATAGTTAAAAGAATATAATAGTTTAAAAAGAAATTATTGTCAAAAATAGAAAAAATTGAATGTTTTTTTCTTTAGAATTCTTGATAATTTCATAGTTTATTAGACAAACAGAAAAGACACAAAAATTCAGAATTTTCTTATGAATTCTAAAAATTTTATTTTTTCCAGGTACTTTTAATAAAAATCCCTGACTTTCCTCTTATTTCCCTGAACAATTCTACTTTTCCTAACTTTTCCCTGACCTGTGGCAACTTTGAATTAGAATTAGGGCCATTGATATCAAGGATTGTGACTGAACTTCAAAAATTAGAAAAATTTGGATTTAATAGCATCTACGATTAGAATTTATTTTGCAAATTACTGTAACAAATTTTTAATTATATTACAGGTCATATCTGGAGCAGGGCATCACGTTTATGCCGACAAGAGTGAGATATTCAATAAACATGTATTAGAAGCATGTGATCTTAGTGATAGCATTCCAAATTCGATTTCACCTTCGAACATCAAAATAGAGTTAAAAAATGATAATGATCAACAATCTAGCAAATTAAAAATTCAAAATGTCAATAGGATAGACAGCAAAGAATCAGATGCATATCAACCAAGGACTAATAGTTGAAAATTAACTATACATTATTTATTTGTACGTAATATTCTCCAATCTGCTTCTCTATAGAACCGTTTTAAGTTCATCAATTTTATTTACCCCAAATCATCACTTGCTATTGCCTAAAGTTACACTAAAGTTTTTTACACTCAAGTTTTAAGATAATGAGTCATTTTTGAGTCGACTCGTTTTTATAATTAAAGAAAGGACAAATTTCGATCAACGTTAAATACAATTAATATTTCAATTTCTATTTTTATCTTAACGAAGCTGTATAAAGGCTTATACAGTTTTGTGAACTGTGTTCAAGTCTTTTTTCAAATAGCAATTTATAAAATGGGGTAAATACTAATTAAGATTAAAAGACACGTGCAATTAGTTGCATTATTTTTCTATTCACACACTGACAAATATATTCTATTGAATCAAGAATTAAATTGGCCAAAGTTTTTGATTTAATAGAATATTTTTATCAATGTAGAGTACCTAGAGTGCCTATAAAGGAAAGCGATAGGTTTTCCTACTTATATTGAGAAACTTATAGAACACTTTGATCTAATTTAATTAAAAATTAGTATTTGTAAAAGAAAGCAAACTATTACTTACGAGTAATTGTAATCTTTCTTTCTGTGTAGCTATAATTAAACTGTCCCACAATAGAAAAACTGCGGTAATTTGCTATTTTTTTTATGTTTACAAAAAAGAAACTGCGACCAAAGGAACAATGTCACTTACCCCAGTTTTTAAATTTTAGGGCATCAAAATTTCACGTGATGATAATAATTAATATGAACACATAGAACACTTAATTATTGCTTTGAATACCGAAACAACAATTTAAAAAAAAACTTATTTATTAGATGGCGTCTACTTTTTAGTATATATTTTAATAAAGATTAATATATTTAATTTATACAGACATAATTTTCCTTTTAAAAAGCAATGAAAAATTTCTAATTTAATTTATATAAACATAACTTTTCTTTTAAAAAGCAGTGAAAAATTTATTATTAAGTAAAATTCATATGTTGGTAAATATCATATCTTTGTAAATTTAAATTTTGTTAATTACTCTGTTGCATTATTTGAAGTGAATATAAGTTTGCATACATTGGATGTAAATAAAATGTTTTGTTTGTTAATAATCTTATTTGTATTTATTTACAATTATCTATCTTTATTCTCTAGAATATAGTCTTCATTATCTGGTGTTTCGTTATAGCTTTCGTTATGAATATCATCGATATCATTATCATAATTTTCCTGGTAATCATCATAATCATCTTCATTGTTAAAATAATCATCATCCTCAATATCATCATTATCATCATAAATATAATTGTTTTCAAAATCTCCTTCATAGTTCGCAGACTTTCTTTTCAATCTGGCTTTAATTTCTTGTTGTTTCAAAAAACTGTCAAATAATGTTCGTCTCTCATTATTTGACAAGAATTGTTCGGCGGTCAAATTTTCGGGAAATTTACTGACAGGCGTAGACATAATTTGTTTTGGTTGAACTTTTTCTAAAGAGATTTTAATCTAAAAAGAAAAATTCAGTGAGAAAAAATTATTTAGTGAGAAACAAAAAAATTATTCAGGTCTCGGATCAACTTTAAAGCGGTAAAAAAAAGTCGCTTTATTCGATTATTTAATTCGGTGACAAAAATTTTATTTTCTATTTTTCTAATTGTTCTCTTTCAATGATTTTTAAATTCAATTATGCAAAATTTCAATAATTTTGTTAAATAATTATTTAAATACGTCTTATTTGTTTTTCTACGGAAAATTTAATAATTTCTGAAAATTACAACTTTTATAACCCCTCCAAAATTCAATTATTTCTTTTCCACAATTTTTAACTAAACGTCACCTCTAAGTTAATTATTTTTAATAATTTTTGAAAAAGTTCTTTGATTTTTAAATTAATTTTCAAATCCATTTGTTTACAATTCAATTTTACGAAATTTCGATTATTCGAAAATTCTTCAATTAAATATACCTATATATTACAAAATAAAAACTTCAAATAATTTAAAAAAAAATTTAGTTCATCTTTTTGAAAAAAATTAATTCAACAGATTTATTGCTTAAAAGTATGAAAAATCCAGATTTTCAAAGATTTTAATTTGGAAGCTTTTCAAAAAATCAATTATTTCTAAAAATTTACGCTATAATGCTTTTAATAATCAATTATTAACCAAAATCTTGAGTCAAATTAATTTTTAAATCAATTTTTATCAGAAAATTCTACAAGAATTCAATTATTTAAATACAAAAACAAATAATTTATTGAATCATTCAATGTTTCTTAAAATTAAATTCTCATAAGGAATTTTATCAATAAATTTTTAAATAATTTCAATTCTTTCCATGAATTTTAATAAAATTTTTAAGAATAATTAAATTTGTCGAGGAATTCGATTAAAATTGTATAAAAAATAATTGAAATTTTGCGATAAGTTTTATTATTTATGAAAATTGTTGAATCTTTGTAAAAAATTTTGTTATTTTTGAAAATAATTGAATTATTGCGAAGAAATCTATAAAAAATTTGTAAATAGATCATTGAATTCATATGAAATTTTTATTATTTATGAAAATAAGTAAATGTTTGCGTAGAATTGCTTTTTAAATAATTGAATTCTTTTGGAAAAATTTATTAAAATAATAGTTATTAAAAATCATTGAATTGAGAAAAATTTATGAAAATAATTGAAATTTTATAAAAATTTATTTTAAATAATTGAATTCTTTCGAAGAATTTTAATAAAATTTTTTAAATTAATTGCATTTTTCGAACAATTTTATAACTTATAAAAATAATTGAATTTTTGTGACAAATTTGATTAAAATATTATTTAAATACTTGAATTCTTTTGGTAAATTTTATTGAAATTGTAGATATTCAAAATGATTGAATTTCGATAAATTTTTCAAATTAATTGAATTGCTACGATGAATTTCTTTCAAATTTTTGAAAATAATTGAATTCTTTTGAAGAATTATTTTAATATAATTTTTAAGAATTGCATTTTTCGTGGAATTTATTAAGAATTTTATTTAAATTTTCTTTTAAATAATTGAATTCTTTAGGAAAAATGTATTAAAATAGTAGATATTGAAAATCAATAAATTGAGGAAATTATTTAAAATAATTTAATTTCGAAGAATAATTTTATTATCTATAAAGATAATTGGACTTTTGACGATAATTTAAAAAAATTTTTGAACATAATAATTGAATTTCTGCAAAGAATTTTATTAATTTTGAAAATAATTGAAATGTCTGCAATCATTTGTAACTTCTCTAAAATTCAATATTCTAAAATATTTTTAACTAAAATTTTTCCATAAATTTATTATTTTTTAATAATTAATTAAATGTTTATTAAAAAATTGAACTAAATTAAGAAGAATTTAAATTATTAAAAGTTATCAAAAATCTATATTCTTTGAAATTTCTAATTAAATTCATTCAAAATTGAAAATTAGTTTTCTGTAATTATATTAAAATATGTAATTTTTAAAAGATAGGAATTTGTTTTTTAATTATATACAATTAAAAAATCTCTAAAGATTTTCCATTACCATTTTTTTGGGAATTCAATAATTACTTTAAAATTTTTGAATTAAAATTCTTCAAAAGTTGATTTTCCAAAAAAATTGAAATAAAATACTTGAAAAAATGAACTATTTTCAATTAAATTTGACAAAATTCCAATTATTCATTATCTTTTTAATTGTAGGTATATCTCGAAAAATAAAAAAAATAAAAAATAAATAAAATTTAAAAATATTGAAAAATAATTTTTCAAAGATTGGTTTCGTTATTTTTCACACTACTATAAAAATCGAAAGAAGTTGCATTTTATACTAAAAATATGGTATTTTATTGCAATATTTGGAAGAAAAGTTGAAAAAGTTGCAATTTTTGAAAATGAGTCGAAAAAGTCGCATTTTTTGAATGTAGTCGAAAAAAGTCAAAAAAGTCACAATATCCAAGGCCTGAATATTAAAAAAATCCTTTTAATTTCTCTTATATAAATTTATTTGTTCATTGAATTAATTGAATTGAGAAGAATGAAATGATGAATATAAATACCTTGTTCATAATAGAAGAGCAATTTAAGCCAAGAACATCATGACGCATTTCCGGTAAATCGACAGAACAATCATCAATCTCTTCATTTTCATTAGCAACATTAAATTGAGCAATTTCACTTTTTGCTTCGGGTGAAAGTTCAGTGAATATAACCGACTCACACTTCCGGCTTACTGTGTCTGTTGGTTCAAAATCTTCATCAAAATTAATTTCAGATAACCTCCTATCGATTTCATTGAGGAAAAATAATCTTCTATCCTTGATAAACCTAATAGGAGGAACAATTGATATTACTCGAAGCTGAGACAATTTGTGTTGTAACAGTCCCTCAGAGGAATGGAGTATTTTTTCAGTTGCCTCGTTAAATGATGGGTCAAATCTACTGTGCCAATACACATTGACGTATTGGAGATCAGTTGTGATATTAACTTGAGAAACATCAATTCCTCGGCCAACAAGTTCCGGAGCTACTTCTCCTGTTGCCATTAGGTCCGTTATGTGTTTCATAAAAAGCTTGTTGAGAACTTCAGTTCTACGGGTCCTATGCTTTGGTATGTCGATTTCGCCTTTTAAAGAAGGAAGCCGCGTTGAGGCATTCGATACTTTTCTAAAATAATAATAAATATTATATCAAAATTCGATAATCGTTTAAAATTTCTATAAATTTCAATTTACAGGATCACTAAAATAGCACTTTTGTTGTGACGCAAAAATTTAAACTGTTTTAGTATATCAGACGCACTTCCCGTGAGAAAGACCCATAAAGCGATTGGACAATCACAAGGGGGAAGGGGTAAAATTTCCCTTTCCTATCGCTGACTGGGACTTTCTCATGGTCCGTGCCGTTGATATAGTCATAAGAAAATTCTGAATTTTAGTGTCTTTTTTGTTTGCCTCATAAACTATTAAATCACCACAAATTCTAATAAAAAAAACATAATTTTTTCTATTTCTGACAATAATTTCTTTTTAAAAAACTTAATTCTTCAAGAACTATCACAAAATTATTAATTAGAAATTATTTAATGAAAATTTTACTTAAATATTCCAAAATTAATTCAATTTTAAAAGAGTTGCGTTTACAATTTTCCTAAATAGATCGACTTCAAAAGGTTTTAATTTAAAATTTTATAAATTAGTTACAAATACTAAAAAAAATTTAATTTTGGAGAAGTTACAAATAATTGAAATAATGATTTTCAATATCTAGCATTTTAATAAATTGTTCCAAAAGAATTCAATCACTTAAAAGAAAATTTTAATAAAATTCTACTCAAACATTTCATTATTTTTATAAATAATAAAATGCAATTATTCTTAAAAATGTTATTATAATTCTTCAAAAGAATTCAATTATTTTCGAGAATTCAAAGTAAATTCTTCATAACAATTCAATTATTTTCAAAAAATTTGAATAACAATTTTTGTAGAAATTCATTAATTCAATTAATTTCAAAAATTTTTCGAAATGCAATAATTTTCAACATCTACTCGAAAAATATAATTATTCCTAATAATGTTATTTAAATTCATCAGAAGAATTCAATTATTCAAAAAATTTTCTTAATTCAATGATAGTTAATATCTACTATTATAATCCTAAATAGTTCCAAAAGAATTGGATTATTTTAAAAGAAAGTTTTAATAAAATCCTACGCAAACATTTAATTATTTTCATAAATAATAAAAATTTCAAAGGAATTCAATTATTTACAATTTTTTTTTTATAAATTTTTTCGCAAAAATTCAGTTGTTTTCATAAATAATAAAATTTTGTACAAAAATTCAATTACTTTTATAATTAAAAAAAGTCATCGCAGGACTTTAATTATTTTTAATAAAATTTTTAATAAATTTCACGAAAAATGCAATAATTCTTAAAAATTTTGTTACAATTCTTCAAAAGAATTCAATTAATTTTAAAAATTTGAATGAATTACGATTCAATTATTTCCAAAAAATTTTAAAGAAATTCTTCGTAGAAATTCAATTAATTTCAAAAATTTATCGAAATTCAATAATTTTTAATATTTATTATTTCAATCAAATTTACTAAATATAAAATTTCAATGATTTTCAATATTTATTATTTTAATAAATTTTTTCAAAAGAATTCAATTATTTAAAAAAAATTCTTCACAAACATTTAATTATTTTTATAAATAATAAAAATTTCACAGGAATTTAATTATCTATTTACAAATATTTTATAAAAATAAAATAAAAAAATTTTTTACAAGTATTCAATTATTTTCATTAATAATAAAACTCATCCCCGAATTTCAATTATTTTTTATGCAATTTTCATCGAATTTCTAAAAAAATGTAATTATACTCTTAAAAATTTTAGGAACATTTGTCGAAAGAATTGAATTATTAAAAAGTTTGTTGATAAAATTCTTTATGAGAATTCAATTTTAAGAAATATTCAATTAGTCAATAAATTATTTGTTTTTGTATTTATAAATACCTAGTCTTAAAATAAATATTCTTGTAGAATTTCTTGATTAAAATTGATTTAAAAATGAATTTCAGTTACAATTTTAGATAATAATTGAATATTTAAAGCATTATATCGTGAATTTTTAGAAATAATTGAATTTTGAAAAGGTTTCAAATTAAAATCTTTGAAAATCTGAATTTTAATACTTTTAACCAACAATTCTATAGAATTTATTTTATTGAAAAAGTTTAATTAAATTTGTTTTGAAATTATTTGAAGTTTTTATTCTTTAATAAACATTTAATTAAAGAATTTCCGAATAATCGAAATTTCGTTAAGTTGAATTTTAAACATAATGTATTTGATTTGATATTCATTGTTTTTCTATGCTCATAAGTTTTGTTATTGTCAAAATAAATGTAAATTCAAAAATGTTATTTTCGTTAATGTTTTAACGTCACTTCAGCCTAATCTTTTTTATAGCCTAAAAAATTTACTGATTAAATTGAAGTACTACTTTAAAGGTATATTCTTAAGTAAATAAATAGAATAACATACTTTTTTGTACCCTCAGCCATCATTTTGTTTATAAATCTGCCTGCTCTTGTCCGAGTATATTGTACACCGGTAGTACAAAAACACAAACTTAGATTAGGAGTTAAAATCAAATTGTTCAACCGAACAATTGATGACTGCATTTTTTCCAGCATAAAATGAACAGAATTATATTAAAATATTATTGTTTCATTTGATCATTTCGGAAGTAATCATTAATATCACTGAAGTCTTTTTATTTACTTTTAAGACATGTGGAAAAGGTTAGAACATCAACAATGCAGTGTAACCTAAATGAGGTTCTACAATAAACGAATTAACATTTTCATCTATTGTAGAAGCTCCTTTAAATGCTCTTTGCTTAAAGGTGCTTTCCCAATAGCGGTCTACAGTTCAAAACAGAGTCAAATCAACAACTAAAAAAAGAAAAAAGTATCGTCCATCCTTTTCTATCACATAAAAAGTTTACGATTTAAACGGAAGGCGCACGTATTTAATGACAATTGTAAATTTCATTTCTTTCATTTTTAATTAAATAAATTAAAAAACTTTCTTTAAAAAAACAGTGGAATCTCAATTTCACAGAAATTCAATTATTTACCTTTTTTTTATAAATTTTTTTTGCAATAATTCAATTCTTTTCATAAATAATACAATTTTTTTGAGTTTTAATAACTAATTAAACTCAACACAGGACTTCAATTATTTTTAATGAAATTTTGAATAAATTTCATGAAGAACGCAATTATTTTTAGAAATTTTATTAAAATGATTCAAAAAAATACATTCATATTTTCAATAAATTTTTTTAAAAATTCTTCAAAAGAATTCAATTATTTTCAAAAATTTTTTTTATAAAATTTCAATTATTTTCAAGAATTTTCCTGAATTTAATAATTTTTAATATCTACTGTTTTAATAAATTTTTCCAAAAGAATTCAATTATTTAAATAAAATTCTGCTCAAACATTTAATTATTTTTATAAATAATAAAAATTCCACAGTAATTCAATTATTTACAATTTTTTAATGAATTTTTTTGCAATAATTCAATTATTTTCATAAATAATAAAATCTTTTACAAGGATTCAATTATTTTTAATAAAACTAATCGCAGGACTTCAATTATTTTTAAATAAAATTTTCAATAAATTCCACAAAAAATATAAATATTCTTAAAATTTTTTTTTAAATTCTTCAAAAGAATTCAATTATTTTCTAAAATTTGAATGAAATTCGTCACAAGAAATCAATTATTTCCAAAAAATTTTAATAAAATACTTCATAGAAATTCAAATAATTTAAAAAATTTGTCAAAATTCAATAATTTTTATGATTTCAATCAAATTTACCAAAAAAATTAAATTATTTAAAAAATATTTTAATCAAATACAAGAATTTAATTATTTTCATAAGTTATAAAATTGAAAAATGCGATTAATCTTAACAATTTTATTAACATTCTTCAAAAGAATTCAATTATTTAAAAAATTTTTTTATAAAATTTCAATTATTTTCAAAAATTTTTTTCAAATTAATGACTTTCAATATTTTTTATTTTAATAAATTTTCCCAAAAGAATTCAATGATTAAAAAAAATTCTACGCAAACGTTTACTTATTTTCATATATAATAAAAATTTCACAGGAATTCAATTATCTATTTACAAATTTTTTATAAATTTCGTATTCTTGAAAATTTTATGAAAATTCGTCGACAGAATTGAATTATCTAAAATTTTGTTGATAAAATTCTTAATGAGAATTCACTTTTAAGAAATATTCAATTATTCAATAAATTATTTCTTTTTGTATTTAAATAATTGAATTCTTGTAGAATTTTTTCATAAAAATTGATTTAAAAATGAATTTTAGTTAAAATTTTAGATAATTGAATATTAAAAGCATTGTAACATGAATTTTTAAAAATAATTGAATTTTGAAAAGGTTTCAAATTAAAATATTTGAAAATTTGGATTTTTCTTACTTTTAATTGACAATTCTGTGGAATTAATTTTGTTGAAAAAGTTTAATTGAATTTTTCTCGAAATTATTTGAAGTCTTTATTTTCTACTTAATATATTTAATTGAAGAATTTCTAAATAATCGAAATTTTGTAAAATTTAATTGTAAACAAGTGGATTTGAAAATTATCAAAAAACTTCTTCAAGAATTATTTAATGAAGAATTTGAGTAAAGAATGGTATTAGAAAATAATAATTGAATTGAAATGATGAAATTAATTTTTAAGAAGTTACAGTAACAATATTCTTATCTCTTATAATATAAAATAATGATTTTATCACTCGGTTATGTTTTTTAAGAATATTCTTATAAGTTGTTGAATTTGAAAAATGTTTGAATTTGAATCTTTTGAAGAATTTTAATTCCTATGGAAAAATAATAACGATTAAATATTTACTTTAAATAAAACTGGTGAACATTTTCTTTTGGATCAGAGAAAAAATCAAAATTTTATCTGGAAATCAGGGAAAAACAAAATTAAATTTTGTCGAATGAATTAAAATTAAATTAAATTTTCAAAAAAATAGTATTTTTTTGTGGCTTTTTCTGGTTATAAAAATATTTCTTTGAAGATAAAATAAATGATTAGCACTTTTTGTTTTATTATAAATCAATGATATAAAAGTGTAATTAAAAAATAAATTGTAAATATAAACTTTTAGAGTTATCTTTATTTTCTAATGTAGTTAGAGTTAATATGTACTATTTACAAAAAAATAACTCAATATATCCTGATAAAACTTTAGAGGCGTCTGCTACACCAAGTATAGAATCACAATAATATAACAAATAGGTATTCGCAAATTAAACGAATATTCGAAACGATAAATCTAAAAAATACACACAAGAAGCAGTCGATTACAAATTATGCAATACCTCGAATAACAAACTTTCTTATTTTCATTTATGCACAAATCACTTAGCAATAAAAAAAAGAATAATTATGAGATCAACGGACTTGAGCAATTATAATTTTGACACTTTTCAATTAATCATTATCAAAACGTGTAATACTTCAAGCCCTTTTATTGCTCATGTAAACGCATAATTTTTTTTCAATCTTTAAAGACGAGTTCTTACAGAGGTCTTGCACTTTGACGGCTTCTCTTTATTAGCTATAAATTAATATAACGATTAATTATTTTATATTCTTCAACCTATCCCTAGATCGAAAATTTATAGTAATTCTATATCACCCGAATCGCATTTGTATGTTTTGAGAACCAACGTTAAATTTTATTCACATTATTTTTATGATTGTGATATTTAGATTAATCAAAACATTCAGGTTTTCATTTCAAGTTTCTCACAGTTCAAACATTATCGCTCTCGATTTTCATTTTACAAAAATTTCATTATAAGGAAAAAAAAATCTACAATTTTCTCAAATTATTGTATTTTTACAATGACTGCCTCGTCTACTTTAAAAAACTATTGTTTCAGAAAATTCATTGTCGTTCTGTCAGGATAATTTGAATAAGTGGATTAGTAAAACAAATCAGTTAGTCAATTATTTCACACTAATAAGAATTAAAGAAAATACTTGCTTGGAAAAATAATGAGCTATCAATGTTTCGAAGGTTACTCACTTCTACTTAAAACATACTTGTATAATATATATTCTCTGATACTCTTTGCTGATAATACATATTACATTACTTTAAAAAAAAAATCTTTAAAGAAGCCAGTCAAAATTAAAGTACGTACAATACAATTAATCTACGACAAGTTTTTTTTCAAATTCCTTTAAAAATGTTGAAAATATGAGAACGGCCCCGCCGTTCAAATTTTTCGCCATATTGGAATTTTTTTTTAATGCAGAAAATGAAAAATTATTTTCGCACATATAAATCTGTTTTTAAACATTATTTCAAATAAAATTTCCGGAAAAAATTACTTTGCGTTTAGAAATAACTATTGTTTCTTTTAACATAATTATGTTAAACACAAGTTTGAATTAAACAAAAAAAATAATAAACAGAAATAAATGGTCATAATTAAAAAGAAATTTACAGTTACAATAACTGTTTATCAAAGAACGCAATTTTTTTTGGGCGTGAAAATACTTTGTAAAAGAAAAAAAAATAAGAGTATTTCATGCAAACATTAATTAAACCTACATTTTTTAATTTATAATATAAAGCATTGAAATAAGTAAAAAAGAACATTTACATTTACTAACGTGAGCTTTTTTAAAAGTTTGATTTGTATAATTCATGATGTGAATTTTTCTTTATCTTGATTTGTTTAAATTTTATGTAAACATTACCTTTTTTTACATGTTACTTTAAAGTTTTTTTTTAATATTGCCATGAGTCTATTGATTTTGTATGCGACGATCGTCCAATATATTCTCTAGCTTTCGTGCAACGAAAGCAGTTGTCATATACTTTTTATTCGATTCTTGTGACATTTCAACTTCCCCTTCGTTCGACAGCAAACGCTTTCCAACTGATTTCTTGGCATCTACCGATATTACCATTTTGTTGATAGCTTCCAAGTCCTGAAATTAAAGAGAGATTATAATAAAATGCTTGTTTTATTAAAATAAATCAAAACTTATAACTTATTTAACTAACAAATGACAACGAAAAAAGTTTTCATTTTACTTTAAAGAAAATTTGAAGTAAAAACAAATTAAGATCTCTGAATAATTTTTACACTGTAACTAGAAAACTTAAAGTAAAGTCTTTTTTATAAACAAAAAAATTAAACATTACTTTAAATATTACAAACTTCTTTAAGTACTTTTCTTCTCATTTCTTTTTCTCAAAAATAATTCACCACTTCAGGCCTCGGATCGACTTTAAAAACGAATAAAAAGTTGCTTTAGTCGATTAAAAATAGAAAAAAAGTCAAAAAGGTCGTTTATTTAATTCAGTGTTGTCACAAAAATTTTATTTTGTATTTCCCTGACTTTTCACTGATTTCTAAATTCAATTATTTAAAACTTGATAACTTTGTTAAATAAATATTTAAATACTTATTGTTTGTTTTTCCACGGAAAATAAAATTTAAAAAAATTCAATTTAAAACCTTCTGAAATTTAATAATTTATAAAAATTACAACTATAATCCTTCAAAAATTCAATTATTTTCTACAATTTTTAACTACTCTAAATCACATATTTTTAAGAATTTTCCGAAAGTTCTTCGAGAAGTCAATTATTTAAATACAAAAATTTAATCTTTTATAATAACCGTAACTGTCCGTATTTTATTTTTTTAAGTTGTTAAGGTACAATATTTTCAAAAAATGATAAATTCTGAGAATTAATCTTTTTAAAAATATTTGTAAATAATTTTTGTGAGATATATAAAAATAATATACAATTGAAAAATTTTTAAACGATTGAAATTTGGTAAAATCCTTCGAAAATAATTGAACTTTGGTAAAATTTTTGAAAAATATAAAAAATAATTAAAATTTTGAAGAATTTTAATTATAAAATATGACATGATTTCTCTGAAATTTTAATAAGTCTAAAAAATAAATTTTTTTAAATTTTAATTTACTTTGTTCGAAGATGGTAATTGAAATGTAAAAAATATGATAAAAAAATTTTTAGAATATTAGTTTTTTTTAAATATTGTAATGTAATTTTTCGAAAATACTTGAATTTCTTAAAAGAATTTTTGTATAATTTAAAAAAACATAATTAATTTTTTTTATGAAATTTAATTAAAAGTTTTCAAGATCATTGTTTTCTCCTAAAAATGTGTAAAATAATTCTAAGAAATTCTAATGTTATTACTATTTTGTGTGTATTTAAATTTTCAGAAATATGTAATTGAAAATACTTAATTGAATTTTAAAAAATTCTAAGAAGTACTTTTTTAAAAATGTTTTAATAATTTTTAGAACCTAATTTTTAATCATTTTCATTTTTAAATTTACTCTTGAAGATTTTTCATTAAAATTTTTGAGAATTTAATTATTTTCAAAATTTACAATAAAAATCCTTCAAAGATTGTAATAAAATACTTGAAAAAATCATTTATTTTCAATTAAATTTTACAAAATTACAATTATTAAAAATCTGTTTAATTGTAAATTTCGAAAATTTAATGAGAAAAATAATTTTTGAAAGATTTGCCTACGGTTATTTTTTAAATTATAAAAATCGAAATAAGTTGAATTTTATACTAAAAAAGTGGTATTTTGTTGCAATATTTGAAAGGAATGTCGAAAAAGTTGTATTTTTTGAAAATTGTTAAAAAAGGCGCATTTTTTGAAAATAGTCGAAAAGTCATAAAATCCGAGGCCTACCACTTAATATTATTTAATTTATTTAAGATAATAATTATACTGAGCAATTCCACGTGAACTAATCCAATAAAAAAAAATATTTTTTAAAGGACATTGTCATATTCAAATTGACTTAACTTTTACAAACATTAAGCGATTTCAATTTTTATATATTGAATTTTAAAGCATTTTTTCTGCACTTTTCAATTCTGAAACTCTTTTCTTAAAAAATATTATTTAATCCCTCTTTTTTTAAAAAAAAATCCTTATTTTTGAATTTTTACAGAAAGTCCATTTTTTTGTTATTTTTATCATTTTCATTGGAAAATAGCGATTTTTTCCAATAAATTATGAAATGTTTAAAAATGGGACAACAATGCGTTTTCAATCAAATAAACAAAAAGTGTTTAAAAAGTTGGTCTTCATTTAATGTTTTGAAAACTTATTGTTGTCCAATTGTTATACTTTTTAAATTTATTGAGAAAAATCTCACTTTTTCAATGAAAATGATGAAAAAATTAGAAAAAAAGCTAGTTTTTCTGAAAATTGAAAAATAAGGTATATTTTTTAAAAAAGAGGGGTTAATAAATTTTTTTTTTGAAAAAAGAGTTTTGAAATTGAAAAGTAGATACAAAATGTTTTAAAATTCACTATAAAAAATTAAAAACTAAGTTTTATCAAAATTATACTGATTGGAAATTAACAATTTTGCTTAAACCGACATAATTGCAATCCTCATAATTTACAGAATTAATTTTTTGAAAAAGTTCATATTTTAGGATTCCATTACTTTTAAACAGAACAACAATTTACCGGAGTTCTAATCAATCTCGAGGAAATTGAAATTTTTACTTGATAGTTTCACCTGGAATTGATCAACGTTAAAGATTTTTAAGGTAGAGAATTTCCATTTTTTGAATAATTTAAAAATTAAACTCGGCCAAACTTAAATAAATAAAATTTTATATTTAACTTAGTAATTATTATGTATACTTTTTATAATTTTTTAGAATTATAAATTTTTTTTAGAATTTAGAAATACAAAAATTGTAAAATAAAACTTCTTTTGTGAAAAATAGGAAAAATGTCACTTGTCTTGTTTTTCTAATTCACGAACTTTTATGGTAATATGTTGAATAATAATTGAAATAATTTGCCTTTGCTGGACTGCGACCAAGACAGTAACTGAGTGTTGGCGCTGGAGTAGCGGAAATAGCCTTCGAGTCCATTATTCTTGTAGTGACACAGCCCGTGATGCGCTTGATGGGAGACTTTTTGGTTGATTTGCCTCGGGGCAGAGGACTGAGTGTCAGATTTGTGGGATTGGCTCTTCCTATGCCTAATCTATTCGCAAATTCTTTAACGGGCGGAACATAGACTGTATTGTAAAACTTTATAAGGTCCCCACGAATCTCTGAACCAAAGTTTTGCGAAGTTCCTGCCATATTCGATGGAGTTGGAGGCGCGACATTATTCACCTGTGCATTCAATCCATTTTCACTGTCTCCTGAGACATCATTTTCATTTTCATTTTGAATCAACACCGATCTGTAAATGTGTGATTCCGCCTGCGGCTGAAGACGGTAGCATCTCATTATTTCAGTGAATGAATTCTTTTCGATTTTCGCCAATTTGCAAATCACGTACACGGCGCACATGAGAATTTGATCGAGATGTCTGTCTCGCATTAAGCAAGTCGCCTCTTTTATTGAATACTCGAATATTGTCCAGATTTTCTTCTTTAAATCCTCATCATCAATCGATAGATTGTGGCACAAATCGTGCATACGAACTGCGGCTAAATTGTAGAATTTTCTGAAAAATAATGCCACAGAGCCTGTTCGTTTTGATCTTGTTGCTTCTCTACTTTGAGAACTAGAATTCGAAGCTGTCGATTTTGGCGTCGACGTTTGTTCTGGCAAAACGTAGAAAACTTTCGAGGTCAACACACTCTGTCCACCGACTCGAAGCAAACTGTGACCACTGGATTTGCTGTCGCCAAATAATTGTTTTTTTGGTACACCCGTTGAGGAGATTGGCGACTGGAATCTGCGAACAAAATTCAGAAAATAAATATTCTGTGTACATTATCAGGCTTTGCACTCATCTACGTTTCAAATACTTTCAAAAAATTTTCGAAATTCAATTATTTAAATGAAAATTGATAAAATTCACAATAATTCAATTACTTTCACTAATAATAACATTTTTCATGAAAATTTAATTAAAAAAAAAAAAAATTTTTATAAAATTTTTCGCAATTATTCAATAATTTTCATAAATAAAATTCTTTTTAGGAATTCAATTAATTTTGAAAATTATAAAAAAATCCTTAATAACTATTCGATTATTTTCGTAAATAATAAAATTCTTCGCAGGATTTCAATTATTATTCTTTTAGATTTTAATAAAATTCTTCCCAAAAATTCAATTATGTCGATAAATATCAAAAATATTCCAGAAAATTCAATTATTTTGAAACATTTTAATAAAATTCTTTGCAAAATTTAATTGTTTCCAAACAGAATTCAATTATTTAAAAATTTTTTGCAAAAAATCTTCGTAAGAATTCAATTCTTTTCATGAATAATAAAAAGTATATAAGAATTCAATTATTTAAAATAATATTTTTATAATTATATTTCGAAAAAATTAATTATTTAAAACAATGAATTTAATTATTAAAAAAAACAAAAGTTTTCATAGAAATTAAATTCTTTTAGAACATTTTAATAAATATTTTTGCAATAATTCAATTATTTACAAAAATAATTCTTCGAAAGAATTCAATTATGTCGATAAATAACAAAATTATTCCCGAAAATTAAATTATTTTCATAAATCGCAGAATTTAAATTATTTTTATTACAATCTTACAGGAATTGCTCAAAAAATGAAATTATTCTTAAAAATTTAATTTCTATTCCTCGAAAAAATCAATTATTTAAAAAAATGTTTTTTAATTATTTTCTTTGGAAGAATTCAATTCTTTACAGAAATCTTAGAATTTTTTTCAGGAATTCAATTATTTTCAAATATTTTAATAAAATTGTTCAAAAGAAATAAATTATTTTAAATACAATTTGAATTAAATTTGTTTGAAATAATTTAATCATTCTTTTAGATTTTAATAAAATTATTTCCAAGAATTCAATAATTTTCATAAATAATTCTTCGGAAGAATTCAATTATGTAGATAAATAACAAAACTATTCTTGAAAATTCAAGTATTTTGAGGCATTTTAATAAAATTCTTTGCAAAATTCAATTGTTTTCATAAATAACAATATTCATAACAAGAATTCAAATATTTCTGGTAAAAAGTAATAAATTTCTTATTGGAAATTCAATTATTTAAAAAAATTCTAATAAAATCATTCGCAAGAATTCAATTATTTTCATAAATAATAAAATGCTTTTTAGGAATTCAATTAATTTCTAAAAAATTTAATAAAATACCACACAGACATTTAGTCATTCTAAAAAATTTTAATAGAATTCTTTGTAAAATTTAATTATTTTTTTGAAAACTTTTAGCAATTCAATGATTTTCAATATCTACTATTTTCATATAATTTCCAAACAGAATTCAATTATTTAAAAAAAATTTTGTAAAAATCTTCGTAAAAATTAAATTCTTTTCATGAGTAATAATAATAATTTCTAAGGAATTCAATTATTTAAATTAGAATTTGCATAAAATTAGTGGGAAGAAATGAATTATTTTTAAATTTTTATAAAATTCTTCCCAAGAATTAAATTATTTTTATAATTATTGAAATGAATAATAAAATTCGTTGCAGAAATTGAATTTATTATTATATTTCTATATAATTATATTCGCGTTTTTTTGGTCATTAGAGAGTAGTAAATTTAATTCTTTAGTGCAGGGAACGTACCTTTCGGATGCTGAAGAAATGGGACTTTGTATATCGTAGTGTGTACCACGATCGAGAGCAATTCTTCGCAAACCAGGATGTCCGGGTATATTTTGTTCAATTGAATCCGCAAAACCTGGCAACGAAACATCTTCACAGCTGGGAACGCCACCTTCGGTTGATTCAATAGCCAGCCACAGTGGACTATTTTTCTTCCAAGCTAAAGACTCCAAAATCTTCTCCTCAATACAATTTAAATGTTTAACTACGTCTCTTGATAATTGTTCCTCTACCTTCACGGTAATTTCAATAACTTTATAAAAATAATATGCCTCTATGTTTAAGGCGCTCAATATCCAGGGAAATGTTCTGTCCTCATTTTTATACGAGTAAATAACTATTTCCAAACAACAAGCGAAAAGGCACTGAACGAACACTTCATTCGTTATTAAGTTCTGAAAAAAATAATATTTAATTTAAATTTAAATTTCTTTAATTAGAAAAGGAAAAATTCGTTGAAACAATAAAAAGAGAAATATTTGAATAAACTTACAGTAATGTCAACATTAGGTTTCTTGCTTTTCTCATCCTTGAGAATCATTTCTAAGATTTTGTAAAATAGCGGTTGGGCTAGATTAACTCTTTTCTTTCCAAAATCCAAAGAGGAATTGTCCGTTCCATTCGTGTTTTGTGTGTACTTGGCACAAAATAAATCTCCAATCTCTTTAACTTTGGTTTCAACGATAGTTTTAACGTCACGTGAACAACTGTTGAAAATTTCGAGCAAAGCTTCACTTGGTGATCCTTGCCGTCTGTTCAAAAGGTGAAATAGACGATTGACACTTTGCGTGGCATTGGAAACTGGCGCAACACTTGAAGTATCTCTGGGTCTTAAATATTTTCGACCGGTCAATGGAGTTGGTGGCGCAGAATTTTGAACCTGCTGCGAAGACAAAACAGTCCATTAAATTAGTGTTTCTATAATTTAAATCACAGCTGTTAAAGATCATAATTTTTTTTAAATACAATTTTTTAAATCTGATTTTAAAAATAAAATTTTTCCTGTAACTTGATTTTTTTAGTAATGATAATAAAAAATTAATTTTTTAATAAAAAAACCTATTTTAAAGTAAAAAGTTGATTTTAATCATGATTAAAATGGAAACATGTCTTTGATTTATATCATAACAGCTCTGATTAGAATACTTTAGAGGAGACTTTAAACAATATACATACTCCTCCTTCCGACTCTCGTCTCGCTTGAAATTGCTCTTGCAAATCTCCGACATTTATTATTCTTCTAGGTGAACCAATATTGACATTTGCACTTTCCCCTAGAATATAGATTTTTATTAGCCATACTTGTTAATTAACAAGATAAATTTTTAGATAATTAAACTAACTAATTAATAAATAAATAGATAATTACTGAATTTCTATAATTTCTATAATTAAATTACTAAAATTTAAATAATTAACTTACCCAAAAATATTCTTTCGTCAAAATCACCAACGGAAAGCACGTGATGTTCGTACAATTTATTAACTGCCTTGAAATTAGCATCGAAATTTGTAGTTTCTAAGATCTCGGAAAAATTGGATCGTTCTCCTTGAAGGACTTGATCATCGAATAATTTATTCAAAAGATTTTTAAAAATATGTTCCTTGATGATCATTGCTTCAACCGTGATGGCGTCGTGACGATTCGACAGCAATTCAAGAATGCAGTTCGCCGTTTTACTCGGAATATAACTTTCCTCATTGAAATTCGACGGTAGGCCTGTAATTAAAATAACAATTAGTGAAAAAGAAACTAACCAAATTGTCTTTAAAAAAAAACAGATTCTTTAAAAAAAAAGATTCTTTTTAAGAAAAAAAGATTCTTGTTTACTCACCAGGAAAATTGGGATTCAATAAATCACGTCTATCATTTAAAATAGCATTTTTGTACATAAGATCGCAGCATACCAAAAGTAAATGGTACGAGTTGACTAAGTCATCGGAAATAGCTGGAATTGTACCCTTTATGCATACAAAAAGACTCCAGCAAAATTCAAATACTCTTCCTGGGGTGCATGGAATATTCTTTTGCCTTCGCGATCTTGTTGGCTGCAAAGTTTCTGCGGGATTTTGAAAAATGTCTGCAAAAATTGGTTGGTATTTTTTGAAGATGTTGAAAGAGACGGCAAAGTTTCGCTCGAGTTTCTCAATTCTAAAACGAAAATCCTGTGGCATGTTCGCCATATCTGCCCATTGTTTGCTTTTTGAGAAGAATTCCAATAAAGGTAAATTGCAAAGTCGTAAAAGTCGAGTTAATGACACCCTGTTAGTCTCGACATTTGACGAAGACCTTCCTGAAGATGAAGTAGGAGTTTTGCGACAAGCAACATATAAAGCACACCCTATCCAGTGAATTGCTTCGCCCTAAAGGAACAGTAAATATCAATTTTAGAAATACATATTTAGAAAATATGTATTTTCTTCTCATACAGTAATTTATTATTATGAAGCTAATTTCCTTCAAAGTGACAAAAAAACTAAAGTTTTTATTTTGGAATTTTTACATAAAATTCAGATTCAATGTCACAACAAACTTGTAATACCAAGTCTTTAAATAATGCAATTAGCCTTTTTTAAAAAATACTTTTATCCCAAAAACATGGTTGATACAAAAATTTGATTTTGTATTTCCTAGCTTTTATATTATTATTTACTCTTTCCTCCATTATTTTTAAAAATTTTAATAAAACACTTTAAAAAAACCAATGTAAATTATTTTTAATAAAACTTTAGAAAAAATTTCAATTACTAGTTTCTGAAACCAAAAAAAGAGTTGAAATATTTTTAAAAAACTAATCTTTTAGAATTTTAAATAAATTTTTCGATAGTTTGAATTTTAAAAACAGAATTTTAAATTAAAATTTTCTTAAAATTAACTAATTAATAAAAATATTAATTGAAAATCTTTAAAAAATTAAATTATTTTAGAAGCAATTTGGATCCTTTAATTGTGCTTTTTACACTAAAAAATATTTGTAATAAACATGAATACATTCGATTGCGACTCTTTGTGAAATTCAATTATTTTTCATTTAATAAATTTAAATTCTTTGGAAATTAGTTTTTTGAAAGTCTCTATTTCTTTAACAAATTTAATTATTTTTTATTTTATTTCACAAAATTTTCATTAATTTGATAATTCTTCTAAGAAATTTCCATAAATTTGACTATTATTTAATAAAATTTTATTAAAAATTCAAGTATTTAAAAAATTTAAATAAAATTTTTAAGAAACCAATTTTTTCAGAACTTTAAATAAAATTATTTGTAATTTAGAATAATAATTATAATAGTATAATATAATAAAATAATAATTTTTAAAATAAATAATTATTCATTTCTTCACAGGAATTTCATTCAAAAAATTTAGTTCAAAACTATTAGAAATTTAATTAATTCTCAAAATTGCAACTTTTTTTTATTTAAAATCTTTTTTAAGTTTTTTAATTTAAAAATTTTAAAATCCTCGTTTTTTCGTTTTTTTTCTATAGGAAATTTCAAAATCGTAAAATTCGTAGATTTTTCGAATTTTTTTTCTGCAGAAAATTTTCGAAGTCTTAAATTTAGACTAAATTTAGTTTTTGAACGATTTTTAAAATTTCTTAAAAATTAAAATTTCTCTAAAATTCGTTGATTTTTTTTTGTTTTTTTTTTCTACAAAAAATTTCAAAACCTTGAATTTGGACTAAATTCATGAAATTTCTTAATTTTCCAACTAAATCATACACAAAAAATCAATTTTTGAACGATTTTGAAAATTTTACAAAATTTAAAAATCGTCGTTTTTTGTCTATAGAAAATTTCAAAATCTGGAAATTCGTCGATTTTTCCAAATTTCTTTTTGCAGAAAATTTTTGGAATCTTAATTTTTGACTGAGTTTGTTATTTTTTCATTTTCAAACAAAATTATATGAAAAATTCAGTTTTTAAACGATTTTGAAAATTTAAAAAAAATTCGTCGATTTTTTTGTTTTTTTTTCTACAGAAAATTTCAAAACCTTGAATTTTTATTAAATTCATGAAATTTTTTCATTCTCCAACTAAATCATAGGCAAAAAATTAGTTTTTGAACGATTTTGAAAATTTTAAAATCGTTGTTTTTTTCTATAGAAAATTTAAAAATCGTGAAATTTGTTGATTTTTTCGATTTTTTTTTGCAGAAAATTTTCGGAATCTTAATTACTACTAAATTTGTTATTTTTTTCATTTTCTAACTAAATTATACTATTTGAATGAAACTTAGACACCTACAACTCTAGGAGTGTAAACAATTTTAGAATTATGAGCAACATGTTTCATTCTAAAGTAACATTCGCTTTCTCTAATTGTTTAATTTGGCAATATTCAATTATAGTCCCATTGAAATTTTCTTCTTTATTTCAAGCGTTTGGTTGATTCAATGGACTTGCAGACAATGCATGGAATCTTGTAAATAATATTGTTTTCCTGCAGGTGTAACGTCTTTATTAGATTTTAATATGAAAGATAGGTCATTTTTAATCCATTGTGTGTTAATGGTTTTAAAATGGTGGTTGTGCTTTCAAAGAAACAATCCAGGAGTTTTTCACTTGTGAAAAATGCATTTGTCGCCTACAACAGAGTCATCACAAAAATATAATTTTGGGTTTCTCTTATTTTTAGAGAAAATTTTTATTTTTTTCTTGATCCCGATGAAAAAATTTCAAGAAGTTTCTCTATTATAAAAAAGAGGGATAATTTCTAGAATTAAAAATTTGAATTCAGAGCTTTCAAGTGACAAAAATAAGATTTTAAAGTCTTTACTCTTAACGCTTTTAAGCCTAAATTTTTATATTTCAAAGATTTATAATAATAAAATTGTTTAAATCCTTTTACGTTGAAAAATTAAAAATTTCCTATTATTCTCTTCATAATGAAACAATTATCCAAAATTTTGTTACTTATTAATAGCTGGAGGTACCCAATAAAATAACTTACACTCCAACTTATTTGGTACTCTAATTTTTATTTATATCTTATTTCATATTGTTGTTATTTATATACTTATGCATTAAAGTAATGTAAACTAAAACCTTCGCAGGATTCCTACGAAAATCCTAACTCAAAATTTAACGCTTTTTCCTGATTTTCTAGGTCATTTTCCAGAAAATTTCAGTAAAATTTTGAAAATAATTTTCACGTCATTTACTCATTTAAATCAATTTCAAAATTTATTATGCGTACATGAGTCGAAAATGTTTTATATTTTCGCACAAAATTAAAAAAAACTGCGCTAAAAGGTTCAAAAAGGACACCGCAGGAAATACATTAGTTTTGGCTCCAAGTCGATTTTCCAAACAGTTTTTGAATTTAATAGTTTTCTTCAGACTTAATACAAATTCAAAATTTATAAGAGAATCGACTGGGGCCCAAAACTAATGTATTCCCTGCGGGATACTTTGGAAAAATGTGATTCTAACAAATTTCAAAATTATTAGGAACAACTTAAAGCAAAAGGCATTTGTATTTCACTAAAATTAAAGAAAATTATTATCTTTAAAATATTTTTCAAAATATGTGCAATATTTCGTATAAAATTAAAGTTACTCCTAAAATAGAATCAAAACATTTTAATTTGGTCCAAGAAATGTCAAAAATTAAAAAAATTTTCATTGTAACAAGAAAATAATTATGCAAAATTTAAAAAATAATTTTTACAATTTTTATTGAAGCATATCTTTTTTAAATAAAACTTTGCTTTTTTTGCTGAAAATACTAAAAAATAATATTATTAATTTATTTTTTATTTAATAATTCAGTTATTTATTTAACTATAATTTCAGGTCATAATTTTTATTTATAAAACATATAAAAAAATTATGATCTACAAACAGTTAGAAAAATAATCAAATGAATTTTCAAATAAAAAAGTTGAATAATATGGTATTTTTTATCAATTCAGCTAAAAAACAATGTTTTTTTTTAAAAAATTATTTCAAAAATTGTAAAAATAAAGTTTTTCGTTTGGCAATTTTTTGGTGGGTTCAAAAAACATATTTTCTACAAAATTACGCATTTCAAAATCTACCAAATAAAAATTCAAAAAGGGTTAAAATATTTTCTGACCGATTTTATTTTATGGCCATTGCATTTCTTTCAGAAAATTACTATAAAAATAATTTCATGGAAGATTTAAATTATTTTCTTGATATATAAATAAAAACATCGGTGTTAAACCCTTCAGGTTTTTTACTGTAAAATTCATTATTGTCTAGGAATTTCATTCAAAAGTACGGAAAAAGTATAAAATTTCCAGAATTTATATGAAAATTCTGAATTTTTGGTGTTTAGCAAGCTTCAAATTTTAAGAAAAAAAAATCAAACGTATAAATTATTTAACGAATAATTTTACTTAAAAATCCAAAAATATTTGAATTTTGAAAGAGTTGCGTTTAAAATTTTTTTTATAAATAATCGAATTTTTAAAGACTTCGAATTAAAATTTTGAATAATTTTAATTAAAAATTGAGATTTTATTTTCTTTCTGAAAAATTGTATACCAAATTTTTTTAAAATTAGTAAAATTTTTCAATATCAGATATTTAATTGAAAAATTTTCAACTTATCGATGACAAAAAAAAACTTAGAAAATTGTATAGACTAAGTTGGAACTCATCCAAAAAAAACTTTTGTTTAGAGAATATTTTTTCATTTTAAATGCTTTTTAAAAATAATTTTAAAAATGTTTTAAACTTTAAATTTAAAAAATGTTGGTAAATGAATTAATTACTAAATAATATAGATAATAATCGGATTTCTCAAAAAGGAAAAGCGAAAATGTAGAAAAATTCGTTTTCCTTCAATAAGAAGTTTAAACAAAAATTATGCTGTTTGTCTTTGTAAATGCATTTTGTAAAAAGGAAAATAAATATTTTATTTGGAAAAGAAAAACAATAAAAACATTTTAAAAAATTATCAAATACACAAATAGATCGCCTCCTATCAATAAACAACCCAGACGAACATTTTTACACCTCTTAAACATTTTTTACATTTAAACATTTTGTCAGCAAATACGGTCAAGTAAATTTTTATCAACTATTCCTACAAGGTAAAAATAAAAGCCAAAGAATAAATTCCTATTTATTTTTCACTATTTTATGCATTTTTAAAACCAAAAAACTAAATTATAAAGTTGGTAAAATTTCCCAAATTTTGTATGAAATATTGACACTAAAAATGAAAACAATTTTTTTCCCAACACAGTAAGAAATGAAAAAGGAAAATTTCCCTCTCGATAAACAAAGGAATGAAAAATATAAAAAATAATCAAGATATTTATAAAACAAGTTACCCTACTTGCGACAATATACGCTGAGAACAGATAAAACAATTTGTTTTCGATTACTTTTTAAGATTGATTTTTCAACAATTTTTTTCATCGTAATTCACGGAAAGGCGGAGCACAATTTTGAAATAATTCAGCCTTCCTCGAAGGGAAAATTTCCATGAAAATTGATAGGCACTTGGTGGAAAATAGTTGAAAATAAATACCTCGAGTGAATAATTCTGTCTTATGGTTTCGTAGGACCTCCAAGCCTCCGATGCTGATGTTGCATCCATATTCAGCTTTTGACATAATTCCTGATGTCTACTGTACGTAGAATCATCAATATCGTCCGACTGCCCCATCTTTTAAAAAATTAACACTCAAATTATTGTAAACTAATAAGAAAATGACTACAAAAACGAACTCTTTTTATGACAAGGGCGCGCCATACATGCCAATACATGCGACTGCAGCTTGCTCACTGAATGCTCATACACTCCACTTTGGCGCGAAAATCTTGGGCGCACTGTTTACGTTAAATACCCGCGACTGCGGCGGCCATCTTAACTTGTTGATATTTCAGATTTCACTTTGGCGGGAAAAGAAAATTCCGGTTCATTTACTTATCTCTCTCCTTTACAAAACTTGATTTCAATTTAATTAATAGTAAAAATATTTCCCCCCTTCTTGAAAAAGTCAACAATTATTAAAATTTACATTAAATTTTTAATTAGAAACTTTAAATTTCAACCACCAATTGGATATTGGAATTATTCTAGGTTAGTTTCAGGAAGAAAAAATTTTTCTTTAGAAAATTCAATGAGTATGTAATTATTACAAATATTCGTCGAGTTAAATAGATTTTAAAAAAAAATTATTATTTTCAATGAATTAATAAATGTTGGTAATTAAAAGTTAGTATTTTTAGCGCGCTATTTTCCCTTTCCATATTCAGTCACATGTCTTGTTTGATAGGCCGAACCTTTGCTTGCAAGGAATATTGTGTTTCATTTTAATAATTCGTATTGTATGAATATATTAAATAAATATAAGAAAGTGGGATATTTTATAAACGTTGGAATTTTTTTAAGATAGGTTAATAGTTATTTATTATTAACTTTGACTTTATTGGTATCTGAAAATATAAAGGTGTGGCGATTGCGCCTAGTGGAAATTAAGGAGCTTTCACACCTTCCACTTTTTGACTTCTAATGTTAAGGCTATTGCAGAATACGGAAACACTTTCGCCAACGCAAAAGATAAAATAGAAAAAGGGAGAACTATGTAATTTCTTTGTATTTTGTTTTATTTTCGTATTTCCTATTTTGCAGTAGCCAATAAAAAAATTTATTTCTCTGTTTTTGTCAAGCGAATCGACTGAATTAACTTTTTACGGTCTTGTGGCTAAATTTGATTGGCTTTGAGAAAATCTCCATTCTCACTTTAGATTTAACTGAAAATAGTAAAAAATTAGCTAAAACCAATGAAATTTAGCAATTCGATGGTAAAATTTCTTTCAGTCAATTCGCTTGACTATACCGGAAGTGCAGGTACTGTTTACATGCGTCCTTCCGGTTTTCATACATTATTGCAAAACGGTGGCATTTCTGCTATTATATTTAATATATTATAATTATATTACATAATATATTTATTATATTAGTTTGTGGTAAATTTATTTACCACTTTTTGTAACAAACTAAAAATTCTAATAGAAATGACGCGGTTTACAAAAAGGCAACCGGAAAGAAGACAAACCGGAAGAAAACAACATAGGCAGTTAGGGATGCTTCACAAATTATTTCACTCAAATTTGGAAAATTTTTAACTCCTCCCCCCTCCCTTGGTCATATTTTGTTAAGGCTAACACATAATGAATATGAATAGGGTAAAAAGAAACAACTACAGTTTGCACAAATATTAATATTTTTTAAGTTTCAAAGTTGCTAAAAGTTTATAAAACCATGAACAGTCGTGCTCAGGAATGCCTTTCGCCAGGGAAGGCACTAATTTCACGAAGTTTTCCTACCTTCTATATTTTTGACATTGTCTAGAAAATCAGCCAATGGAAAAGCAGAATTCCGTTGAAATTATTGGCACGAACTATAAAGAATATAGAAAGTGGACAAAAGGCGTCAAATTAGTGCCTTCTCTAAGAGAAGACATTCCTGAGCACGACTATACTATCTGATGCAATGTACATTATTTTAATAAAGTTTTAATGAAAAGTCTAAAAATAATTATGAAGATTACACCTCATTTTTTGCTGTCAAAAAGGTATGTAAAGGCGCTTGCACACTTCCAAATTTTTAGACGAGCAGCGAATTTTCACGACCTTGAAATGCACATTACTAAATATGATTGGCTCTGACAAAAGTACATTTTCTCGCAGCTTTTTGTAGAGCCAATCATATTTAGTAATGTGAGTTTCAAGGCCATGAAAATTCGCTGCTCGCCCAAAATTTTGGAAGTGTGCAAGCGCCTTAACAGTCAGGGAGCACACCTTCGGTAAAAATTTTCCGAACGGAAAATTTTTCATTGAAGTAAGAGAGACAGACTGTGTATCTGACTCTCTTACTCCAATGCAAATTTTCCTTTCTGGACAATTTTTACAGAAGGTGTAAACATTCCATGATGCTTGCGTCCTTCCGGTTTTGACGAAGTTTTATGGGTTTTATGGAGCATTTACACCTTTGGTAAAAATTGACCAGAATGGAAAATCTACATTGGAGTAAGAGAGACAGACACACAGCCTGTCTCTTTTACTCCAATAAAGATTTTCCATTCTGGACAATTTTCATCGCGAACAAGATGCATGAGATAGAAAAGGACACAAACATGTCTCTGTCCTTTTCTAACTCATGTTTTGCGTTCGCGGACGCTAAGCATGAGTTAGAAAAGGACAGATGTATATTTGTGTCCTCTTCTTTCTCATGCTCCGTTCCCGTTCCGATTCATTCTACGTTGGCCTTTAGTATGAAAGCACCTTTATGTATTAGCGTGGTTATATATTGCAGAAGAACCTTAAGTTAAAGTCGAGGTTATCGATATTCGACTTCGCATTTGAGATTCTCGATTACTTTCGATTTTGCCAAAAAAAAAATAATAAAGAAGAACACGTGGTGTAACATACAGTTGTAAGCACGTTTAGACTGAACAGGTTAAGAACGAAGTTTATTTAGTTGAATAGTTTTTTTTAAAATCAGTGAAAAAAGTGTCTGATAATGAGATTTTTGATAATTTTGTAATATTTTGTATACTTGTATTCAGTGTTCTTTAAACAATCATGTCGGACAATTTACTTATCAATTGTTTATCAAGTTTCTGCAGTGAAAATAGTTGTTGTGAAAATATATTTGCCGCAGTTTTACAGTTGAAGGTAATTAACAGAATTTTTTATTTAACTTTCGTATTATATTAAAAATATTTATGATGGTGTGGAAGAAACTTGCATAATTTATGTATGCAACTGTATGTATGATTATGATTTAATTATCCACTGGTTTAATTTTCAAGTATGCGATTAAAATTTTAACCTTAAATTTTAGATTTACGGATTTCTAGAGTATAGTTAATATATTTCAATGATCTTTGGGCCTCTATTTTAGGCAATGGAGTCAAAATATGTAAACTCATTAAAAAAGTCTTAAATACATTTATTACTAGTCTATAATTTATAGCTCAAAGATTAGCACAAAACATTTTTTTTGTCCAACGCCTGTAGTAGGAGTTATTTGTTTATTATCATTTGTGTTTTGGATTAAATAACATTTATTTTTATAATGATTTTAATCTTCTTTTCAGGAACTCGATTCTATTCAAAGATGTACAGTTCTGGAGACAGTTTGCAATTTATTAAAAGATGCACGATATACAACGAAAATTGCAGAACACTTTCGTCCTATTCTCTTAATTTTATTGACTTCGGTGATACCGATTTATGATCAGAACATCCATACTTTGGAAACGTTGAAGTTGAACCATCGAAGGAATTGTTTTATTCTTGGCAAACTCATTGGAAGCTATCCTGACGTATTGGGGTAAAAATATATTTAAATATTAATTCAGAGTGTCTACTAACCGGGAAACAGCCAGGAATTTAATTTGACCGGGAATGAGCCAGGAATTTTATGCAAAATCCGGAATTTTTTCACCAAATTAAAAAAAGTTTTATTATTTTAATTTGTTTTTAAAAAATCGCTTTTTATTTCAATTTTAATAGAAATTTATACTGTGCTCTAAATTTAAATCAGTTAAAAATAATTAATTTGATATTAAAAAATCAGTCACTGATTCAAATAAATAGTATGTAAATAAATTTTTAAAAAATTATTGAATTAATAGAAATTTTGTGAAATTCAACTGAAAATAATAAAATTTATTAAAGAATTTCATTAAAAACTTTTTAACAAATTGAATTTTCAAAGTATTTTAATTTAATAATTCATAAATAATTGAATTTTATAATGAGTCACATTCTAATGTATTCATGATTCTTTGTGCGAAGATTAATAATTAAAATTTTTAAGTTAATTTGAAAAAAGATACACACTCAAATTTTTTTAATAAAATTGAATTTTTGCAAAGTTTTTTTGAAAATTCTGAAAAATAAGATTTTTGAAATTTTTCAAATCTGTTGTTTCAAGATAATTGAATTTTTATAAACTAAACAAATAATTGAAAATTTTTGAAATAATATAAATTTCTTTACATTCTATTAAAAATAATTAACTTCTTTTAAAGAATTTTACTTAAATTTTTCCAAAATAATCGAATTCCTCGAAAAATGTAATTATTCTTAAAAATTTTATTAAAATTCATCGAAAGAATTCAATTATTTCTAGAAACTGGAAAAAAAATCTTCTCGAGAAATTATTTCCATAAAATTAATTATTTCCATAAATAGCAAAATTCTTCAGATTTACTAAATTCTTATGAATATTATTTTTAAAATTATATATTCAAAATGATAATAAATAATATTTACTTTTTTCTTATCCTGCTAATATATTGAATTTCTGCAAGGATTTTTATTATTCATGAAAGAATTTAAATATTTATAAAAATAATTTAATTTCCTGAGAAGAATTTTATAAAATTTTTTAAATAATTGATTTCTTTCGACTAATTTTATGCAAATTCTAATTTAAATAATTGATCGATTTCTTCATGTTTTATAATAAATTTATATGAGAAAATAGTTGAATTCTTGCAACAAATTTTATTAAAAACTTTTTTAAAGAATTCAATTTCTCAGAATTTTTTAAAACTTTTTGAAAATAATTAAATTTTATTGAGAAATTTCATTAAAAAATTGAAAATAATTGAAATCTGACGAATTAAAAAAATTTTTTTCATATAATGTATGTATTTTATATGCATTCCTTTGAAAATTGTTATTTTTAAAAAGAATTGAATTCTTGGGAAGAATTTTTTTAAATTTCTTAAATAATTGATTTGCTTCGAAGAATTTTATTTTTTACGAAAATAATTGAATTGTTTCGAAGATTTTTAGAAACATTTTTGACAATAGTTGTATTCTTAGAAAGAATGTTATATTTCACGAAAATAATTTTATTCTATGATAAATTTTATTATAATTTTTCAAATTTATATAAAGCATTTTATCAAAATTTTTTAAAATATTTGAATTCTCGAGAAAATTTTTATTATTTACCTACGAAAATAATTGATTTCTTGTGAAGAACTTGTATTTCAATTTTTTACAATAATTGGATTCTTAAGAAGAGTTATATTAAAAATAATTGAATTGTATTGGAAAATCTTATTAAAATTGCAATTTTATTAACTAAATCTTCTAAAGAATTTTGTTAACATTTTTTTGAATAATAGAATTTTTAAAAGATTCAAGGAAAATTCTAATATAGTTGGAATCAGAAGTATTTTTACTCAAATCATAATTAAAGTCGCCACATATTATTACATTATCATAAGAATTAATAAATGTTAGATGATTCAGAGGTAAGTTTAATTATTATTTAAAAAGCAGAAATGTAGCAAGCAACAGAGCCTTCACTAAATTTACTTTTCAAGAACTTAAACAAATGGACGCTCATTGCTAACAAGGGAATCTTCCGTGAATAATATAGTACTTTTTTGTTATAGATTTGCTCTTCATTATTTTGAAAAACTCCCAGCTCCGTTTTCCTCGATAGAAGAAAATGGAACTGTCGAAATGAATGAGGTTGACGAACCTATGTTAATTGATACAATAACAGACTGTGATATTGTTTCATCCTCTTACAATATTTTAAAAGCGAAACCACATCATTTTAAAAGAAAATGGAATTGGTCAGAATTTTACACATTTTTAACTCATTCTGATAATAAAGTCAAATGGTAAGTTCAAGTTCTTAAAAGATTCTTAAAAGTAAAAGAAATGGTATGTCAATGTAATTTAATTTTCAGGATGGCTTGGAATTGCATTGCTATTGTTTTAGACATGTCTGAATCGTTACGATTAAAATGTGTCACATCGCTAATCGATTCAACCATAATAGACGAATTTACAATGAATTTGGATAAGGAAAATACAAATTTCCATTCTGAAAATATTTTATCTGAAGAAGCATCTAAAGAAATTGATCTTCTTTTAGAGAAGATACCTTCTGTTATTTCTGTTTCTGGTGTTTTGCTTCCTATCTTAAACAATAAGATGGAAAAATTGAAGTGTTCTTTAGTGACTGTTCCTTCTATGAAAGAGAACTTACGCAGTTTAGCTTTAGCAGTAGCAACGGGAAAATGTGTTTGTGTTCAAGGAACGGTTGGTTGTGGAAAGACCAGTATAATTGAGTACATAGCTAAAGAGACTGGACGGAGTCAATCGGATTTTATTCGAGTTCAATTGGGCGATCAAATCGATTCCAAGATAATGCTTGGTAACTATCGTTGCACTGAGATTCCCGGCGAATTCATCTGGCTGCCTGGTATTTTAACGAAAGCGGTGACTGATGGAAAGTGGCTCCTTCTGGAAGATATTGATAGTGCTACCATGGATGTATCAAGTACTCTGAGTAATTTACTCGAAACGGGAACATTGTCCGTCCCCGGACATCGAGATTTGATTCAAGTTAACAGTGGCTTTCAATTGTTCGTCACGCAAAGACTGTTCTCTACTTCCGCCGGACTTCGTAAACCTGTTTCGAATGCTTCGAATTTGCTCTCGAGACATTGGACTTGCGTTAACATGGAACCACTTTTAAGGGATGAGCTTATAACTATTATAGAAACATTATTTCCAAAATTGAGGACAGTGGCTTCAAAAATGGTAGACGTCTTCTTGATTTTTCAATCAAGTGAGGAAAGTGATCAAGAGTTGATAAATATTTCTTCTAGACCTAGAAGACTGACGTCTACAAGAGATTTAATAAAATGGTGTTCGAGGGCTGATGTTTATTATAAATATCCTACGAGTGAAGAGGAGAAGCAAAATCTTTTTGAAGATGCAATTGATATTTTTTGTTGTTCGACACCTGACGAAGGTTAGTAAATGTTTAATTTCTTAATCGCTGACATATCCCCACTCTAGCGCTTTTGAATGTTTTTGTCTATAACGGTCAGTTGCGTAGGCAGAGGGTTAAATCTAATTATATTTTTGAAATAATTATTAAAACAGGGCTCGAAGCAGTGAAAGTATTTAAAAATACGGACTTTACGGACCAAAAATTAAAAATTACGGACCATTTACGAACCAACTGACAAAAATTGTAGAATCAGGCCGAATCAAATAAGCGAACATTTTACTTAAAACTAGAAATTAAATTTTTCATAACTATAAAACATGAAGAAATCGATGACTCCGAGTCTTCAACTCGAAGTCATCGAAGTCACCGAGTCGAAGACTCAGAGTCATCGATTTCTTCATGTTTTATAATAATTAATAATAATTATTAATTATTAATAAAAATAATTTATAATAATTAAAATCATTATCAATTCAATTATATTATTTTTAAGAATTTTTATCTAAAATTCTTCTTTCTATCGATAATTTTTAATAATTTTCGAAAAAGTTCTTTGACAATTTCCAAATTCATTTCTTTACAATATTCAATTTTACAAAATTTCAATTATTCGTAAATTCTTTAATTAAATAAATATTAGAAAAAAGAAACTAAAAATAATATTAAAAGAAACTCAATTAAACTTTTTCAAAAAAATTAATTACAAAATTCAATTATTTTTTAAAATTCAATTATTATCTAAAATTTTAATTTTTAAATCAATTTTTATTAGAAAATTCTACTAGAATTCAATTATTTAAATACAAATAAAATGCAAATAAATAATTTATTGAATAATTGAACGTTTCTTAAAATTCAATTCCCATAAAGAATTGTTATCAACAAATTTTCAAATAATTGAATTCTATCAACGAATTTTAATAAAATTTTTAAGAATAATTACATTTTTCGAGAAATTCAAATTAAAAGTAATTGAAATTCTGCATTGAATTTTATTATTTATGAAAATAATTGAATTCTTGCGAAGAATTTTATTAAAATTTTCAAAAATAATTAAATTCTTGTAAAAAAATTAACAGGAATTCAATTATTTTTAAAATTTTAATAAAATTCTTGTCATAAATTAAAAATAACAAAATTCTTAGCAGATCTTCAATTACTTTCAGAAATTTTAATAAAATTTTCGCAAGAATTTAAATATTTTCGTAAAATAATAAAAGCTTTGCAGAGATTCAATTATTTTCAAAAGTCTTAATAAACTTCTTTGCAAGAATTCAATTATTTTCAAAAATATCAGAATTTTAGCAGAAATTTAAACATTTTAAAAAGTTTTGATAAAACTTTTTTTGGTAGAAATTTAATTATTTTTAAGACAATTTTAAAAAAATGTCTCGATAAAATTCAATTATTTTTAAAATTTTAATGAAATTCTTCGAAAGAATTCAATTATTATAATCTAAGATTTTAACTGAAATCTATTTTTAAATCAATGTTTATGAGAAAATTCTACCAGAATTCAATTATTTAAATAAAAAAATAAATAATTTATTGAATAATTGAATGTTTCTTGGAATTCAATTACTATTAAAAATTTTATCAACAAATTTTTAAATAATTAAATTCTTTGCACGAATTTTAATAAAAATTTTTAAGAATTATTTCGAGAAATTCGATTAAAATTCTATTGAAAATAATTGAATATTATTACTTTAAAAAATAATTGAATTCGTGTGATAAATATTGTTAATTATGAAAATAATTGAATTCTTGGGAAGAATTTTATTAAAATTTTTGAAAATAATTGAATTTCTGCAAAGAATTTTATTACTTTTGAAAATAATTGAAACTTTGCAATGGATTCTATTAAAATTTTTGAAAATAATTGAATATTATTTTTTTTTAAAAATAATTGAATTCGTGTGATAAATATTGTTAATTATGAAAATAATTGAAATTTTTAAATTAATTTTATTAAAATTTTTGAAAATAATTGAATTTCTGCGAAAAATTTTATTACTTTTGAAAATAATTGGAATTTTGCAATGGATTTTTAAAAAATTTTTGAAAATAATTGAATTTTATTACGTTAGAAAATAATTGAATTCGTGTGATAAATATGGTTAATTATGAAAATAATTGAAATTTTTTAATGAATTTTATTAAAATTTTCGAAAATAATTTTAATTTTGTCGAAGAATTTTGCTATTTATTTATAAAGATAATTGAGATGTTGACCTCTTTTTAGATTTTTCGAAAATAATTGAATTTCGGAGAAGGATTTTAATATTTCTAAAGATAATTGAAATTTTGACGAGAATTTAAAAAAAAATTTTGAACATAATTGAATTTTTGCAAAGAATTTTATTACTTTTAAAAATAATTGTCTTCCTGCAATCATTTGTAATTTCTCTAAAATTCTCAAAATTATATCGTACCTACAATTTACGAACTTTTCATCCTTTTTGAATGAAATTACGGACTTTACGGACCTTTTTTTAAAAAAAACGGACTTTTACAGACTTGAAGCAAAGTTACGGACTTTTTCAGGATTTACGGACCTACTTCGAGTCCTGTTAAAATTATTAAAATTTCGACGGCTGTGACTGTCGAAACGTAAAAACAAGTCATGTGTGTTTTTTATTATTAACCTGACTTGGATTGATTGATATATTCTCATCTATTGTTTTAATTATCAAAATGTTTTGTTTTTTATGTATATTTCAGGAAGGAGACAATCTTCAGTAGTAGCAATTGGACTCAAGTTAGGTATCAATAAAGTGAATGCAGAAAATATATTTCAAACATACAAACCATCGATAACGTGTGAAAAGGACTTTATAGTTGGTCGTGCAAAGTTACCATGCAAAACAGTTTCTTACGCGAGTGTCGATAAAAGAAAAGTGACATTTTCCTTCACGCGTCCATCCGCCTGCTTGCTAGAACGTATAGCTTGTTGCGTAGCTCAAAAGGAACCCGTTCTCCTCGTCGGCGAGACAGGAACCGGAAAAACCAGTTCAATTCAATATCTTGCCAAGAGTACTGGAAACACTCTCATCGTTATTAATATGAATCAGCTCAGCGAGAGTGCTGATTTGTTAGGAGGATACAAACCGGTAGATATCAAATTTCTCATAAGACCCATAAGAGAGGAATTCGAGTTACTTTTCCGCTCGTTCTTTGCCATTGAGCCGAATAAGAAATACTTGGAAGCCATAGCTTTGTGCTACAAACAAGAGAAGTGGGACAGTCTTCTAAAATCAATGACTGTCAGTGCTAGGAGCGCAATAACTAGATTGAAAGATTCCTTCAAGGCTGTTAAATGGGAGAAGCTTCTTTTGAAAATAGAGAAACTTTCGTCGCAAGTGAAGAGTAATATGGCTTTGGGTTTTGCTTTCGTGGAGGGAAGCCTTGTGAAAGCAATTCAGAAGGGACACTGGGTTCTTCTCGATGAGATAAATTTGGCTAATGCCGAAACTTTGGAGTATTTGTCCGGTTTATTGGAAGGTTCTTCAGGTTCTCTGTCACTTTTGGAACGAGGTGACGAAGATTTAATAAAACGACATCCGGATTTCACTCTCTTTGCGTGTATGAACCCAGCCACGGATGTTGGGAAAAAGGAATTACCGATTGGTTTTCGAAATAGATTTACAGAATTTTTCGTTGATGAACTAACGTCAAAGATTGATTTGCAGATATTGGTTGACTCGTACCTGAAGCAGATGAACCTGCAATGTAAACATGAGACTATTGTTAATTTCTACATCAGTTTGAGAAAAGAGGCGCATTTGATTTTATTTGACGGGACTATGAATAAACCTCATTATAGTTTACGAACACTGTGTCGAGCTCTAAGTATCACTGCTGCTAATCCCTGTGAATATGAGTTAAGATCTTTGTACGAAGCATTCTGTCTTAGTTTTCTGACCCAGTTGGATCATAAATCATATCCGATTGTTGAAAATCTGATCCGAAAATCGATGTTGGAGGAGAAGACAGCGAAAAGAATTCTTTCCAGTCCCATTTCAAGACCTAAGAGTGACTTGGAGTTTATTAATTTCGAAGGCTATTGGATTACGAAAGGAACCGAGGTTCCGAACACACCGGAAAATTACATTCTGACGTCGTCCGTGAGGCGTAACTTGAAGGACATTGCTCGAGCTGTGTCGATAGGAAAAATGCCGATTTTGCTGCAAGGAGACACGTCTGTCGGAAAGACGAGTTTAATCACCTATTTGTCGAAAGCATCGGGCCACGTCTGCGTTAGGATCAACAACCACGAACACACTGACCTGCAGGAATATGTCGGCAGTTACGTAGCCGACGAGACCGGAAAACTAGTTTTTCGGGAAGGTATCTTAGTCGAAGCTATGCGGAAAGGTTACTGGATAATTCTCGACGAGCTGAACTTAGCGCCAAGTGATGTTCTAGAAGCTCTCAATCGTGTTCTGGACGACAATCGAGAACTCTTCATTTCGGAGACGCAACAGGTTGTCAAGGCTCATAACGAGTTTATGCTCTTCGCGACGCAGAATCCACCTGGATTGTACGGAGGAAGAAAAGTTCTTTCCCGAGCTTTCAGGAACAGATTCGTTGAGTTTCACTTCGACGAAATCCCACCAATCGAGTTGCAGGAAATAATGCAGAAACGGTGCAGTATGCCAGAGTCGTACTGTAAGCAAATAATCAACGTGATGAAAGATCTGCAGATTAGACGCAAGACGACCGCTGCCTTCGCGGGAAAGAAAGGTTTCATAACCCTTAGAGATCTATTTCGATGGGGCGAGAGATTCCGCCTAGCACCGGACGTTAAAGGTCTGTATGACTGGAGTCAGCATTTAGCAGACGAAGGCTACTTGGTACTAGCATCCAAAGTTCGTCTTCCGGAAGAAGAAGCTGAAATTCGTCAAGTAATCAAAAAGCACCTAAAACGGGACGTCGTACCCCAAGATCTGTTCACTTTATCTAAGACAACTTCGCCCGTTACCAAACACATTTTAGAAGAGATCCTCCGAGAAGATATCTCCGAATTCAAACACATCGTCTGGACCTATCATCTCCGACGCATGGCTGTTTTACTCAAAAAATCGAGCCAATTTCACGAACCGGTTTTACTCGTCGGCGAGACGGGTTGTGGAAAAACTACCAATTGCCAACTAGTCGCTGCGATCCAAAAGCAACAGTTACACGTCGTCAATTGTCACATGCACACCGAATCTTCCGATTTTCTGGGAAATTTACGTCCTGTCAGAAGTCAGGACAGGGAAGAAAATCAAAAACTCTTCGAGTGGGTCGATGGTCCCTTGATTCATGCCATGAGGAACGGAGACTTGTTCCTTGCAGACGAGATCTCTCTGGCTGATGACAGTGTACTTGAAAGGTTAAATTCCCTCCTGGAGCCTGAACGTACGCTCGTTTTAGCAGAGAAGGGAATCGATTTAACAAATGCGCATAAAACAGGCAGTATTATCGTCGCTAAGGAAAACTTCCTCTTCGTCGGTACTATGAATCCAGGCGGTGATTATGGAAAGAAGGAGCTTTCTCCTGCCTTACGTAATCGATTTACGGAAATTTGGTGCGATCCCTGTACGGAAAGGGGGGATTTGAAGATAATAATAGAGCATAATCTTCGGGAAGATGTGGCGAAAGGAAACATCTCGGAGTGTATTTTAAATTTTCTCGATTGGATGAAAAAGGGTGATACTCTAAAGAGTTTTATTGTTAGTACTCGGGATCTTCTGAGTTGGGTGGACTTTATTAATATTTCTACGGGAGATGGTTTATTGTCGGTGGTGGATGCTATTTTACAGGGAGCTTGTCTGACTTATATTGATGGACTTGGATCTGGCGGTTCGAAGCAATTAGATGTTTTTAAAGACAACGCGTTGGGGTATTTACAACAAGAGTTGTATTCATCATTAGGAATAGCGCCTTCTGTGGAAAAACTTACAGCGGTTAGGGATTTGAAAATCGCGACTGAGGATTTCTTTGGGATCGAGCCTTTCTTTATTCCGAAGGGTCATGATTTTTCCCCAAATACGGAGAGATTTACGTTTTCTTCTTCGACCACAAAGCTGAATACTTTGAAACTACTGAGGGCTATGCAGATCAAGAAGCCTATTTTACTGGAAGGAAGTCCGGGAGTTGGGAAGACGAGTTTAGTCTCTGCGGTCGCGAGAGCCTCGGGGCATTCTTTATTCAGAATCAACTTGAGCGATCAGACGGACGTTTGCGATTTGTTCGGAACGGATTTGCCCGTTGAGGGTGGTAAGGGCGGGGAATTTTCCTGGAGGGACGGACCATTTTTGCGCGCTTTACGAGCTGGACATTGGATACTATTGGATGAGCTGAATTTAGCCTCGCAGGCTGTTTTGGAGAGTTTGAACGCTTGCTTCGATCATCGGGGCGAACTCTTCATTCCCGAGTTGGGGAAGACTTTTAACGTCACATCAGGAACTAAATTCTTCGCTTGTCAAAATCCGATGAAACAAGGAGGTGCTAGACGAGGACTGCCGAAATCGTTCCTGAATCGATTCACCCAGGTTTTCGTCAGTACACTGACAGAGGAGGATCTTAAGTTTATATGCTATTCGCAATTTCCGGAATTGTCGGAGGAGTTAGTGAGAAGGATGGTTGATTTCAATAGTAGAATATCGTCAGAAGCTGGTATTCTGTGGGGTCTTAGCGGATCCCCCTGGGAAATGAATCTGCGGGACGTTATCCGATGGTGTGAGGCGACTATTTCTTCAGCGAAAACTCAGTGTAGTGAAAGGGACTTGTCTTATAATCCCGGATGCTGCGTGGAGCTGATCTACGCCGATAGGATGAGAACTAAAATCGACAAGGAGACGGTGCTGAAAATATACGGAGAGATCTTTCCGGATTGTCCTCTTTCTTCCAGTCAGCCAATTTTGCATGTCACTCATGACAAATTGTACTTTGGGGATATGGTTCTAACTCGAAGTAATTCGTCGCATTATGAAGAAGATTTGTTACTGTTGCGAGATCAAATGAAAACGCTAAGGAGCCTCGCGCAGTGCATCAACATGAAGTGGATGTCTATAATCGTCGGGGGACCAGCTAGCGGAAAAAGCAGCGTTGTCCGCGTAATCAGTCAGCTAGCGGGGCAGAAATTAAAAACAGTCGTCGTTAATTCCGCGATGGACACAAACGAAATTTTAGGCGGGTTCGAGCAGACCGATTATAATCGTCACCTGGAGGAACTTTTCGAACGCACTGAAAATTTACTGATTGATTGCCTAAAAATAACGATCTGTGAGAGTAACATCGAAGTTATAAAACATTACCATGAGTCTTTGGAAAACGTCCGAAATATTCTGGAAGAAACATCGAAAACGGGAATTGAACTCTTCCTACAGAAGCTAGACGACTTGTACCGGTTAGTTTCTATGATGAAGGATCTAGACCGTCACCTTGAGGAACTAAACGAAATCTTACAAAAATTAAACAATCTTTCCCGAATCGTTCAACAGGAGATGTGTCTCAACGCCGGAGGGAAATTCGAGTGGGTGGACAGTTTACTAGTCAAGTGTCTAAAAGAAGGTCATTGGTTACTCGTCGATCAGGTGAACTTCTGCAGTCCTGCTTTACTAGACAGACTCAATGGTCTACTAGAACCAAACGGAGTGCTAACAATCGGCGAACGTGGCACAACAATTGATGGCACTATAACAACTATCAAACCACATGAAAATTTTAGACTCTTCCTGACAATGGATCCAAAGTACGGAGAGATTTCGCGGGCAATGAGAAATCGGGGCGTGGAAATATTTTTACTAGATCAGGGAAAAACGGTAAACCAAGATCTCGATGTCCGTTCACTTCTATTCAGTTCCGGTCTCACTGTTAAATTACATCAAGATGTTCTGTTTGAAATTCATGACAAAATTTCGCAGGATATTTCAAGTACAGAGGCGTTGAATATCACACATCTTCTCAAGTCGGCTTTTTTGATAAAGCAACAAATCACGAGGGGTTTTTCCCTAACATCCGCTTTTGAAACAAGTTGTCAAGATGTTTACATAAAAGCAAGAGCGATTAGCGTACAGCAAACAAAAAGTCGTCTTGAACTTTTCATTCAAGAGTCGTGTAAACTTTTTTCTTCTGTTGACATGGAGACGAACTTTACGCCTAACTTAGAGACAATAACCTGGAAGGTTGAAGACTGTTTGGAGAATTCGAAATTAGCGAGGATAGAACAACAGGGGGCCTTACTTAGTTACTTCACCCAGAACTTAATTACTTCATCCATTAATTCTTTGAGGATTCCGCTGGTCGATATAGCGGAATTTTTAAACCTCGGGAACTTTGAAAATCTGAAAGAAATGTTCATTGACGAGATCTTTCCTTATGTGTTACTGGAGTTTTTTGAGAAATCTTCAATAGATGATGTCGAACTCCGAGCTCGGTGGCTTCTGAAGAAGAATGCGACACAAAACGAAATTTTACAAAATAGCCAAAAGTTAGTGAAAGAAGTTCTATCGTTTGAATTTAGTTTTCCGAATTATGCCCTACCTTGGGATGCGGCTCTACCACGAGGTCTTACAAACGAGGCGAAGGAAAAAAATAACCAAGATTCGAACAGATTGGCGTTACTTCTTTATTGGAATAATATGGACAACGAATTACTATTGAAACAATCAGCAAAGAAAGAAACTGTAAGAAGATATTCTACGGAAGTGACGAACGGAACCATGAACACTTTTTGCAAGGATGAACCGTTGATCGACAACTTCTCACCTTTTACGAATCAGGTACGAAAGACCATTGATATCACACTTCGAGAGAAATCTCTGCCACTGACGCCTCAAGATTACTTGAAAATAAGGCTAAATCTTCATTGGTATAAAAGATACTACGAGCTAGGAAACCTAGTTCTTGAAATTGACAAAAAGCGAACGAAGCTCATTAACATTGATAAGATCAGTTTACTGTTGAAGGTGCACTACAAGTGGTTGATAAAGTTTCTAAAAATGTTTTCTTCCCTTCTGTCCAATCATCTTTTGAGTGAAAGTTGCAAGTCTGAGATTAACAGTTTGTTCCAAATGATAGACGAAACAAATCGGGATCTATTCGTCATGTACAATCCGATATTGAAGATTGCCAAGAAATTCAAAGCTGTCATGAGTCTCCCACTCCCGTATTCTGACAAACAAATTGCTGATTCGTTCTCCCACTTGATGTACGTCTCACGGTGTCTCAACTTCTGGACGATGATTGTGGACAATGAAGCAAAAATGTTTTCAAATCTCTTGATATTATTGTCACCTAAGGGAATTGAGATTCGGCGTCAATTACTTGAGGACTGGTACACTTTTTTCAAAACAAATTGTTTTAGTGGAACTGAAGAACACCTTCTGGGAATTAAAGATTTTTGTGTAAAGAATAATTTGAAAGTGGAAAATTCTGGTGAATCAACTTTAGAGTGCTCACTAAATCCAACGGAGGAAGCAGCACTTTCAGGGAATATTCAACTTTGGCCGCTTTATGAACATATGTTTCTTCGATTTGCGAATAGAATTCAGCAGGAAATTTGTGCTGCAGCTTTTGGTGGAGCAGAAAATTGCCAATCGGTGGAAATTGTCACACAACTTTGGCAAAAATGGAGCGAAGTTCTAAGCATACCGGTAAATGTTTTGGCGGTAACGAACGCTGCTTTGCTTTTCAATCAGGAACCAGAGACGGTTTGCAGACTGATTCCAACTTTGTCTTATTTACTGAAACGATTCGCGAGGGGAAACTACGCTCTTAATAATTTTAAGAAATTATCCAACTGGAAGGGATTTTCCTGTCAACCGACGGAAGATAACACTGCTTTTACTCCATACTCACAGGTATTTTAATATTTTTACTTCTAAACATATTCTATTAACATGTTTTACTAAAATTAAAACGTTTTAATTTTTAAAAACTCGGATTTTTCCGAAAAAAAGCAAAGTTTTTACTTTGCTTAAGTCAAACTTATGAAGTGTTACAAATAATTTATAATGGAAGTGCAAAGGAAAAAATTAATTAATTTTCCAAAAGAATTCTATTATTTTCTAAAACTTTAATAAATCCTTCGAAACAATTTAATTATTTTTTTTTAAATAGTAAAGTCTTTGCAAAAATTAAATTATTTTCAATAAAATTTCACGAAAGAATTCAAATTTTTTCCTAATTCGTTAAAATAAAATTTTTCAAAGGAATTCAATTATTTTTTAAAAATTTAATAAATCCTTCGAAAGAATTAAATTATTTTTAATATAATTTAAAATTTCATGAAAAAATTCAATTTTTAAAAATTTTTAATAATATTTTTCGAACAAATTAAATTATTTTTTAAAATTTTAATAAATCTTTCGAAACAGTTCAATTTTTTTGAGTTTTTAATAAAATTTCACGAAAGAATTCAATTTTTTTCTTAATTCGTTAGAAAATTTTTCAAAGAAATTCAATTATTTCCTAAAATTTTAATAAATTCTTCGAAAAAATTCAATTATTTTTATAAATAGTAGAGTCTTTGCAATAATTAAATTATTTCAAAAAAATTTCACGAAAGAATTCAAATTTTTTCTTAATTCGTTAGAATAAAATTTTTCAAATGAATTCAATTATTTTTTAAAAATTTAATAAATCCTTCGAAAGAATTAAATTATTTTTAATAAAATTTCATGAAAGAATTTAATTTTTTTTTATTTTTAATAATATTTTTCGAACAAATTAAATTATTTTCTAAAATTTTAATAAATCCTCAGAAACAGTTCAAATGTTTTTTTTTGAGTTTTTAATGAAATTTCACGAAAGAATTCAATTTTTTTCTTAATTCATTATAAAATTTTTCAAAGAAATCCAATTATTTTCTAAAAATTTCATAAATCCTTCGAAAGAATTCAATTATTTTTATTTAATATAGTAAAATTTCATGAAAAACTTCAATTTTTTTTAATTTATAATAATATTTTTCGGAAAAAATGAATTATTTTCTAAAATTTTAAAAAATCCTTCTGAACGATTCAGTTTTTTTTTTAATTTTTAATAAATAACATTTTTCGAAAGAATTTAATTATTTTCTAAACTTTTATTAAATCCTTCTAAACAATTTAACTATTAACAAACATGTTTATTTTTTAAATTTGAAAAAAAAAATTGTTTAATTTAATTATTTTAAAAATTTCCAATTAAAATTATTCAAAAAACTACATTATTTTCACAAAAACTTAATGAAATTCTTCAAAAAAATTGAATTATTTACAAAAACTCTAATAAAATTGTTTAAAAGAGTTTAATTTTGTATCAATAATTTTAATAAAATTTTAATAGTAAAATTATTAATTACATTTATTAACAAAATCGATTATATTTAATAAGTTAAAGAAAATTTTTGAAAGAATTCAATTATTGTCAAAACCTTTAATACCTAGAATCTATTCTTCAACAGAATTTAATTATTTTCTATATTTTAATAAAATTCCTTGAATGAATTAAATTATTTTAGAAAATTGTAATAAAATGCTCTGAGAAATTTTTTTATTATTTTCTAAAAATTTGAATAAAATTATTATTAATAAAGAAAATCGATTATTTTAGAAACATACGAAATAAATTGTTTATGAAATTCAATTACTTTCTAAATTTTCAATTAAAATGATTAAAGAAACTTTTTAAAAAATTTAATGAAACAATTTGCATAATTCCTATTTCTTAATCACAATTTTCGTAGAAAATTCTCAGTTTTTTTTAGAAAATAATTTACACCATTCATATTTCTTAATTACAATTTTTTAACATTTACATCTTTTTTTTCCTTAAATACAATTTTTTTTTAAATTCTAAGTCTTTTTTTAGAATTGAAGAGAAATATTTTTTATATTTAATTCGTTAATCTTAATTTTTAACTAAAAGAAAAACTGAGAATTTAAAAATATTTTTATAAAATAGTTGAGAAAATTTTTATAAATTTAATATGTCAATTATATTTATAGTTATAAAATTTTTAGTTTCTTTCGGAAAAATATTTCCATAATTTCTTTTTTTTAATCATAATTTTTAACGAAAATGTAATTTATAAAGAAAGCACAATGAAAAAATTTGCATACCTAATTTTTATTTCATAATCATAATTTTTTAATAAAATTTCTATTATTTTTTTTAAATAAAAAACTTTTTTTACAAAATCGATTTTTCAATTACAATTATAATTTTTAATTTAGAACAAAACTAAGAAGATTAACTGGTTTTAATAAGATGAAGGAAAAATATGTTAGATAATAATTTTGATGTTTTAGTCATATTTTTAGGTTACATAAGTTTTAGTATTTCTTATAGAATAATATTATATAAAATAGAAATTCAGCAAACTTTTTTCTTTATTTTTAATGAAAACTTGCTATTTTGTAAAAAAATTGTCATTGAGGAAGAGAAATTATGCAAAATTTTTTTCTGTTTTAAAAAAAATATAATTGACGAATCAAAATTATACCAATTTTTTTTAATTTTGTTTTTCTATAAAAAATAAAACTTTTGTTTTTTTTTTTTTTGAGAAATTGCATTTCTGCAAGTTTTTTAAATTTATTTAGGAAAAAAATTTGAAAATTATAACAAAATTCCAAATTATTAAAAAAAAGTAAAAAATTTGCATAATTACATTTTTCCAAAATATTTGCAAAAAACAGTTTTTGGAAAATTTGAAACGTGAAACAACATATAGTAATTTTATTTATTAATACGACCGAGTGAAAAATAATTATTTACATTAATACCCCTTATAAATGATCATTCAACTAAAGTTTCAATTTTTTAAATTCAAATAGTAAATGTTTTAATGACAGAATCAATAATAACTTACTTTCTTTTTCAGGTGGAACAGAAGACTCGATCTACTCCAGCGCTATTGAATTTAATTCTGGAATTATTACTGAATAAAACCCAGACGAAAAATGACACCTCCGTACTTGCAATGCCCTCTCTCGGTGCACATGAATCACGCATAAGTCAACTTAAGAAACTCAACATTTTACTCTGGAGAAATAATGCGTCTTTTAATTCTAAAAAATTCGATTGCCTATTAAATGATTACGAAATACTGAAGACACAAGGAAAGTACTTTTTGGAATTGAACAAGAATTTGCAGCTCGAAGACCAGTGGAAGCTATGTGACATTGAAAAGAATCTTTTGCTGGAATTTGAAGAAATTCTCTGGGAATTAAGAAGTGCACCCCAAAGGGATAGAATATTTAGACAAGGTAAGGCTTGGGCTAAGTTTGGTTATTTGCAAACATCTCTATTCACATCGTTGGGATACGTCGATCCACTCTACAAAGTTGAACGAAAACTCCAATATGCTGAAGAGGACATTAAGGATCTGAAATGTACGTTTTATGTTAAAATTCTAGAAGGTCGTATTTTTGGGAAGAAAGAAATTGATAATTCTCGTTTCAAGGAAATAGAACCGATGGTAAAAAATATTATCGCCGACCGGGAAGTTTTACGAACGAAGAGAGCATACCGACCGGCCAATTCGGACTTTTTGATACTCGTCAAAGAGTTTGAAAATTTCCGTAACACATTGGGTAGTTTTTCAGTTGTTCAAAATCATCTTCTAGAACTTTCGAAGGTATTCGACGATTTCGCCGGCAAAAATCCGGATATCAAGCGAGCGGAGAATGTGGTTCTCAGAACCGAAACTTGGCAAGAGTCTTTGGAGCAATTTATCGATCGAGTCGAAAATCGTTTTCTCTCCTCCTATCCAGATCTTATTTTACCAGCATTTGCCGCTATATCGGACATGAAACATGGAATTAATATCATGACGACTCATATTCAAGGGATGATTTCCAAAAGTTCGAATCAGGACCTAGAAGGTTTAATCGAAAAAATGATCGTATTTCCTACGATTAACCGACGACAGTCAAGTTTGTTAGATTTGGTCGACTTCTGTACACTTGACTCAACCAGGGAGGTTATAAATAAAAACCTTCGAGTTGATAATCAATTTTCTTCCTTTAGAGAGCAGTTTAAAATAACCTTGTCCGGTCTACACGAACTACATAATTATATTTTACTAAACGGCAAACTTTCCAAAAAATTGTGGAGCAAATTGAGTGAAATAATGCACCAGGTTATTTTGATTTGGAAACAACAGCAGAAGGAAATTCTCCAGCAGGAGCTCGATGAAGAAAGTATGTACAAGAGTACTCGAACACATGCTTCTCAAACTGTTGAGGAAGAGGAAATAAAGCGAGAGATCGAGAATCTCTTTCCTACTTACAAGGAGACGGATTTTAACGATTTTGGAATTGATGCTCAATGTCAGGGAACGGAAAATGGGGAAGTTAGAACGAAAATAAAAGAGCGTCGTTCGGTTCTGCTTTCACTTGAAGATATTAAAGAAGTCAATCGGGTTTATTCGAGTATTTTGATATCGAGTACTTGTGGATCTTCTGATTGGCTAAAAGAATCCTTGCGGGGAACCGTATCGCAGAAATCACCGGATTACGTCAATCCGCTACTTTTGCGTTGCAATACGGTCGGAATGTTACTAGACAATGTAACAGTGTCACTAGATTCGAAAATCTCCGAAAGATTGTATTCGAGTTTGAATTATTTAACATCCGCGACGCTGTCCATCTGTCAGGGGAAGAAACTGTCGGGAAAGAATCAGGAGACATTTGATTTTTACAAAGACAGTAACATTTCTGAAGTCAGTTCCTGTTTGGGAATATTGAGAAACATTTTGGATAAGATTTCCCTTTTGCTACAAGAGTGGCCTGAGCACCCGACCCTAAGGGCTATTCGCGTGGTAATTCGAAGAATACTAGAATTTCCCGTAACTTCTTCGATTGCGAGATTTCTAACAGGTTTGGAATTGTTGCTAGTGAAAATGAAAGAGTGGGAGGAGAACGCCCACAAAGGGGTAAGTCTCTTCGAACACATGGCTAACCTCACCCAACAGATTGTTTCCTGGAGGAAACTCGAACTCGCTTCCTGGAAGGACTGTCTGAACGTCACTTTTTTGAGACTTCGAGATCAGAGCGCAAAGTGGTGCTTTTGGTTGTATACTTTACTCGAAAGTTACGTTAACAAAATTCATCCGGAAGATGATTGTTTCGAAGAGGTTCAAGAGGTTACTGTTCCTAAAGAGGAACAGATTTCCCCCGAAAAGTTAGTGGAAGTTCTGCATTGTTTCATCTCGAAGTCCTCTCTAGTGGAATTCGAGGCCCGATTGCAGTTGCTGTTAACCTTCCACTGTCATGCCTTCTACTTTAACTCGAGTCCAGAACGGGATGAAGTGTTGGCTATTACCTGGAATATCTACAACTACTACAAACAATTCATCGACGAGGTGAATACAAAAATTAACGGTCTACGAAATCCGATCGAGAAGAAGTTGAAAGATTTCGTCAAGATCACTCGGTGGAATGACATCAGTTACTGGGCGGTGAAGGAAACAATCGCCAAGTCCCACAAGACTCTACACAAGTTCGTCAAGGAGTACGAGAAAGGCTTGAAGGAGAACGTAACCGCCTGTCTGGTAGTCAAACCAACAAATAACCTGAACCATAAGGAGAATTTGAAGAAAGTAGATCCGGATATTTTTCTCCTCCCTTCGGAATCTTTCGAAAAAGTTGAAATAGACAAAGAGAAGTTAATACCAGACCAATTGGTGACTAGCCTAAAGACTAAAATCGCCGCATCAAGGTTCGAGGAAATTAGAACAAACCTCGAGAATCTGGTCGAGGACTACATGGAGCGTAGCGCTAACCTCAAGAAAATTGAAATTGACAACACTTTACCGAAGCCGAAACAAATATCTCACGCTAAGAGTGTATTGCAGCAGAAGAAGAAAGCACTATCGGATTATTTCAAAACTATAGCGCACTTGGGAGTTTCGTATCGAATCGGTATTTTAGCTTGGAAGAATAAACAGAACACTGTGATCGATCTAATGATACCGCCCCTCGATCTCAATGCTCTGAGAAACTTTGATTCGCAAGCGGACAAATTAATGCTCGACCAATGGCGCGACTGTGAAAATTATTACCAGAAATCGGTAGCCGAATTCATTGCTTTAACCCAAATGTTGTCGAATGCCCACAAGGATCTAAACCCTCTGAATGTTGAGCGCTTCAAAGGTTACTCGGCCCACATGCTCCTGATGGCGAACGAGCAGAAAAGAACCCTAACGGAGGAGATGAAACACTTTGTCGCAGTTCGTTCCCAAATCTACAGTCTGAAGAGTGTGAACCTACAATCAAATCTTCCGAAACAGGAGAATCTATTTACAATTGCTAAAAAGTTCAAGAAACTGTTAATTACTTTACAATCAAGTTTAGATCAGTTACAACTCTGCTTCGACGCCTGTCCCACTAAAACTGACATTGAAGAAAATGAAATCTACGATATGGAAGAACTCCCGCTTACGGTTCTTTATACAACCAAACAGGATCCATTGTTTGGGAGTGTTAACTCATTTTTCGGGGATTGTTCCCTTCGGGTCAGGACTATGACCCTTGGGTTTAATTCCTTGTTCCGTTCCTCTGTTCCTATTTTAACGACTGAACACTATGAGTATTTGAAGAAAGGTAACGAAACTCTGGAGGGTTTGAGGACGAAATTAACCGAGATTGAAAAATCGTTCGGTGGTGAAGTGAACTTGAATCATTCGTTAATTACAAGCATTGTGTACGTTAAGGAAATAATCGAAGATTATTTGTTCCATTTAGTGGAATTTAATCAAGTGGGAGAGGAAACATATGAGTACGACGAAGATTTACTGGAGTTTGAAAATACGTTAACGGACCTACTTCGTACTGCTGTGACTACACTCCAAATTGACGAAGAAGAAAAAGAAGAAATTTGTTTTGAAGTAGAAGATCAATTGGAAAAGAATACAATCACCGAAATGCTCATCAAGTCCCTACGGAACAAACTAACGAAGCTAGAGATAGAAACTGTTTCTAAAAAATTGGAGAAATTGATCAACTTTCACTTTGGAGGGTTTGAAAAACTACGTAAATTTCTACCTTTGTTAGAGCAATATCTACTATTCTCGGAGTTCTATCTAACGGAGCAGGTCGCTAGTTTTCGATTAACATGCAAAATGCTTCACTTGCAATTGAACGTGTTTCTCGATTTGGCTATTAACGGTTTTTGCATACCGAAGAATTTAGAACTTGATGTCGATCCAAACGGGGAGGAAAATTCTCAGGAAAATACGGGAAAAGGTGGTATGGGTCTGAGTAATGAAGAAGGAGACCAAGACGTTTCGGATCGAATCGAAAGCGAAGATCAGTTGGAGGAAGCGAAACAGAAGGGTCAAGAGGAGGAAAAGGATGAGAAATCGTGTCCGGAGGAGGAGAACGGTATCGACATGTCGGAAGATTTTGAGAGTAATTTACAAAATATGGAGAAGGGAGAAGAAGACAATGAAAATAGTGATGAAGACGATGGGGATTTGGATAAGGAAATGGATGAGACGAACGAAGGGGAGAATCAACAGGATAAAGAACTGTGGGGAGACGATGAGGAAACGGAAGAAAATAAGGAGAATTTAAAGGACGATGAGAATGCAGGTAAAGGAGAAGAACTTGACGACGAAACTATGGGTGCTAAAAATAATGAAGAAACACTACCGAAGGAGTCTGGGGAATACAAAGAAAAGGAGGACATCTCAGACCTGAACGAACCGGACATTAATGACGATCAAATAGATCCTTATCATGGTAACCAACAACCGGAAGTAGAACCGGAAGCGCTCGATTTGCCCGATGATATCAATTTGGATGAAGACGACGCGATGGATCAGGAAAACAAGGAAGAGGATGTGTTCGACATCGATAATATGAAGGAACCGACGTTACCTCCTGATGAAGAAGCAAAGGAAGATCCGAACGAAGAAGCAAGCGAAGAACCGAATGAAGAAGGACAGGAAGAAACGAAGGAAAATTCTGAGAGTAATGAAGAAAAGGAAGTAGAATCCGGTGACGAGGAAGGTGAGAATATTGAAGCCGCTCCGATCGAAAGTGAAACTGGACCCACTGAAGAAGGTGCCGACGAAGTTCCTGACGAAGAAAATAGCCCGGAAGAGCAGCAGACCGTTCTGAACGTTGATGACACTGACAAAAGAGGAGACAACGCAATGCAGATCGACGGAACCGAAGGCAATGAAAATAACCCAAACCAAGAACCAACGGAAAAAGATGCTTCGAAAAAGGAAAATGTCCAAGACTCGCAGAACGATTACGGAACCGGTAAATCGAACCAAGGTTTCGGGAAAACGGAATCTGCTATTGACGAGGGTGGAGCTTCGGACGAAAGAAATACCGAAAATACCCAGAAGAAACGAAAGACCCCCAAAGAATTAAAGGACGAAAATAAAACTCTATTAGAGGAAAACGAACCAATTGTGAAGAAGCCAAAAACCGATATTCAGGAGAAGGGAAACGAAAAAGAAATTTCGGAAAAGGAAACAATTGATGAAACCGCTGATAAAGAAACAAGATTCCGTCATGTGGACAGTAAAGAATCTTCTAATCAATGCGCGGTCGATGCGGCGACAACAGATCAGGTAAAAGAACAAGCCTCTAAAATTACAATGGAAGAAAAAGAAAAAGAAGAAGAAGAAGGAACCGAAGAACAGGATGTGAACATGCTTTGCGAAGACGAACCAATGCAACAGGAACCTACTGATCAAATTCACCCGGAACAATTTTCAACCCTCGAGGATAAAAACAAAGGAAAGTCTTCAAAGGCTAAAAACGAATGCGAACAAATGGAAATCGATTCAGATTCAATTTCCCAATTAGTAGAAACGGAAAAAGTTGAGAGAGGAAAGGACTCGGCCTTCTTCACAAACCTGGAAAATCTATCAATGGAAAATGCGACGAAAGACTATGAGCACAGGAGGAATGAAGTGAAACAAGTTTTGGCTCACTGGCGAACGGAGCCAACTACTGAAGAAGCGATAAATACCTGGAATGCTGTAAGCCTAATTACCGACACTGCAGCTAGGGAACTTGCCGAGAAACTCAGATTGGTTCTGGAACCAACGCAGGCTTCACGGTTGAAAGGCGACTACAAGACTGGAAAGAGGATCAACATGCGGAAAATTATCCCCTACATAGCGAGTCAGTTTAGAAAGGATAAAATTTGGTTGAGACGAACCAAACCGTCGAAGAGAAACTATCAAATCGTTTTGGCAATTGATGATTCAAGTAGTATGGTGGACAATGATTCGAAGGAAATAGCGTTTGAGTCACTTTCGTTGATAAGCAAAGCGCTGACGTACTTGGAAGCTGGACAATTGGGTGTAATCAGCTTTGGAGAGGATGTGAATGTTCTTCATCCTCTTGGGGAAACTTTTACACAAGAAAGCGGAGCGAGGTAAGGTTTTTTTTATTTAACATCTTGATTACATAACATACACTCGACTCTTGGATTTCTTACACTTATGGGGACAAATCCACTCATGACTTTCAGCAAAACAAATACAGGGTTGCCACAGAAACCCAGAGATTGGATTTTGTCGAAACTTGTTACTCAGGGGTTTTTGGGGTCACTGATTACGAATCTGAAGTCAGATTTTGAAAATTCAAAATGGCGGATTCAATATGGCGGACATTTTTTTCAAAGTTGCTCAAATTTACATAAAACTTGTTACTCGGGGGTTTTCGGGGTCGCTGATTACGAATCTGATGTCAGATTTAAAAAAAATTCAAAATGGTGACACCGAAAACCCCCAAATAACAGATTTTGAGCAAATTTGAGCAGATTTGAAAAAAATATCCACCATTTTGAATTTTTAAAAAATTTTGAAAATCTGACTTCAGATTCGTTGTCAGCAACCTCGGAATCCCCTGAGTAAGAAGTTTTAATCGAATAATATTGGTTGATTTTTATAAGAATACCATAAAAAATTTTAATAACTTAAATTCTTCTGAAATTAGTTAAATTTATTAATGTATAGGTATTTAATTAGTTATTAAGAATAATGGATTTATAGAAGAATTTTAGTTGAAAATGATAAAAAAAAATTGAATTTTAGAAGAGTCAAAATCTCAATTATCTTTATAAATAATAAAAATTCATTTTCGAAATTAAATTATTTTCAAAAATTTTAGTAAGTTTCAAAAATTTCCCTCTATTGAATGATTTTCAAAAATAATAAAAAATTTACGAGATTTCGATTATTTACAAATTTTTTATAAATTTCTTCGCAATAATTTAAATATTTCCATAAATAATAAAATTCTCTTTAGGAATTCAATTATTTTCATAAATAATAAAACTCATCGCAGAATTCCAATTATTTTTAATACAATTTTAATCGAATTCCTCAAAAACTATAATTATTCTTAGAGTTTTTTTTTTATTAAAATTAGTTGAGAAAATTCAATTTTTTCAAAAGTAATAAAATTCTCCTCAAAATTTCAATTATTTTTATAAATAATAAAATTATTCTTCAAAATTTAATTATTTCTAAAAATTTGAATAAAGTTAGCCAAAATGCAAATATTTACAATTTTTTTTATAAATTTCTACTCAATAATTCAAATATTTTCATAAGTCATAAAATACTTTAGATAAATTTAATTATTTTAAATATAATTTTATTCAATTTTTTTTTAAAAAATCAATTATTATTTAAAAGAAATTTTATATAATTCTTCGCGGGAATGCAATATTTCCCAAAAATTCCACTAGGTATTCTTAAAAATTTTATCTAAATTCTTCGAAAAAAACAATTATTATTTGAAGTTTTGATTTAATTCTTTAAAAGAATTCAATTTTAAGAAACATTCAATTATTATTGAATAAATTATTTTTTCTTATATTTAAATAATTGAATTCTCGTAGAATTTTCTAATAAAAATTGATTTAAACATGAATTTCAGTTAAAATTTTACATAATAATTGAATATTAAAAGCATATTATGAATTTTTAGAAATAATTGAACTTTGAAAAGGCTTCAAATTAAAATCTTTGAAAATATAAATTTTTCATACTTTTAACCAACAATTTTGTAGAATTTATTAAATTTTGTTTTAAAAGTTATTCGAAGTTTTTATTTTCTACTATAAAATTGAAGAATTTCCGAATAATCGATGAAATTTCGTAAAATTGAATTGTAAACAAATAGATTTGAAAATTCTCAAAGAAATTTTTCAAAAATTATTAAAAATACCATTGATTTAAAGAATAATTTTAGTTAAAAATTGTAGAAAATTTTGAATTGAAATTCTAAGGTATTTTTGACTTCATAGAGGAGCAACCTACATAACATGTACATTATAAAATAAACTATGCTTCAGTTTGAAATTAAATCCAAATTCAAAGTATAGCTAATATTTCCATTTTAATGAATGTTTCAGATTGATGCAGAAAATGAGATTTGAGCAGACAAAAACGAAAGTACCTCAGTTGGTGGATTACAGTATTGATATGTTTAATATGCAAAATGATTCAGTCGAAAACGCAAAGTTACTTGTTATATTGTCGGATGGTAGAGGGATCTTTTCCGAAGGAAAGAATAGAATGGCTTATGCAGTACGTAGGGCGAGATTAGCAGGCGTTTTCACAGTATTCGTTGTTATTGATAACCAAAAGAACAAGGTAACTATTTTTTAACTAATAATTTCTATCTTTTTTGTTCATCTTTTCTAGTTTATATTTACAAATATTTGAGAACATAGGGGCAATTCATAGTTAATGTAAGACCATTTTTGGAAATTTAAACACAACAGTGTTTATTAGCACCATTTTTTTTTGTTGATCATAAGAAATAGTTGAACAACCCCCCACCCTAAATGTGTTACGTAATTTATGAATGGTCTCATACTTTAATATAGAAAATCATTTTCACAAAAATATTTTATAAATTGTTTATTTGTTTGAAGGAATCCATTCTTGATATTCGGATGCCGATTGCAAAACCTGGACAACCGCTAGTTATCCAATCCTACATGGAACACTTTCCATTCCCATTCTACATGATACTGAGAGACATAAATGCACTGCCTGATATTTTAAGTGACGCTCTAAGGCAGTGGTTTGAATTAATTGGAAATATGGATAATTGAAGAATTACACCGAGAATTATTAATCATTACTTTTTGATACATGTATAATAAGAAATTGTATAGATGATGTATAATAAACAAAGTCATGTACATTATAGTATAGTTAAAACTATAATAAAAACTATTTTGTCACAAAATTCAGTATTTTTTGTTACTATTTACATCAAGAAGAATTTCATTTTATGAATGCCATTAATTTTAATTGCTAAAAGATTTTCCATAAAGGGAAACTCATAATACCTATGAATAATTATTAACCTATCGAATTCTATAAACAATCCTTCTTCTGAATTACGGTTTTAAATTTCCCTTTGCTAAGATTTAACTCAATTATCTACTATAAGATAAAAAAATTCAGTAGTTTGGGTTTGTTATTTCCAAGTTCTAAAAACTGACATTCAAATTCATACTCAACATTCATCATCTTGAATTGTCAAAAATCGATTTTTTGAAAATTCTTCCGCCATATTGGATTCGCCATCTTGAATTTTAAGAATTTTATATTCGATTTATTATTATTATTATTATTATTATGCAAACTACAAAATTTATTTTCATGAATCAAAATTTTTCAATAATTTCATAATCAAAATATAAAATATTCACTTATGAATTCAAATTATTTCAATTATTTTTTATATTCAATAATTGCAAGAATTCAATTATTTTCATAAACAATAACATTCTTCGGAAAAATCCAATTATTTTTATAAACAGTAAAATTTTTTGCAACAATTCAATTATTTTCAACAAAATTTTAATACAATTTCACGAAAGAATTCAATTATTTTTTTAAATAGTAAAATCTTTGCAAAAAATGCAATGATTTTCAATAAAATGTTACAAAAAAATTCAATTTTCGTATTAATTCATTATAACATTTTTCAAAAGAATTCAATTATTTTCTACAATTTTAATAAATCCGTCGAAACTATTCAATTATTTATACTTAATTAATTATGTACTTTTATAAATTGTGAAATTCTTTGCAAAAATTCAATTATTTTTAATAAAATTTAATTAAGTAAAATTTCATGAAAGAATTTAATTTTTTTTTTATTTTACATATAATATTATTTTAAGAAGATCAAAAAAATTCTTTATTTAATTCAATTATTTTCAACATTTTCAATTAAAATTATTCGAAAAACTATATTATATTATTAATTACTTGAAAAATTTTTAATTAGAATTATTAAAGAAATTCCATTATTTTAAAGAAATTCTTCAAATTTAATTACGATTTTTAAAAATTTGAAAAAAATTCTTCGCGAGAATTCTATTATTTTCGTAAATAATAAAATTCTTCGAATAGGAATTCAATTATTCTCAAATTTTTTGATAAAATTCTTTGCATAAATTCATTTTTGGTGGACAAATAAATAACAATAAGTATTCAAATATTTTTTAAACAAAAATTAATTAAAAAAAAAAAAAAAAAATTAAAATTAAAAAAAAATTAAATTGAGTATAATTCTGAAAAAATGAGGTTTGCAAAGACAAGTAATTAAAATGTTTTGAAAATAATTGAATTCGCGAAAATAATTTTAAAAGAATGAAAAAATACAAAATGTTCTCAAATTCCATTAAAATAAATTTTATATTTCACAGAATTCTATTTTCTCCACTTTAAAGAATTATTTTTAAATATTTTTGAATAATTTAATGTAGAAATTCTAATAAAAATTAGATTTCGGAAAAATTCTAATTAAAACTGTTTTGAAAATAATAGAATTCCCGAAAATAGTTTTAGAAATTGAAACAATTAGAAATTTCGTCAAATTTCATTGAAATGAATTTTTTTAATAACAGAATTTGATTTTATTACTTTTAAACTTCATTATTTTGAAATATAATCGTATTTTTGAAGAATTATGTTTCGAAAAATTATGAAAATTAATATTGAAATGATCAAAAAGGAGAAAGAAATATGTTTAACACATTAATCATTTTTTTTTGACAGAAATTTGTTTATTTGAAAGCGAGCCAACGATGATTATGTTTCTTCAATTAGTGAAGTGTCATAGTGAATAAAGCTAAGTTTACATATATCGTATAGAAACAATTATAAACAATTGTTTGCATTTAATATTACACTATAAATAGAATATTGTCACTAATAAAAAATAAAAAAAATATTTAATTTTATGCCATTAAAGTGCTATATATGAATATTTTTAAAATAAACAATTAAAATCAATCAAGTCCAAGTTTTTTTTCAGACATAACATTAAAAATAAATCAAGTGGGATCAAATATATATTGCAACATTTCAGCAAAAATTTTATGTTCAATTTTTCTCAATCATAGAGCAAAAGTTAATTTTCTTATCTCGACTTAAACGTGTGCCTAAATTTTTGTTTTTTTCAGTCATTGAGAGGCGTCAAATTTTTTTTTGAAATTTTGTGAAAACATCAAAGCACTAAGTTGCTTAAAAATAAATAGAAAGTGTCAGTGTCAAGTTTGGGAGAATGGAAAATTTCATGTAATTCGACACTTAGGAATTTTTAAATTAAATTAAATACTAAAAAAAATTTAAGCAACTAATAATAATTTTTCAACTAATAAATTAAGGAATAAAATTTACAAACGTGGTACTCTTCATAAGTAACTCACTTAAGAATACTATTTTTTTAAGGAAGCACTAGGTTCACAATATTTCTAGGCGCTTCTAATTTATTTAAATAAGGACCTCTAGGTGCTCTTCAACAAATACGAAGTTCAGACACATGTTTAGAATGAAAATTTGATTTTGAAAAATTGACAGAAAATTTTGGTAAAATATAGATTTGACCTATATATTTTAATATCAGGACATTATTATATAAAATGCCCCAATATGCACATGTATTATATTAAGTGAGACTCATATAAAACCATGTTATTAATATCATATAAAAATTGTATCAAATTTCGTCAGTCACAAAATGCAATATTAAATATTTTGGTGATCGAAGTCTACTTTGATCGGTGACTGATAAATAATAAATTTAATCGTTGTTTATAAAAACGTATATCTTATCCTTACATTTACGTAACATCTATTTGGTACAAAAATGCGCGTATACAGTAAAAATGAAGCTACATGTCAGTCAGTAAAATTGCGATTAATGAAAAACTAACATGACGCTTTTCTTACTATACATAAATAGTAAAAATGCATCAAAAATTGGAATGAATTGTAGTCTTATGTCGAGCTCCATCGAAATCGTACAGGCATTTTATAGGAACCTAGGAAACATCGGCGTTTTCTTTTTGCACACGAGATATATGAATAGCAAAATTTCGAGTTGATTTGGTAAAAAAATGTCAATTTGCCAATGCCATTATCAGAACTTATTTTCAGCGTCGTATCCTTTACTGGGCGCGATGTTACTTATAAAAAGAGGTAATAGGTGTGTGGCAATATGTAATGCGATACATGTTAAAATTCCCATTTTGTTGCTGACGCGTAATCTGACTCTCCAAGACGCAGAGCTCCATTCTTTCCAGCTGTTAAGTACCGTCCATCTGTACACTTTATACATATACGCGATGGCTCTCGCAACTCCAAATAAAATCCTTCGGACGGCATATCAGAATCCACCGTCACGCCTTCACTGTCCGCGTGCCAGTACTTGCCGTTCTGACCTGCAATGCAAAATAAACAATGACAATTGTAATCTAAAACAATTTTATAACATTTTTTTAGCAAATCTGTTGTTTATTAAAATTATAAAAAATTCACTTATTAATGAAAATTATAAAGAAAAAAATGGTTTCTAATTTTTTTGGCAATAGTAGTAGCACGAAACTTGAAATGAAAGGATTTTAATATTTATAGAAATAATTTAATTCTTGCCAAGAATTTTATAAAAATTTTTAAATAATTCATTTCTTTCCATTAATTTTATGCAAATTCTAATTTAAATAATTGAATTACTCAGAACTTTTTATTATTTATGAAAAGAAGTGAATTCTTATGAAAATTTTTTACAAAATTTTTTTTAAATAATTGAATTCTATTTGCACATTTTTGAAAATAGTAGATATTGAAAATCATTGAATTGAGAAAAGTTTTTAAAAATAGTTAAATTTTACAAAGAATTCTATTAAAATCTGTTACAATAATTCAATTTCTGTGTGGTATTTTAAAAATTTTTTTGAAAATAATTGAATTTCTAAAAAGCATTTTATTATTTATGAAAACAATTGAATTTTGCAAAGAATTTTATTGAAATGCCTCAAAATAATTGAATTTTCGGGAATAATTTTGTTATTTATCTTTAATAATTGAATTCTTTCGAAGAACTATTTATGTAAATAATTGAATTCTTAGAAAGAATTTTATTAAAATTTAAAAAAAATAATTGAATTATTTCAAAAAAATTTAATTAAAATTGTATTTAAAGTAATTTATTTCATTCGAACAATTTTATTAAAATATTTGAAAATAATTGAATTCCTGTGAAAAATTCTAATATTTTTGTGAATAATTCAATTCTTCCAAAGCTTTTTAAAAAAACATTTTTTTAAATAATTGATTTTCTCCAACACTTGCTCTGAAAGGAGTACTTTTCTTGGTAGCAAAGTGTGGCGAAAGTAGAACTTTTCTCAACTGCTCTGAAGAGCGTGGCGAAAGTAAAATTTAGCGTGGCGAAAGTAAATTCAGCGTGGCGAAAGTAATTTTTAGCGTGGCGAAAGTAAATCATGAATTTATTCTTTTTTCTTGTTCTTTGACCGAGATTTATTTTGTATCTAACTTCTTCCCCACTCAAAACATTCGTCTTTTATTATATTAAACATAAGAACATTTTAAATTAAAATTATACGAAACTCACGAAGAAACCTTTCCTTGCAAGGCGTTGGAGAAAACGTAGTGCACAACTCGTGGTGAAAGAATTATTTTTCGAGAGTGAAGTTTGCGGCTCGAGCGTAGCGAGAGCAGCAAACTTCACTCTCGAAAAATCACACTTTCGCCACTAGTTGTACAATGTACTATTTTCGAGGAATTGTGATTAAAATTTTAAGAATAATTACATTTTTTTAACAATTCCTGTAAAATTGTATGCAAAATAATTGAATTATTGCGAAAATTTTTATTAAAATGTTTTAAAAAAAATTGAATTTCTGTGAAGAATTTTATTATTTATGGAAATAATTAAATTATTGCGAAAATTTTTATTAAATTATTAAAAAAATTGAATTTTTGTGAAAAATGCTGTTATTTTCGAAAATAATTGAATTTTTCATAAGAATTTTATAAACATTGTTTTAAATAATTAACTTTTTTCGAAATATAATAAATATTATTAAAATGTTGTTTTAAATAATTGAATTCTTGTGAAAAACTTTATAATTGTAAAAAAATTGAATTTTTCGATTAATTAATTTAAAATAGTATTAAAAATAATTTAAATTTTTCGATGAGTTTTTTTTTTTGAAAATAATTGAATTCTTGCTTAAAATTTTTACAAAGAATTTTTTTATAAAATTGAATTTCCATGAAAACTGTTTATTACTAGTGAAAGTAATTAAATTATTGTGAAGAATTGTATAAAAATTTTAAATAATTGATTTTCTCTTAATTTTTTTCATAATGCTATTCTAAATTAATTAGATTCCTGTGGAAATTTTATTATTAATAAAAATAATTGAATTTTGGATGAAATTTATAAATTTTTTAAAAATAATTGAATTCTTTTGTAAAATTTCAGGAAAATACTATAGGTATTGAAAATAATTGAATTTTGGATATTTTTTGAAAATAATTGAATCGTTTTAAATAATTTGATTATAATGTTTGAGAACAGTTTTTGATATCTAATATCAGCAAATTTAAAGTAGTGGAAATTTTCAAAAAAGTACAGAAATAGTAGCTTTTAGTGGCTAAAATCTAAAAAAGTACCCAAATAGTAACGTAACGTAAAAAAGTAGTAAATAGTAGGTTTTAGTAGGTGTGTGCGAAGACTGAAAGAATTGAATTCTTGTGATGAATTTGGGAAAAAATTTTATTAAAATTCTTCAAAATAATTGATTTTATGGGAAGAATTTTGTTGTTTATCAAGATAATTGAATTCTTTTGCAGAATTGCTTAAAATTTTTTGAAAACAATTGATTTTCTGCAACGAATTGAAAGCTATTTATGAAAATAATTGAAGTATTGTAACCTATTTTAATATTTCATTGAAAAATTTAATATTTCTTAAAATTGAATTCCTTCGTCAAGTTTTAATAAACAGGATTCCTACAGAAATCCGAATTTAAAATTCCATACCTTTTCCATGATTTCCAGGTCAAATTTTTACGAAATTCCAGTGGAATTTTAAATCTAAATTTAAAAACACTTTACTTATTTAATAAACTCCACTCTTTGATAAAAATTCTAAAATTATCAAAATTTATCAAAAATTCGAAAAACAGATTTTTTTTAAAATTCAACATTTTTTCCTCTCTTTTATTAGATTGACCTTCATTATTTTTGGGCTCTTCACAAACACTTTACTTATTTAATAGTCTCGACTTTTGGTAAAAAATCTAAATTTATCAAAAATTCGAAAAAATTCAAAAATCTGAATTTCTTAAAATTCAACATTTTTCTTTCTTTTTTATGGTATTTAGCTTCATTATTTTTGGGCTCTTGGAAAATACTTTACTTATTTAATAGTCTCGACTCTTTGGTATAAAAAATCTAAAATTATCGAAAGTTATCAAAAATTCAAAAAACCGAATTTCTTAAAATTCAACATTTTTTCTTCTCTTTTATGCCATTTAGCTTTTTTATTATTTGAATTTCTATTCAAGTAAAAAAATGGAAAACAGGAAAAATTTAGAAACTTTTAAAAATTCCAGTTCTTTTCCATGATTTTCCTGATTTCCAGAAGCCTTTTAAAAATTCCATACCATTTCCATGATTTCCAGATTCTGTAGGAACCCTGATTAAAATTTTCAAGAATAATTATTTCATTTTTCGAGGAATTTATTTAAAATTCTATTAAAAATATTTGAAATTCCGCGATGAAAATAATTGAATTCATAAATAAAATTTTATATTATTTATAAATATAGTTCAGTGATTTCGTAGAATTCTATAAAAATTTTTTTCAGTAATTAAATTTTTTGATAATTTTATGAAAATAATAAGGTAAAGGTCCCAATTATGGGACAATTTACAATTTTGTCCCTATTATGAGACAGTATTACAAAAAATAAAATAAATGCAATTAAAATTGGTCATAAGAAATTTCTACTTATTTCAAAAAATTTTACACGTTAAAAGAATAATTATTTGTGTATAGCATTTAATTTAATAAGAAATGTTTATTTGCATTTTAGCTTTTAAATTAAGGTAAGCCAAGTTTTTCGTCAGACTACCGTCCTACATTAGGTGCACTTATTATTTGCTATCCCTATTATGAGACACACAGGAAATATACAGCAAACATAACCTCAAATATTTTCAGTTTTTTCGCATTAATTTTCTACCAGAAAAATTAGTTTTATAATTATTTTTTAAACCAGAATTTGTTTATTGTATTTTATTCTTTATAATTAATATTTAAATTATTAGGATAAGTCAATATAGAATTCTAATTACTTATTGAATTAAATAAATGTCTCATAATAGGAACATTCATTATGGGACATCCGTACATACAGAAATCATAGTCCCATAATTAGTGCAGTGCAGAGTTTCATAATTTAATTAATATTATTTTTATTTCATGAAAAATAACCATTTTAGGGTCTAAATATTATTCATAACATATCAATCTTTCAATCTATACCCTAATTATTCATATTAACACTCCCGATTCCAAGAAATTTATCATATAAATTTAGTTTAGCTTAAACAGCGTCCCATAATTGGTACTTTTACCTTAAATATTGAAAATCATTGAATTGCGAAAAACGTTTGAAAATAATTGAAATTTTGCAAAGAATTTTATTAAAATTTTTGAAAATAATTGAATTTCATCGAAGAATTTTATTTACTAGTGAAAATAATTTAATTATTGTAATGAAATAAATAACAATTTATTTATGAAAATAATTGAATTTTGCAAAGAATATTATTAAAATTCCTAAAAGTAATTGAATTTCTGTGAAAAATTTTGTAATTTATCAAGATAATTTCGTTAAAACTTTTGAAATAATTAAATAATATTAAAAAGTTCATTCTTGTCAGAAATAGAAAATTTTTTGAAGGTTTTGTATTGGATTTTTTGGTAATTTCATAGTTTTTGAGACAAACAAAAAAGACATCAAAAATTCAGAATTTTCATATAAATTCTAAAAACCGCTGCCAAGTTGTACATTTTTATAATTTTGGTGTTCATTTCATGAACACTTTGGTTCCTCATAGAAATAATAATAATTGAAATATAAGAATAACTTTTTATAAAAGGGTTAAAAATCATTAAATCTTGGTCCAAAAAATGTGTTTTTATATATTCTATAAGATGGTAATAATAGTTTAATAATTACACATAAATTAATAAACAAGAATGTTGAAAAAATGATATTTTCCACAATTCTTGATTTTTCAAATACCAATAATTTCATAATTTCTGCCCGAATCAGGTTAAAAAATAGGTCAATCGAAGCGTTTTTTAATGCTCTTCAAGTTGGTAATAATTTTTTGAAGTTACTTTTACATAATTTAAAAAAATTTTTATAAAAGTCTTATTTTTCAAAATTTTAGATTTTTAAAAGTTTAATATCTCCGGTTAATATGGACGAAAAATGTTCAATTAGGGCTCAAAAGATGCGTCTGAAAAAACTCTACAAAACTAAATACAAAACAAAACTAAACTTCTACATTTTTCAACAACATTTTCAAAAAAGTCTTATTTTCTAAAATTTTTGATTTTTTAAAGTTTAATATTTCCGGTTAATATGAACGAAAAATATTCAATTAGGGCTCAAAAGATGCGTGTGAAAAAACTCTACAAAACTAAAGAAAAACATTTATAAGTGTCCTAACATTTTTTTAAGTTATGTCCAAAAAACGTTTTTTTACCAAATGAAAAAAAAATAGTTTAACTTCATGAATCGGGCTGAAAATACTCTCATTTTATGTCCCCCGGGGAGACCTACAATTTAAGAAAAAATTTGGACCTTTTGCTCTTTCTTGTTCTGAGATATTGAGGCAAATGTAATGTTAGTACACACACACACACACGTCGGGACAAATTTTTAAAATCCGTTTTTTGGACTTCGGAGTTCAAAATACGTCAAAATTTTTTTTTATTTATTTAGAACATTTATACGGGGAGTTCTTGTGCATATATAAAGTACTAAAGTATTAGGCATAATAAAAAAAAATTTATAAATATGTCAAAAAATGACAATCCAAAATTTTGCTAATACAAAGCTTCCTTTATGAGGAAGCAAAATGAAATTTTCTCCAGTACTTTTAATAAAAATCCCTGAATTTTCGCTGATTTCCCTGACTATCCCTGAATTCCCTGATTTCCCTGACCTGTGTCAACCCTGTAGTAAAATTTAACTAATTCAAAAGCGAAAAGTCAGTTACTAATTACAATTAGTAATCATTTGCATTAATTTAAATTTAGAGAGGAAGTTAACAAACAAAATGAAAGATGGATTTTTTTAATAAATGATTAATTGATTAATTTCTTACCTTTAAATCTGACGACTCCACGTTCGCAGCGCTCAACTCGAATAGTTTCATAACTAGCTTTATTGCACTCTAACTTTGGACTAGCAGTACTTTTGGGTCCAACGAAGCCTTGCTCGCATCGAAGAACCAAAACGGGTCTGTTCATGAGGTAGAAGTAGTAATTGCAAACGTCCGAGTCGCCATTATTCAGGGAATCAGCATTGGCGTACAAGTGTCCAGAGCGCTTCGTCGCCAGGAACTTGCCATTGTTGGCCCGGAGTGCAACCGTTCCGTCCTCAGGCTGCCAGACTAAGTCGAAGAGAGCGTTCGAGGAGCGCTTGTGATCGGACGCTTGGATACCACTGCCAGCCTCCAAACTCCAGTAACGATCTTGCATCGTACGAATGTACCATCTTTTTGTCACTCGATCAAACTCAAGTTGGAAAGTTTCGTGGCCAGAAATTTCATCTTGATTTGCTGTTACGTCAACACCTGAAACAATAGAATGAGGGGTTTCATTCAAGATTAAATTCATACGGGTCGTTCTCACACACGCTCATTACCTTTTTTTAAATAAATAATTTGAATTTTTTAGAACTCAGACTTCGCACTCGATAATTAATTTTTGAAAAAGTAGCAGAAAGTAGCTTCCAAACTAAAAAAAAGTAGTAAAAAAGTAGCTGTCGAAAAATTACACTTGACGACCAAAAAAAAATCATTTTAGAATTTAAAACACTATATTCGTAATCAGTGACCCCAAAAACCCCCGAGTAACGAGTTTCAAACGTATCTGGTAAATTTTTTAATTTTCGTAGTCGCCATTTTGGATTTTTTAAAATCTGACTTCAAATTCGGATTCAGCGTCTCCAGAAACCGTAGTAAACCCGATCGACACTTAAATCGAAATTTTAGTATTTTTTTTTAGATGGACATATAAAATGACAATCAAAATCATTTACATTATTAATAGGATAATCCTACGTTTAAAAACTTGTATCAATAATTTAAAAGCTTTTTTTAATTTAAATATAATAAATTTTATTAATTTAAAAGTTTTGAAAAAAAGTTGTTCAAATTGTGGCAACGTCGCAAGTTCTTCGTACACTTCATGCAAGGTTGGTAGGACTGCTCTTTGCATGTGTGTATATATATGAATGTAAACACGTTTGTCAGTTAACCTCAAAATTTCTTTTCTACAATGAAATATTGAATTTTTAAGAAGAAGAAGAAGACTTTAAGAAGAAGAAATATTGAATTTCTGGCTTCTGCACTACCATGGAAGTTCCAGTAAATAAAAATCAAGTGAAATATCGCTACAAAGGTCGATTTATTAAGAAAAAGAATTTGGATCAAATTCATGCCAAGTCTGCAATTGGAAAAAGAAACAAAGGCAGAAAAGCTGTAGATGTTAACAATGTTAACTCTATGGAAAACAATCCCTCAAATGTAAAGGAAGGAATTCCTGACGGGAATAGAATTATAAATATTCCTCACATAGCGAAAGAAATGCAATGCAAATTTTCTGAATGTGGAGAGTATCTTTCATTTCAATTTATTGAAAGCGAAAGAAAAGAGGGCTTGGGTTCAGTACTGTCGATTCGTTGCCATAAGTGTTTAATCCTAAATGAGGTTACAACAAATGAAAAATATAAAAATGACAAAGGTTACCCGGTATTTAAAATAAATACTACAGCTGTTCTAGGTAAGTAGCGATAGCATTTATACTTTGCTGATAAATATTGTAATTATTAAAAAATAATAAATTCACTAAAACTATAACTATTGAAAGTATTTGTTTGACATTACAGGTGCTTTACATGTCGGAAAAGGACATTCTCAAACGGCCAAATTTTTATCAGTGATGAATATTCCATCAATGAGTGAAGACACATTTAAACGACACGAGAGATATTTGATTCCAGCTGTAGAACAAGTAACCCAGCAAAGTATGGAAGTTGCCAAGGAGAGGAAGTTGACTTTAGAGAATATTGAGGAGGTTAAAAAATATTTGTTATAGACTAAAGATATTTACATTTTTCATAATTTGGTAATTGAACAAAGTTTCAACAAATTTTGAATGAATTAGTTTATACAATTTTCGAAAAAAAATTCCGTTCACTACTTAAATAAATAAAGAACAATCCTTAAGAATATTCATTACGAATTACCGGTCTATATACTTCAATTTACCATCTTTCAAAAAAATTACTAACTTTGCTGAAGTTTTTAAAGCCCAGAAAATGAGATCAAGGATTCTCTATAATTTTCCTCTATTCTTCATTTATTAGGCTTTATTTTGATCCAAGGATCATTCAATTTGGTCCATTTGTTCAAGAGATACTAGGTTTTGACAAAGAAAATTACCAAATCGTACAGCGATAGATAGTACATTTTAATTATTCAATAACTCAATGACAGATTTTATTAATCATCGGATTCGTTTGGAACTCGTTACTCGTGAATTTTGAAGGTCTCTGATTACGAATTTGAAGTCAGTTTTTGAAAATTTAAAATGGCGGATCCAATACGGCGGACACTTTTTTGAATAAGTAATTAAATTCGCTTAAAACTGTTTATAAGGCGGTTTTCTTGGTCGATAATTATGAATTTGATATTGGATCCGCCATTTTTAAGTTTTTAATTTCGGTTCCATACTCAAAAACTGAGAAACAAATTTTAAGCGATTTCCATCAATCTTTTTAAATCATTTTAGCTGAAAAAGATTTCCAACATGCTTTTTGAATAAAAAACATTTATTTTTTATAATAATCTTAATAAATTAATTAATAATAATTAATTTTAAAAAAGTAATGAAAACGTAACAATCGAAAAATTAAACTTGACGACCAAAAAAACTCGTTTTAGAAACTTTACAAAACTGACGAAAATTCCATTATACATTTTATTTTCCTGACTTTTTCCTAATTTTCATCAAAAATATTTACTTCTTTCTTATCCTGCTAATAAATTTAATTCCTGCTACGAATTTTATTATTCATGCAAGAATTTAAATATTTAGAAAAATAATTTAATTCCTGACAAGAATTTTAAAAAAACTTAATTGATTTTTTTCGACCAATTTTATACAAATTCTAATTTAAATAATTGAATTCTTGATAAATTTTTATTATTCATCAAAAGAATTGAAATCTTACAAAGATTTTTACAAAAACGTTTTTAAATAATTGAATTCTGTTTGGAAAGTTTATGAAAATAGTAGATATTGAAAATCATTAAATTGCTAAAAGTTTTTGAAAATAATTAAATTTTACAAAGAATTCTATTAAAATTTTGACAATAATAATAATTGAATTCTTCAAAATAATATTAAAAAAACATTTTTTTAACTAATTAATTTTTTCGAGGAGTTGAAAATGATTTTTTTAAGAATAATTACATTTTTGAGCAATTCCTGTAAAATTGTATTAAAAATAATTGAAATCCTGCAATAAATTCTTTTATTTATGAAAATAATTGAATAGTTGCATAAAATTTGATTAAAATTTTCAAAAATAATTGAATTCTTCTACACGGAGAAAAAAATGCTGTTGAATCAATGACATATGGGTTTGATTCATTGAATAGTGTCATAACGGGCTGCCTAACGTATATGCTGTTGTTTTGAAAGCACCGATTCTAATGATTCGATAGTATCACTTTCTTTGAAACAAAAGCATATTTCTCAAATTGACAGCATACTATGTTAATTCGAAGGTGAATCCTTTTGAATGAATAAACAAAATTTTTTAATTTAACAGTATATGCTTTTGAGTCAATGACTATAACTTTTAAATTTAAAAGCATCATTTTTATGATTCAAAAATTTGTACTCTTAATTTTTTTAGTTGTTGCTATCGATTGAATAACACCATACTGTTAATTCAATTCTTTTATGTGGTTAAATATATACCAACGATAAATTGAAAAAAGGGAATTTTTGTTCACATGTTTTTTATATACTATAATTAATTCTCACACCTTTAACACAACACTTTTTATACACATCTTTTTTTCAATTTTTCACACTAACATATACATCTTTATTATTATTTTCATTTTTCCCAACGGCTAAACACACACACACATACACATTCAAACACACTTATCTTTTTTAGTCAGAAAAATACGGCTATTCCCAAGCGGTCACCCATCCATTTAGTAACCGCGACCAACGACGCTTAACTTCCGTGATAGACGAGAACCGCCGCGCTGCAATGTAATACATCCGCTTCTCAACGTTGGGCACTTACTTTGTGGTTAAATACCGTGCTCGAGATTTTTCGCGTATATAAGGGAATTTATATAGGGAATTTATATTTAACTAGTCATTAATTAATTAAAAGAATTTAAATAATACTTTTTTATATTGGAATCTCAAAAACGACAGGTTTAATAAACATATAAATATATGTGGGTAAGTATTTCAATAAATTTAGTACCTGTCAATGTCTCAAAACATAGTGTTCTTATTTTTATAGCATATGCTATAGGCAGTCCGCAATAGCACCACTCATTGAAACGAAAGCATATGCTTTCGTTTTCAGAGCGCCCTTCTTTGGAGCAAACAATTTTTCATTTGATTTAAATTTACACGCATTTTCTTCAAATTTACCTATTAGATGCTTCAAATGAATAATGTCAAAGAAGCAATAAATTATTCTGTTGCTATATATAGATGAACTATAGAAACAATTTGCACAATATCATTAATTCTACAGTACCGTACTTTTAATTTAAACAGTTTCATTTTTTCATTTTAAGCAATATACTTTTCGATTAATAAATGTGTCATTGAATCAATGACGGGGAATTCAATAGCATGGAGATATTTGATTCAACAGCACTTTTTTTTCAGTGTAAAATTGAAGAATTTTATTATTTATGAAAATAATTTAATTATTGCGAAAAATTTTATATTAAAATCTTTAAAAAGAATTGAATTTCTGTGAAAAATTTTGTTATTTTTGAAAATAATTGAATTCTTTATAAAAATTTTATTAACATTGTTTTAAATAATTAATTTTTTCGAAATGTAATAAACATTATGAAAATTTTATTTTAAATAATTGAATTCGTGTAAAAAAGTTTATTTATGAAAATAATTGAATTTTTCGATTAATTAATTTAAAATAGTATTAAAAATAATAAAAATTCTTCAATAATTTATGAAAATAATTGAATTCTTGCTTAGAATTTCATAAAAAAAATTTTTTTATATAATTGAATTTCCATAAAAAATGTTTTTATTAGTGAAAGTAATTAAATTATTGTGAAGAATTGTATTAAAATTTTGATAAATAATTGTGTAAGAAATGTAAAATAGAGTATTGTCGTTTATTATATTGGCAATGATTTAGCGGTATATAATTTGGGATTTGGCGGGCAAAGATTGATAACGAAGGGGGGTGATTTTGTAAAATAGCGGGAAGTAATCAGTCGTAGAGTCGTCGTCGTTGTACTCGGTCTTGATCCATCCGTCCGTCCGTCTGTTAGTCTTTTATATGTAAAATGTGACTCGAGTTAAATAAACTGTTTTTAATGTTTTAACGAAAGACGCTCGTCTCATAATTGCTTTTCCCAATTATGCCCGAAGGCCTATCTATTTATTTATAATCTTACAATTGATTTTTTCGAATTTTTTTTAAAATGCTTAGAATTTTATCAAAAATTTTGTTAAAAAATTTAATTTCCATGAAAAATATTATTAATGAAAGTAATTAAATTATTGTGAAGGATTGTATAAAAATTTTGTTAATAATTGATTTTTTCGAAATTTTCTTGAAAATGCTATTCTATATTAATTGAATTTCTGTGGCAATTTTATTATTTATGAAAATAATTGAATTTTGGATGAATTTTATCAATTTTTTTCAAATTATTGCATTCTTTTGCTAAATTTGATGAAAATTCTAGATATTGAAAATAATTGAATTTCGAATATTTTTTGAAAATAATTGAATCGTTTTATAAAATTGGTTATCATTTTTTAAAATAGTTTTTTTATTTCTAGTATTAGCGAATTTAAAGTAGTGAAAATTGCAAAAAAAAACAGAAATAGTAGCTTTTAGTACCTGAAATCTTTAAAAAAAAGTACTCAAATAGTAGCATAACGTAAAAAAAGTGGTAAATAGTACGTTTTAGTAGATGAGTGCGAAGCCTGAAATAATAAATAATTCTGAATTTGTTCTTTTCTAAAGAATTTTGTTATTTATAAAAATAATAATTTAATTCTTGCAGAGAATTTTGCTACTCATAAAAATAATTGAAATTGTTTCGAAGAGTTTATTGAAATTTTAGAAAACAATTGAATTCATTCAAAAAATGTTATTAAAAATTGAATTGAATCATAAGATGATTTTTAATGAATGAATTAAAATTATTTAATTTAATTTAAATATAGCATGTATAATAAAAAATATAAATACAGTGACTAGAGGAAAGAGAATAATTTCCAAAAATTGAACCGGAAGATGTTTCCACCGTTTGTGTTGAAATGAAGTAAGCGCACTGCTTGAGAAATAAAGGAACGTGTCAGTAATTAAAATGCACGGCACAGTGGAGAAGAATGAATCTCATGAATTAGAATGGCTGTTAAGTTGTATTCAGTCACGACTGTACGAGTACAATTGTTTCCGCTTAAAGCTATAGACACAGGTACATGCATAAAAATGAAATCTTTGTAAGGCGATGTTTCTATAAAATAATTCCATCAGTGACTCACCTTGTTTGACTGAAACGTAGCGCTGATTGAGAGCCGCAACGAATGAAGCTTGGGGCAAAGATTCTTCGAGAGAGAAAAGTTCATCGCGCGTCACAGTGGTTGAGCGCGTTTTGAGGACAGCCTTGCTTCCAATTGGTGCCAAATACGCTCCATGAATATCCCTAGAAATAAAAAGTTGCATTACATAATTCATTTAATTGTCAATTATCAAAATCAAAATCATCTTCAGACATTAGTGTTCCTCAATCTGTCTCATCCTAAATTATTCATTTCTAAATTTCCAGGCTTCGCACTCGATAATTAATTTAAGAAAAAATTTGACGACTAAAAAAACTCGTTTTAGACAATTTAGAAAAATCACAAAAATTTGATTTTGTACCTATTTTATTTCCATGACTTTTTCCTAATTTTTGTCAAAAATATTTACTTTCTTTTTATCCTGCTAATAACTTCAATTCTAAATTTTTGCAAAATTCAATTATTTTCTAAATTTATTATAATTAAAAATTCTTCAAAAATATGATTATGCTAAACAATAACTTTTAAAAGTAAACAAATAAAATTCTTTAAAAAATAAAATTTATTTCAATTAAATTTTGTCAAAATTTACAAATAATTGGAAAATATCAAGAAAATAAATTAAATATTCCACTACCTAAATTATTTTTAAGATAATTTTTTGCGAGGAATTCAGTGGCCGTAAAATAAAAAGAGTTAGAAAATATTTTGATCTTTTTTGAATTTTTATTTTTTTAAAAAATTGGTAGGTTTTGAAATCCATGCGTAATTTTGTAGAAGATATGTTTTTTATTTCATAAAAAAAATTGACAGAAAAATAAAAAATTGATTTTCATAATTTTTTAAGCATTTTTTTGAACAAAAAAAAATTCTTTATTTTTAGGCTAAAAATGTTTAAAAAAATACCATTATTATTCAAATTTTTTAAATGAAAATTCATTTATTTTTTTTCTAATCAGTTTCAGATCATAATTTTTAAATATAAAAAATATTAAAAACTTATGATCTGAAATTTAGTCAGAAAAATAAACAAATGAATTTTCAAATAAAAAAATTGAATAAAAATGGTATTTCATAGTATTTTCAGCCTAAAAACTAATATTTTTTTTAAATTCTTCAAAAATAATGAAAATCAATTTCTTTATTTGGCAATTTTTCTATGGATTAAAAAAGTGGATTTAAAAAAGAGTCAAAATATTTTCTGATCATTGAATTCCTTACAGGAAATTACCATAAAAATAATTTTGTGAAATATTTCAATTATTTTTTATATATTTAATTTTTTGTTGAAATTTTTAAATAAAATTATTCAAAACTTTAATCATATTTTAAAAAAATAATTAATTAATAATTTATAAAAATAAAAATATTATTATAGTTTTACAACAATTAAAATTATCAAAGATTTTTATTTATTTTTAATAGAAAGTTCTACAAAAAAATCAATTATTTAAATACAAAAATAAATAATTTATTGAATAATTCAATATTTGTTAATATTTCTTATAATTTAAATCGGATAATTTTTTCAAAATTTTGTAAAATAATTTAATTCTTTCTGAGAGTTTCAATAAAATTTTTAAGAATAATTGTAGCTTTCGAGGAATTCATTCAAAATTTAATTAAAATCCTGCGATGTGTTTTATTGTTTATGTAAATAATTGAATTTTTGCAAAGAATTCTATAAAAAATTTTTTATATAATTGAACTATTTGGGGAATTTTATTAAAATAGTAGATATTGAAAATAATTGAATTTTGGAAAATTTTTTGTAAATATTTGAATCGTTTCATGAATTTTATTTATTACAATTTTTTAAATTGTTTCTAAGAATTATTAAGATTTCTTAAATTGCTCCTTACAATTTTATGGAAATTATTTTAAATTAGCGAAATTTAAAGTAAGTAGGGTGGGTGGTCGCTTTTTCTAAAAACTATTCTCTGATCCTTTTTTTCTAAGAAAAAACAATTTTTAATGAAATCTGTTTTCTAAAAAAAGTTTTTCTAACAAGTTTTGATTTCTAAAAACAGTTTTTCTAAAAAGTTATGATTTCTAATATTAATTTTCCTAAAATTTATAAAATTCCATAATTTTGATAAAAGTTAGAAAATTGTTAAAAAATTAAGATTAAGAAATAGAAACTATTTTGCATAATTTCTGTTTCACAATCATAATTTTGTTTACAAAATTATAAGTTTCTTTTTGAAAAAGTAAACAAAATTTTATTAAATTACTATTTCTTATCACAATTTGTTAACAAAATTCTGTTCTTCTTTGAAAAAAAAATAATAATTTGGATCATTTTTATTTTTATGCCAAAATTTCCAAAATTAATTTATTTATAAAACATTTTTTTAGAAAATTTAAAATATCTTTAGGAAAAAAATCTATAATTTCTATTTGTTAATTACGATTTTTAATTAGATTATTTTAAAAATTTGCATAACTTCTATTTTTTATTATAATTTTTTAACGAAATCTCAAGTATTTTTTTAAAGAATTAAAAAATTTTCCTAAATTTATTTTTTAATCATGTACATATTGATCGTCATTACAAAAATTCAATATTGTTAGAAAAAAATGTTGAAAATTACATTTATTAGAAAAAGAAATTTTTAGAAAATGACCTTCATTAGAAGAAAGAAAATTAGAAAATTATTTTCATTAGAAAAAAGTTTTTTTTATAGAAATTCACCTTTATAAGAAAAAAAGTTTTTAGAAAATAAAAAATTAGAAAAACTGTACCCCAACCGTAAGTAGTGCAAATTAAAAAAAAAGTAGCTTTTAATTTCAGAAATTTAATTTTCAGAAAATGTAGGTTAAAAAATAGTTGACGTAAAATAACAGCCACATGAGAGGCCCTTAGAAAAGAGGGTTCACATTACAGAGTTCCGACCAAACAGGGTTTAGTTACCTAAGAGCAAGAAGACCAGCGTGAAACTCTGCTGCATAAAGACAGTCGCGAGTACATGTATCAAGCAACTTTCCGTCTCGAGCAAGATATTTGTTGTTGCAAGTGTGAAGAGCGTAATGTCCGCCTACGGATTTAGCACGGTCGCCATCGGCATCAGCTGAAGCCGTTGGGCGGAATTCCAGAGTGAAAAGAGTGTCTTCTCCCCATGGTACAGGTGCATCTACGTGGATTTCGTCTTGCATTGCGCTCAAGTGAGCGAAGCGCTTTCGTCCAGCTGACCTCAAGTTAACCTTTAAAACAATCATTCAAATTTTATTTTACGTTTGCAAAATTCGGTAAAATGTTAAGTCTTCGTATTCTATATAGAAAAACTATCAAAAATTTAATTGTAAATACCATTTCGGAACTGTATTTAAAAACAATTAATACTGAAAGTATGTGTTTCCTGAAGCATTCTTTCACTGGTTCCTTTACCCAAATTTTTAATAGTCTCGAAAGGCAAATAGCTGTTTCGTTAGTTTCTTTTAATTTCATCTTTCATTACACATGACTAACTTTCATTTGCTAGACCCATGGTTTCAAGCGTGAGATTAATTTATACAAATTTTTTATATTCCAATGATTTTTGATGGGTTAAACAGTCGTTTTGACTGTCACAGAGATAATTAAATTTACGAAAATAAAATTGTTTTTAATTGACTTGACAATTATAATTTCTCAACTCGTGTAGGCAGGTGAAAACCTAGTGATGAGTAAACTACTTGGAATTGATGAATACCTAATTCTAGTATAAAATGGAGCAATCATATAAAGTAACGGATCATTGGATAATGTTTACCTGCGGTCTGGCAGCGAGATGAACGAGCCAATATTCAGCTTCACCTGGAGCTTTCGCAGTACATTTGAGTTCATCTTGGCTCGAACCCAGGAAATAACCTCGCTGAACGTTTTTCAAGGCCCATCTTCCACTTCCTAAGGAAAACAAAAATTTGAAAAGTTTCCTTATTTTCAAAAATGTTTTGCTTGGAAACAAAAAAAACAAAACGTATTTAATTATTTCTAAAAATTTCCATTACAACTCTTTGAATATTCAATTATTTTTTATATTATTATTAAGGGGGGATGTCGTCTACATTTTTTAACTATAATTTTATCGATTGAAAAAATCTAGATAAAATGATATCAACAACTAAAAATTAATTCTTTTGCACGTAAGGTTCCTTTCACTGAGTCAGGACAAAATTCAAGAAAATGACTTAAATCTTCTATAAAAATTATTTTTATAGCCGTTTTTTTTAGAGAAATTCAATGGTCATAAATGGACAAAATTGATTTTCACTATTTTTTAATAATTTTTTTTTTTTGAAAGAAAACATTGTTTTTGGGTTGAAAATGCTACGAAAAAAACCATTGTTATTCATTTTTTTATTTAGAAATTAATTTGTTTATTTTTCTAATTTATTGCAAATCATAATTTTTAAAAATATAAGCAAAAATTCTGATTTGAATTAATTAAAAGAATAAACAAATGAATTTCTACATAAAAAAATAAATAACAATGGTATTTTTTAGTATTTTCAACCTAAAAACAATGATTTAAAAAAAAAATGCTTAAAAAATATGTAGTAAAAATCAACTTTTTCATTTGGCAATTTTTTTGTGGATACAAAACATATATATATCTAATAATTATAAGAATATTATTACTACAATTTTTAAATAAAATTCTTCTTTAAGTCAATTATTTTTAATAATTTTTTATAAAGTTCTGTTGAGAACTTTCAAATTCTGTTTACAATTCAATTTTACGAAATTTCGATTAAGTTTCTTGAAAAAAATTAATTTCATAGAATTTTCAATTAAAAGTATGAAAAATACAAAATTTCAAAGATTTCAATTTGAAACCTTTACAAGATTCAATTGTTTCTAAAAATTGCAATTATTAGTAACTTCTCCAAAATTCAATTACATATTATCTAAAACTTAAACTGACATTAATTTTTAAAGCAATTTTTATAACAAAATTCTACGAGAATTCAATTATACATAATTTTATTAACAAATTTTTAAATAATTAAATTCTTTTGACAAATTTAAAAAAAAATTTAAGAATAATTACATTGTTCGAGGAATTCGATTAAAATTGTATTAAAAATAATTGAAATTCTGCAATGAGTTTTATTATTTACGAAAATAATTTAATAATTGCGAAGAATTTTATAAAAAAGTTTCAAACAATTGATTTTTTTCGAAAAAATGTATGTAAATTCTAATTTTTAATAATTGAATTCCATTGAAATGTTCTTTATTTTAGAAAATAATTGAACAGGATTCATGTAGAACTTTGTGAAAATTGTTTTTAAATTTTAAATAATTGAATTCTTTTAGGAAATTTAATTCAAATAATAGATATTTACAAATTATTGAATTAAGAAAAATTTTTGAATATAATTGAAATTTTGCAATGAATTTTATTAAAATTTTTGAAAATAATTGAATTACTGTAAAGAATTAAATGCCAAATTTTAAAACATTTGATTTTTTTTTAAATTATGCAAATTCTATTTCAGGAATTGAATTCCTGTGAAATTTTTATTTTTGGAAAATAATTGAATGTTCGTGTAGAATATTATCAAAATTTTTGTTTAATAATTGAATCTTTTAGGAGATTTTATTAAAACAGTAAAATATTGAAAATAATTGAAATTTTGACATGAATTTTATTAAAATTTTTGAAAATAATTGAATTCTTGTGATGAATACTAAGTACTATTTATGAAAATAATTGAATTTTGCAATGAATTACCTATATTAAAAATCCTGAAAATAACTGAATTTTGTTGAAGAATTTTGCTATTCATTTATAAAGATAATTGAAATGTTAACAATTTTTTTTAGATTTTTTTAAAATAAATGAATTTCTGCGAACATTTTTATTAATTTTGAAAACAATTGAATTCGTCTGATGAATAGTTATTTCTGAAAATAATTGAATTTTACAATAATTCCTGAATATAATTGAATTTTGGCGAAGAATTTTGCTATTTATAAAGATAATAACTGAAATATTGACAAGATTCTTTTTTAATGTTTGAAAATAATTGAATTTCTGAAAAGAATTTTAATATTTATTAAAATAGTTGAATTCTTTCAAAAAATTGTGTTAAAATTTTTTAAATTGATACTAATTTCAACAGAATTGAAATTAAAATTTTTCAAAAAAATACTTCATTAAATAATTTATAAGTAATAACTTTATGGCAGTTTTTCAATAGAATTAAGTTATTTAAAATAAAATAAATTATTGTCAGAAATAGAAAAAATTGAAGGTTTTTATTAGAATTCGTGGTAATTTTATAGTTTATGAGGAAAACAAAAAGACACAAAAATTCAGAATTTTCTTATAAATTCTAAAATTTGAATTTTTTCCAATACTTTTAATAAAAATCCCTGATTTTCCCCAAATTTCTATAACCAATTCTACTTTCTCTGACTTTTCCCTGAATTTCCTGATTTCCCAGATTGCAACCCTGATAGATCTCCGTTTTCAGTAACTTTTTATCATATCCACCGCTTATGGATCAAATTCAGTTATATTTTAGGAATACATTTTTTTCCGTCCTACAGATAAATTTTTATTCTCAAGTCAGTACTTGCATTTTAATTAATAGAGATATAGGGAGAAATTTATTGCTAGAAAATTGTATTAAGTATAGATAAAATTGACTTAGTTTTTTAAACACTAGAATTAAAATAAAAATAGCTTACCATCTGTTGCGAGCATTATTTGAAAGGGACATCCTGGATCCGAAGCATCTTCAGTCTCGCACGTGACATTACCGAACTGATCAACAGCCAAATAGCGATCAAGATGAGAACGAAGATAAACCTGATGCTCACTTCCTTCTAAAGTCCAAAGTTGTTTCTTTTTTAAACTCGCTCCATTGGCATTGATTTTAAAACCAAAAGTCTCGGCTGTTAGGTATTTAAATTTCCCATTAATTAAGCCAATCTGCAAAACAATACGATTATTCAAATTTCATTTTCAGTCATCTTAGTTCATTAAATATTAAACCGAAATTTTGCTCAGTTGCAGAATATTTATTGCACTTCCTATCAAATAAATTTTTATTTTATTTTCTCCTGTTGTTTCAAATTTATTTAATATCAGATCGGGGTGCCTGGTCCTGTAGAAATCATTTGATAGAATTATATCAGTCTTTCGAAATTTTTTACCTCGAATTCATATTTAACAGGAAAGATTTATTTCAAATTATAATTTACTCCAATTTTCATCACTTTGAATTAGTATTTGCATGAATATTTACATAGACGAATTATATTTTATCTGGTTTATTGTTTGTTTGAATTATAATTGATAAGCTTATAACAAAAGAAGTAAAAAATATTGTAATTTTAATTACTACGAAATTACGAATTTCTATTAAACAGAAATTTAGCGGAAAAGAAGAAATAAGAAATTATTAAGTAGAAATTTTTATTGCTCGCAAGTGGTATTTAGAAGAATTGTTAGGTTATAAAAGTTATATTACAGCACTATTTGCTAATGTAGCAAAAAAGGTCATAATTTTAAAAGAAGTGTAAAAATTTTTACAAATGAAGAATTAAATCCGCTTTTAGAGTTCATAATAATTATGAGTATTGGAAAAATCGACAGACTTTTGGAAATTGTTGATAAAATAATAGACAAGAAAATTTTAATTTTTATGAAAATATTAAACAAATTTCTGCAAATAAATTTTTTTTCCTAATATATTATAATTCCTTCCTTCTATTTAATAGACATTCGTAACAATTAAAATTCAGTATTTTTAGATTCTTCGGTTAATTTGGAAATCATAATTCAATCAAATAATAATTCAGATAAATTATAACTTTTCTATTATAAATATTCATGTAAATACTAATTCTAAATGATGAAAATTCGAATAAATTGACATTCAAACTGAATCTTTTGTGTTAAATTTTAATTCGAAAGCAACAAATTTTGTGAGACTGATAATTCTGTCAAGTGAGTTTTATGGGATAATCAGCTTTTTCATCAAATCAAGAAAAAGACAACTTTTTAATTGAGATTCGTAAGGCTTACTAAAAGAATGAGCCTCTGTGCCAGAAGAATGTTCAAGGTCGAAAAGTAAAATAACTTTCAAAAAAAGAAAAAAAAATCCATCTATTTTAGTATCTACAGTGTCAAATGTGTGACTTTAAACGGATTTTGGAAGAAAGCCAAAGAATCATTGACTTCACAATGCAAGTTTTACCAATTTTTTTTTTTATAATTTTCTCTTTTTATTTGATGTAGACACTGATTTTGTAACTAACAATGTCCCTTTATTAGCAAAAATAATATTCAAAACTTGAACAATTCTTTTAATTTTATTACCCGTGAAAAAACAATGTTTTCCGCAAGGGAAATAAAATTTAAAAAATTCAATTTACAACCTCTTGAAATTTAATAGTTTGCAAAAATCACAACTTTAACTTTTTCATAATTAATTATATTATTTTCTATAATTTTTAACTAAACTTCATTTTGAAATCAATCATTTTAAATAATTTTCCGAAAGTACTTCGAGAATTCAATTATTTAAATAGAAAAATTCATTTTTTTTTATAATAATTGCAACTTTTCATGTTTTTTCCAGGTTATTAAAAAGATTTTTAATAATTGAAATTTTTCAAAATTTAATTGAAAATAATTTATTTTTTTCAAGTATTTTATTACAATTTTTGAAAATCAACTTTTCAAAGAATTTTAATTACAATTTTTGAAAATAATTGATTTCTCCAAAATTTTAATGAAAAATCCTCAAGTGTAAATTTAAAAATAAAACATTTCAACATTTTTGTGAAAACAATCATGTTCATAATTCGTAATTAAAATTCATCAAAAAATTAATTAGTTTATATACAAAAATTCTTTTAAGAAATTCAATTATTTTCGAAAACTGACATTACAATATTTTTAAGAAACTAATTCTTAGAATTGTTTTATAATAACTTTTTAAGATTCAATTATCTTCGAACAATATAAAGTAAATATAAATTAAAATTAATGAAAATTTACTTTTTGGACTTATTAAAATTTTTGAGATATCATGGTCCTGATGTTTATAATTCAAATTCTTCAAAAATCTAAGTATTTTTTTATACCTATTTGTCAAAAATTTGATTATTTTTAAAAGATTTAACCAAATTTCAATTGTTTGGAAAGTTTTCAATTGTATAATTGAAAAACTATTATCTTTCAAAAATTATTTAAATACTAGAAAACTTTACGCGCGCTAGCATGCGAAACGCATTATTAAATTTATTTTTATTACAAAAATTTTTAAAAATTTTAATTTTCAAATATAAACTTCAATTTTTTAATAATTTTAGATTAAAAATTGAAAAAATTCACGTCTTAGCTATTATTTTTAAAAGTTCTAATAAAATTCTTCGCAAAAATTCAATTATTTTCATAAATAGTAACATTCTTCAAAAGAATTCAATTATTCTTATAAACATAAAAATTCTCCGCAGGAATTGAATTATTTCAGTTATTTTCAAAAATTTCAATTGCAATTATTTTTATAAATAATAAAATTCTTCGGAGGAATTCAATTAATTTAAAAATATTGTAATATAATTTTGAGAAGAATTTAATTATTTTAAAAAATTTTTAATAAATATCAATAAAATAATCAAATGTTTAATTACAATTATTAAAAAACACGATTATTTTAGAAACTTCAAAGAAATTATTCATAAAATTCAAATATTATTAAAATTTTCAATTAAAATTATTAAAAAACTCCATTATTTAAAAAAAATTCAAAGAAATTCTTCAAAATAATTCAATTAGTTTCAAAACTTTTAATGAAATTCACTTATTTTCAAATTTTTTGATAAAATTCTTTGCACGAATTAAATGATTTTCAATACATTAATTCTAGAATTCATTAGAAAATTAGGAAACAATAAGCAAACAACAACTAACTTCAATCTGCGAACAGATTACCAGAATACAGCGATTATTAATATAGATATTTCTGAAAAATTAATTTTAAGTATTATTCTTTATTATAATTTTTCGAAAATATGTTAATTGTTTATTTCGAAAATTTAATTAGAAAAATGGTTCAAAAATAATTTTTGAATGACCTACCTATCTAGTTATTTTTCACACTAATATAAAAACTGAAATAAGTTGCAATATTTGTAAGAAAAGTCAAAAAAAAGGCCTGCAAATTATTGTAATCTTGGTTTTAAATAGAAATAATTGTGAAATTTTATGAATTTTATGAGAATTGAATGAAAATAAAGAAATACACTTTTAAACATCTTCGTCCTTGTATTATCAGTAAAGGTACAATAAAATAGTGTACTTCCTGCATTGTACTGTTTTGTCATATCTTGTTTTCTAATACCTTGTTTTTAATCCATCTAAAATCCATATATCATAAACATTTATATACTCACACAGAGACTTAAAGAAAAATAAAATTCACGTATTCAATACAATAACATGATAGAATATTTATTTACTATTTAAGCATTAAATTTTGATGCAATTATTGCTTTACTTTTAATCATAATATTTTTTAATTCTAAAAAATCAAGTTTTCAATGAACAAGATTATATTTTGGCAAAAGACAATTATTTTGAAAGAAATTCAATGATATTTATAAACATACCGTCCATCCTGTTTTATCAGCACCATTCTCCATATTTTCCGAACCGTTGGTTTGCATTGTTCCGAAACCGTGACAAAATCCGGCCTCTTTAGAAAAGTTCAGAAACGGGATATTACTGATACCACTGTCTTTCAATGATATTTACCGAGAAAATGGTAACTCGTGCTTCTCTTTTTATAAACACTCTGAATGAATTCCTGGAAGGAAAAAACTCGATTAATGACTTAATCCCCTGCGTCTATTCTGCACTAAATAATATTGCAGTAGACCTTGAAAATTTTACTAATATTTTTATTGTTATATTGCAGGGTGGCTGCAAAATTTCATTTTCAAAATTCTCTAAATTTTCCAGGTCTAATTTATTACTTAATCTGATAAACAAGTCTTATTATAGATTTAAATATTTTTAGTAATATTAACATAAAAATTCTAGAGTAATAATGAGTACTTTATTGACCTGTGAACAGCGGTCAATAAAGTGTCCTAGAGTAATAATATGTACTTTATTGACCTAGGGCGATAATGCGCACTTTATTAATTGCTGGGTTATAAGGAGACCATAATACGCCTGAGTTGCATAAAATTATTTAAATTTTGAGTGAATTTTAATTTTAATTTAATTTTTTTATATTAAAAAATGCTATCTTAGAAAGATTTTTAATTTAAAGTCAATTTAATTGATCCATCACGATAAAAGTAAGCTTATTTAATTTAAATAACTTTGTTAATTATCAAAACATTGTTAACATGTTTATTACTTATTCGAAGTGTCTCATTTCCTGAGTTGAATGCAAAAAACAAAAATTTGTTTATCTTTAATCGTGTAAACGATAAAGAACATTAAAACAATTTTAAGAGAGTGTTTAAACTGATAAATAAACAATTGTTTTGGCTCTGGAACATTATTCTATAAAGTCATAAAAAATAAATTAAAAATTCTACAAAGAATATTTAATTTTAAAAAATTTAATTTGCTACTCTTCAATATCCTTTACACTTTCGATTGTAGCAGAGAAGGTATGAATATAGAGTACCGTTGGAATTTCGTAATTGGTTTCCAGATTTATAAATCTGTTTAACTACGAATTTTAAATAGAGAGAGAAACAGTGACCGTTAACTGTAAGATGCTCGTGTCACAACTGTGTCCGACTTCCTACATAACAAGACTCATGCCTCGATGATAAGATACTCCAACAACTTCCTTGCTTATCCAAGTAAAGCGAATACTATTTATGCAAACGCTAATGTTCTATTTACAGACACTAATTAATTAAATTCTGTTTTTCCCAAGTCAATCTCAAAAACGATTAAAATTCTCTTCATTTTTATAGTTTCAAAAAAACTAGTTTATAGTTAACCCGAATATTTTCAAAAATAATCAGAAATCTTTATATCGAAGTAAAACTTAAATAATTAAAATTAATTTTAACAAAATTATAAATTTATTTCCTTCAAAATTAAAAAATATTAAAACCGTAGGAGGGTATTTTACGTACAGAGCAGAAATAAAATAAAATCCTATTCCATTTATTTCTTTTTAAACAAAATTTAACAACATTTAACAAAATAAGCAAAATATATCGATCTAAGCAATTTTCAATTAAAAAATCATAATATAGTGTTTATTTTTTTTTATTATATCATATGAAGTAATGTTGATCGTCATGCAATTCTCGGTAAATAAATAATCCACAAAGTAGATCATTTCGACAAAATAAAAACTAAAACAATTGAATTTTATAGTTTCTTCTTTTTTTATGATACGAGACAAAACAAACTAATTATTGAAAAATCAAACATTTACTAAAAAAATTGAGTACAAACTTCTTGACCAAACAAAAATAAAGACTGCAGTTTCAAAAAAAGGAAAATTGTGTTAATTTCTGTAGGTAGAGCAGAATGTAGCACTTTTAAAAAATTCTTAATATTTTTTTTGAAATAATCGATTCTTTTCTTCTAATAATAAAATCTGGGCCTAGAAGTTTTAAAAAATTGAATTTCTTAAAATAAAAACTCTTTTGATGCTGATTTTTATTTACTACATGCTTTTGATTTTAACGAATTTTCATAACAAACAAAAAATTTATAATTAATCGAACTTTCTCTTGACAGAATTTTTGCATTAGATCAACTTTTACTTTTAATTTATCGATATTTTCATTTACTAGAATTTTTATTAAACAAAATAACCATTTAAATGAAATTTTATTAAAAAGAAAAAAATTAGAAAGAATTCATTCTTATAGCTGAATTTTTATTTCTTCGAAATATTATTTGACAGAAATTGTATTTAACCCTCACATGCCCGCTAGCTGGGTCCCTCGGACCCAGATGAAAATATTTCATCTACTTCCACTTCAGACAATATGGTATGGAGTCAAAAGTTCCAAAACAGAAGTTCCAATTCCGAAGGATCCAAATTATTATTTTCCCAAATGATATTTTTTCCAAAGTATTATTTTTCCAAAGGCCATTTTTACCAAAGTATTATTTTTCCAATAGTCGTTTTTTCCAAACATTGTTTTTTTTATTTTTTAAATTTCAAATCAAAAATTTCATTCAACGTGTGCTCATTCCAAAATTATGTTGTGAAATTAAATTTCTTTTTCAAATTTAAAAATAGTAAACAGTGAAATTATATTAAATTGTAAATTAGTAAAATTAAAAATTTTATTTTAATTTAAAATTTTATTTAAACTATAAAATAGTGAACAGTGAAATTATATTAAATTGTAAATTTTAATTATGGTAGAATTAATACAAGTCGGAAAAAAATTATTTACATATCGAAGGATTTCTGTATTACAAGCATTCAGATAGAAAAAATAATGTGAAATATTGGAGATGCCTTATTTTTTCAAACAACTCCAATACTTTTCACTTATTTAACAATTCAACACTTTTTATTTTGGAAATTTTTTTTTGAAATTTCACACTTTGGTAAATTTATATTTTGGACATTTTGGACTTTGGAACTTTTGTACTTTGGAAAAATAAATTTTGGATCTTTTCATTTTGGAACTTTTTTCTTGGAACTTTTCAATTGGAACTTCCGTTTTGGAACTTTTGTACCCCAATCGACAATATTATTATAAAATTTCGGTTTTGTGCCTTATAACAGATTTTTCTTATTGTTTGTCCCTAAGAGTAAGCATTATGACAAAAATATTTTTGCGGCAAAAAATAGAGCACAAACTTTATTATTTTTAATTTTGAACTTTTCGTTATCAACTTCCTGGACATTTGGCTTTTGCATCACTAGATTTTTTGATCGCTTTTTAAAAGTTTTCTGATAATTCTGCAAGATTGAAATACATACTTAAAAGTAGCACATCTTTGCATTAAAGTGTTAAAAACAACTTGTCAGAATGTTACCGTTTTATTTTTATCACACATTTTAAATTCTTAGGTTCTGGTTTTAAAACTAAAGTTTTTATTTTAAATTTTTAAATTAAAATTTACTAAATTAAGCAAAAACCGCTGCCAATTTTTATCATTAATGATGGCTTTATCTTTGTGATCATTTCATAAACACTTTGCTTCCTTATAGAAAATAATTAAGTTTGTTTATGGGTGATTTTCAAATAAATGGCATATTTGCATGACGCCATAGATAAATAACTAATAAAATTATTTTTTTTGACAATCACTTAATGCAAGTCTCTTCTTAAAGATACTTAATATTCAGTTCATTAACTAATCCTTATCATAGTTAAAATTAAGAAAATAGGGTATTGTCAGGTCCGTGGCATACGTTTTTTTTTAAATTTTGTTCTGAAAATGTTACGTGATCAAATATTGAGGTTATCTTTTGAGTACTTTGTAGGCCAAATCTAACTAGATGTTATACATATAAAAATATTTTTATTATAATGATATTCTACGTACACGAGCACTTTTTTCATGTTTTAAATTGTTAATTACTTTGTACCTACACATGTTAACAAAATCGTGATTTTATTACTCAATTTTATTTTTAAATGACTTTTACTGGCATTATTTTGAAGTGCGAACATTGAAAAGAAAATATTTATTCGATTATTTATTTATTTACGTGTTCTAACTGTGACACTCATGTCAGGACCGTGGCATGTCACTTTTGCGTTTTTTATCGTAACTTTAAAAATATTTAAGATCTTGTAGTTTCCTTTTGAACATATAATAACACAAATGCGGTGGTGGACATTTTTCCCACCAGTTGAAATTCCCAACCTATTATTTTACCAATGTATATTTTTTCCAAACTATTTTTTCCCGCCGAACACTTTTTCCAAGTTATTTTTTTCTCAAGAAACCTTTTTTTCAATGTTTTTTTTTATTTTTCGCCGACTTCATATTAAACAACATTGTCACTTATCTTGGAGATTGTGGTTGTGTCAAAATTGTCTAGTATATTAGTACACTCGTTTTGTATAGTTTTTTTTAAAATAGTTAAAGTTAATAAGTTTGGATTTAAAATGGGAAAATCAAAAAAAGCACAAGTCATTTATGCGTCAAAATCGAAAAACAAAATTGCTTACAATAGTTCAAAAATATATGGAATATGTTGAATATAATGAAACGCTATACAATATCTTAAAAGTATTGGTTACTATACGTACACTTCTAAATTCATTAAATTTATTGATTCCACAATAAATATACTTTAATCAAATTTCGAATTTTTGGTAATTTCTTCACTTTGGTAAAAATAACTATTGGGAAAAATTTTGGTTGTTAGGACCCTTTCCCCTACAGAAATATTTATAAAATATTTTGTTAAAACTATTTCATAAGTTGCTCCTAAAGACACCTCAAATTGAGGGTCCCTATCAAAGAACCGGTTATAAGTTTTTGAGACTCAAAATTCTCGACTTCTATAAATAAAAAAAGGATTAAAAATTTAAATTTCTTGAAATTCCTTTTCTATTGTTAAATTGATAATTTCTATCCAATTCAATTCTCTGTAACCACGTGACCAGAGTCTGAATTTACTTTAATGCCGTTTAAAGGAATCATTTGTTGTGGAGTTAATGCCTTTTAATTAACATTGAATTCTTTAAAGGGCATTAAAGGGGATTCAAATTCTGGTCACGTGCGGTTACAGAGAATTGAATTGGATAGAAATTATCAATTTAACAATAGAAAAGGAATTCATTAAGATTGCGGACAAAAACGGAATTGGTTTGGAATTTAAAAGCATAAAAGTGCCAATCC